AGTTGCAGAAGTCATTTAGGTTATGTTTCCCAGTTCCCTGAGTCCTGTGTACAATACGTGCCCCTTATTGTTCCAGATACATTTATAAGACGGATGGAAGAACCTGTGGTATTAGGTTATATTGATAAAATAGATGATTACCAGCGTTCGTTTATCAAAGCAATTGAAACTCATTTTGATGAGAAAGGTAACATTTTGACGGATGAGATTAGGGCTACCGACGCTCTCCTAGTCGAGATTGGAGTTAATGAAAAGCCGTCCAACGTAAGATTCATATACTTATTATTTTCAAGTAGGTACCTTAATTCTAATAGCTATAACAATATAAACTTCCTTGTCAATAGTGCGGTGTGTGCCGGCGAATCTGCTCGACTGTTTGCAACAAATGTCGCGTTGCGTATTTCTGCTCGGTACGCTGCATTCGCTATTTGGCGGCAGTACATGTACAGGAATGTACCAATATGAGAAACTACCGCATTCGATTTTATATGGAAAAAGAGAGGCAACGACGACGTCTGCGTGCCTAGCTTACAGGTAATATACTCATTAAGATTTAACAAAATTACTCTTGCCGACTGACTGACTAACAGATCAAGATAAATCACATCGAAATTATTATGTCAGTGGTCGGTCTGTGACATTACTTTTATAAATAAGGTCAACCTTGTGTAGGATTTAGTGTAATTTTCATTTAATTTTGTATTCTTCTGAACACGCGCCGACCGCTCGGGTCTAGCTCTGGTCGGGCAGCGAGCTGTCCTTCCTCAACAACCGCAGACCCGCGGTAACGGTGGCTGCAGCATGAGGAGGATATTCCCCTCACGCTCTCCGCCCCCTTATTTGCAACCACCACTGCTTCGCAAAAAGAGAGGCCAGTTCCCAGCATAAACAAAATATTGTATAATAAAATAATACTTATTCATTAACTTTGAAGAATTTCATCACGCGTACTCTGGAACCTTTAAGAGAGATCTTTTGAATGAAGAAATTAATAGTGATTGTAATGGACTATGAATTTATTGGCGATATTTAATTAGAATAAATAATTTTAGGCGTTGCAAAAATTCATCATCTTCCGAGTAATATGTCCCTAACCTGCCTCGTCACATGGCCATTACTGTACAAAACGAAATTCCTATATGAACAACTCCTTCGACACAAAAATGAAATGAAGAATCACTAAAGGAACAGGTACGCTATATTATATCAAACTTGTAACATAATGAAAATCATGAAATGCCTCGTCCTCATATTCCTCGCCCAGGGTGAGGCGAGTGGGAGTGTCAGACTCGAACTTATTTACCCCCCGTTCATTCTTCTGCTCCAAACTAAGACCACGGTAGGCACCTTATTGCACTTGCCCCGCAACCCTGGCTGGCATAAGTAAGTTAACATGTTGTCAGAGTTACTTAAAATTTTAAGTTATTAAGCTTTTTATACATCTGATTAAGAATATCGCAACGCGAAGAATACTGGTGCGAATGACATTGCGCATTTTTTAAAATTGCTAAAGTTCAGTTTTGCACTTTGTTGTTTCATTAAACTGTACAATTAGATACTTGCTATGAATAAGAATAACGGTACCTGGCGCATTTTATTATAAAATCAAAATTAGAACTCTCCTAAAAAGAACAACAAATTGTAGCCATCTGTGCGGCAAATATAAAATTAATAACAAGCTTTGAAAAATGGGATCACCTTCCCCTACCCTCGCATTGGGGACCATTCAAAAACTTTATTTCTTGTATTAAAACTTGTTCGTTGCTTAAAACGTCCCCACCCAGTTAGCACAATGGCACCTATTTTGGTACAGGCAGGCACTTGCTTGATTTCGTAGGTTTTTAAAAATTCTTATCTTTCGTAAAATCATTTTTATACATTTAGAATAAAACCAAATGATGAGCGCGAACATTCAGAGTATTGACTTGATAAACGTGGTTTGCAGATATCAGGAGACACGCAGGAAAGGAACCTTGCTATCTAAGAGATGTAAGTGATGTTACGGCCAGGTGAAACCAAAGAGACTGCTTAAACGAAGTCTGTGTCTACTTTTAGTTAGGCTATATTATTCTTTATTCTTCGCGATTCGAAACTGCTCCTGATACAATTAACAATATACTAATAAACATAATAAAAAAATCTTAATTTTTATCCACTATTTACATAAGTATATCAAAAAATTCTGGAATGGTTTCGAATCAAAAGCGTAGGTGTCGGCAGATGTTTAAGACTGTATGTATGTATAAGATGCTTTTTAGACTGGTCGCTAAAAGGGCTGAAATGTTTGGCAGTGTGGCTGAATTCTCCGAGCTTATTTTGATCAATGTGATCTTAGTAAGTTAGACCAAATTGAAGGCACCGCGAAGAGATCGGTATGAGATGCCGTGCAAAAAGTGAGAAAATGGAATTAATCCGAATTTTATTGGACGCACTCAAAGACGCGTCGTATTAATGTAAACACAATATGTATTGGATGGAAATGGACTGTGCTATTGAGAGTTGGGTTGATAAGAATTTGTTTTAAAATTCAGAGAAAAATATGAATGAAATTTATTAATAAAACTGCGATTGTTTCCTTTAATAGAGCACATATTGATCTATCTACTTAAATTATTGGTACCTACCTATATTTGATGTTGACAGTCTATTATAATCGATGTAAGTAAATGTTAGCGTTGCACAGATTGGAAGTCGTTACATTTTGAATCTTATTCGATTAAATTATTTATTTTGATCCTATTTATCTTAACCCGCGATAAAATATTACTGTTACCTACTCTATGCCGCTGGCATTTTTAATTGGCTATGAAAAACAAAAAGTTATTGCCTTTACACAGGTTCACATGCTTCTTTCTGTCTGATCTAAGTAATCTGTGGCATTTGGTGAAACTCCTAAGTATGTATTTAGTCATATATATATATCTGCTATCTATCAAAGTGGTAGGTGCATTCCCATGCAAACAACAACCATTTACAAAATAGAGACTATAAGTTTCTAAAATAATATAAACATGAAAGGATATCTACCATTTTGCATGTGACTGTACCTACACGTATTAAATAAACGGATGTCAGTGTTTTTACAAAATATATGTAGGTAGTTAAATGTTTAACATCGAATTTAAGTCTATGTAGCAAGCACATTAAATTGAATTATTAAAACATTTACTCTTAGATATATAAGGCTCAGGTTATCTCATTTCTTGTATTCTGTATGTTTCCTGTTCGCTGAGCTACTATTTACCTATATACCCTTAAAACTATATAATAGTACCTATTTACTTCATATTTTTGATCTGTGTAGATGTAGAATAGGAATGTTTAGTCATAAGACTTTTTGATGTATTTATTCAATGTACTTATTTAGTATAAAATATTTTGAAAACACTCAATGTATAGATAATTAATTAATATATTTAAAAGTGACAATTTATGTAGTGTACCGCGCACCTACGTGTACTTATTATAATATCTACGCCAAAACTTCAAACTATACTGCCAAAGAGGAGACTCGAATTATTATACTTACTTAAATGTATTCTATTGTACAAAACATTATGTACTTCGAAATGATTATTAAAATTTAAGATTCAATTTAATGTTTTGATCGTCATGACAAAAAAGCAGAGAATATACGAGGTGTCGATCGAAACTTTTATTTTTTATCATTACATTTTACTAAAAGTACTACTTAATCTATTAGTCGTATATACTTTTGTATTTTAGGAAAATGCAAAAAGAAGATCGCTCGACTGTAAAGATTTTACTATGGGGTTTAAAACCATGTTATCGTGGTTGTTATAGTATGGAATATTATGTATACGTATTATTAAATGTTCAATGTTTTATTGTAAGTAGTGAAATAAATGTTTTTGGTGTATTTTTTGCTCTTGCCTCATTGGTTTTTTATTTAAATAAGAAGATGTGTTTCTGTGTTGTATCTATCAATATCGTAATTGTCCATCTATTATAAGTAATAGATCGACAATTACGTGCAAAGTTATTTAAGCTTCATTTCAGTAGGTAGGTCCTCTACTCATTTGTTATTTTTACCCAACTTTCGCAATGCCTGTGCCGATGCCGTGTGTGACACTAACTAACTCCGGCTCCATGGCGATAGATGGCGTTAGATAGCGCTAAGTTCATATTTGCCACGCCACGTAACCGTGCTCGCTAGAGGTTGACTCGAAAATCGCCGGTTTTTATATATATTTACATAGCTACAATTTAGTACTTCATCTAGTTAGTAAGTACTATTTACTGGTCGATTGAAATGATGACACACCAACTACGTGCATTATATAAACAGTTTAAACACAATGTAATAAATAAACTGTCGTCAAAATATACAAGATTCCTACCTATAGACAAGTAAAAGGTAAAAAAGAAAAAAAATACGTTTACCAAATTCGCGCGCTACTTGGGATATTTTTTATCTCTGCCTGCCTGAACGGGTATAATCTCTAATATCTTTTAAAATGCAGTAATAAATTGAATAGTGGACATTTTGTGTAACATCGATCGTAAGTAGTTATATAGGTCTTTAGCTGAACTGGTTTGTTAAACGCACGTACTTACATGGCTGAAATCACAAATCTAGTTTGAGAACTACTTAGTATGACAGCTATTCGTGTTAGCTGTCTCTTTCTTTCACGATTTAATGTAGAATTTAAGTGGGAGACGTTTATTTATTTGCTATTTTAATCAGTACAATCTGTTTCAATAATTATGAATTAGAGGTATTTAAAAGGAATGAGAACAAATAATTATCGAAATCAAAATAAAAGGTGTTTCGACTCTTATTTTTAATATAAACACGTGGAAGTTAAAAATAAACATTACTGAAGCGCCTTGTGAAGATGACGATAAAATATGGTTTGTTACCTGCGTATCTATCCTTTTTCTGCCAATAAACATGACAAAGAAAATCGGTACCTGCTACAATACAGTTATCGATCGATTTGGTATGATGGCAACACTTACTGATAACCACTGTCAAAAATATTGAACAAATACTTTTAGCACTGATAAAAGCAAATAGGAGCAATTCTTTTTTTATATTTTGTACAGTACTGGTTAAATAAAAACTCAAAATGATAACAGAATTAATGCGAACAAATCAGGACATCTTTGTAAATATCTTTGCACTTGCAACGTATTAAATTACTTTAAAATATAGTATTGAAAAAAATATTTCGTTTTCAAAATTCCCGCCATAACCTAAGTAGCGTACGTGAAATGTTTTTTTTTCATTTTTCGATTTAATTATGGCGGACCTAGAATGGTGTGTGAACGAAGTTCATAATCATTTTGTGTGAGTGCATACCAGTTGTGAAACGTTAATGTGATTGCTAAAATTCATCCGCACCGCAAAGGTGTATGCCTGGGTGGGCGGAAACAAGATATGGCGGAGAATAGAGGTTCGGACAACGTCGTTATGCCGGACATTACCGAAGTATCCGAAGCCGATCCCCTGTCGGCGGGGGCCGATCACGATGCCGACCGATCTGATGGCGGGGCTGTTTTGTCGACTGGAATCAAAAATACGAGATTGTCTAGTGATTCTAATGGCGTCGTCACGGTACCAGTTTCTTTGCCGGTCGGCACACTTATTACTGGGACCACTTTTAACGTGATAACGTCAGATCAGCTGCCACATTTCAAGCCTATGATATGTGTTGATAATGGGTTTATATCAGGTGGGCCCGTAGCTGTGTCAGATGACATAAAACCAACTCATATCGTGATCCAAAACCCTTCTTCACCAGTGACAAGGCCAGAGGAGAGTAGCTCTAGCGCATCAAGTGCCCGACATACGGGCGCTCGATCATGGGCCGAGACTGCCAGCATGCCAATACTGCCAATTCGATGTAAAAATACGCCAGCTGAGCTTCATAAACAAAGATTTGGGTCTGGGGGTAGAGGGAGGTGTATTAAATATGGAATGGAATGGTACACTCCAAGTGAATTTGAGGCCTTATGTGGAAGGGCTTCTAGTAAAGACTGGAAGAGGTCTATTAGGTTTGGAGGGCGCAGCATCCAGGCACTGATAGATGAGGGAATACTAACCCCTCATGCAACAAGCTGTACTTGTGGGGCTTGCTGTGACGACCAGTCAGGTGGGGATTCTGAGAGTACTTTTGTTGATACTGTAACTTAGTCATTAGCTAGGCACATAACTAAAAGAAGTAAAATAATGCTTTAATCCTGCCAAGGTGGTATTTACAGAATGTTACAACCTCAAAAGAGTTAGGGTTATAGAAAATGATAGTGGTCGGGTGATTGTGATTTTATGATTGATATGTCAAGCACACAAAACTACTAGAAATGAGAATTAAGTATCATAAAATAGATTATGCCTTAGCTGGAACCCTACTATAGTCTAACGGTTTAGGTAATTAACGAAATGCAAACTTAAACTAAATTTAAAGAATCTTTGTATGTATTTCATACAACCTCTTTAGTATAAAAAGACATATCAATATGTTTTACCTTTACTTAACCCACCTAAACCAATATTAGTTTAGACCAATATTTGTTTAGCTATACTTATTAGTTTTCAGTGGAAAGATGTTACATTATATGCTGTTGGCTCCAATCATTAGGCTTCTTCCTTAGAATATATTTAAATTAATTACTCTTTGATCACTTCAATTTCCTACTACAGGCACTCCTTCTTATTGAATTACAATAACATTTATTAAATACAAAATGTACCATAGCTTATACATATCACACATACAAACATACTCAAAAATAATAAAATAGATGAACACATATATTAAAAGTTATAAATATACATATATGTTAACATATACTTAAATGCTGCAAGATAAAGCTATTTATTCAAAAACTAAAAGCCAATGTTTTCACTATCCAGATTGTTGATTGTGTATGTAGAGTTTTATCACCTCGTGTTCCAAGAATACTATGTAACACTCGTCTGAATGTGACTACTAATTATGTTATGTAGGAAGACTATGTAGAAACCAATAATACAAACTTTAGGACCTATACTGTTAACACATCAGATAGACATTGACCGTCTTGAATTGGTAGAGTACAGTTCAGTATTAACCAATAGCTATAAGTATAGACGAAACTAAATTGAATAAATGTTTCCCATATTGGAATAATTTACTTTTGGCTAAGTCAGCCAAACTATTGAAAAACTTAATACATATTGTAATTATACATTCATTTACTTTCACACATAATGAGTATGCAGGTTAATGACCTAAGCTGTTAGTATTTAAAACTCACTTAAATAGTTACCTAGTATATAAGTTACTACGCCTATGATTGAAATTGACCAACCAATAAAAATGTTCCCTCCACAGCTATGGGACCTGTGCGGTTATTCACACCTTACAAAAGGAGAAGACGTCACAATCAGGACGGAGAAGAGAAGAAACCAAAATTAAAAAGAGAATCAAGTTTAGGAGATGGTGAAGTTGACAACATACACCAGAGCAGCAACAATAGCAATAATTCTAAGGAAGCCTGGCAAACTATTGCTGAGGGCTTAGACACAAATACTGACTACCATTTATTAGAGAATCCAGATACCAATGCAGAATCTATATCAGGTAAGCCTTTCATGTATAGTTATGATCTGGAAATGACAGGAAGTTTCACTGAAAACTCATTTAAAAAACAAGCAAATAATTTTTTTGCTCAATCACTATGTCAACATGTTATTATTTATTTTCTTAAAATGTGTTGTCTAATTTATTCTTTATATACTATTACTACAGGCATGGGTAGATTAAATAGTTAAATACTATGTGAAATAGTTTCTAAATAGAACATCATAACATATTACATCAAGTTGTATAAAAAAAATGTACAGTATATGTATTATTAATCTTTACTTATTTGAAAGAAGTACTGAAAAAAATCCATTTTCATATTAATATAAAATTCTCATTGATATGACTATCAAAGCCATCTTTTAAAAAAGGTAGAAATCAAAAATTTGTATTAAAAATTATAGACCACTGTGATTGTAAATGCAAAAGGACTTATGAGATCTTGTCAGTGCCATTAAGAAATGGAAAATGGGAACAGAAGTTAACAAAGAAAAAAGAAATTTTTAGTAAAAAAGTATCTATTGGTTTTTACATTATGTGTGTCATAATGTAAGCAGTATTATAGTATGTTTATGAATGTAATTATCATCATATTACTATCAGTATCAGCCACATGACTCATGATACAGTATATAATAATAGTTTGAATGTGGTATCAGTAATTAATATGTATTGGCAATTCCTTTACAATTACTGATCCCAAGGTCATTTTAACAGAGCACAATTTAATAATGTTATGAGGATAGCTCCCTCACGTGCTCCGCCTCCTTTGCGAGCATCAATGCTGTGCACAAAGAGAAGATGGCTTCTCAGTTCCTTCTCCTCTCCGAAGTCTGTAGCTGTTTGCAAATCAAATAGCACTCAGCTTTCTTTTCACCAAAGCTGGTCTGTCTTCCTTTTCTAAACTAAGCTAGTTTGGTATTCGCCAATCAATGAAACAATGAATTTATTTTTGCAAATAGGCCATAAAACGGCACTTTTACACGTCAAATTATATGTATAAAACTAGATGAAGCCGGCATTTCCTATCTGACTACTCTGAGAAGAAATGCCGAAATAAACTCAGAGGTCAGCCAGTCTCATCAAGTCCAGACAATGTAAAAACAAAATAATGTGAGAGAACCATGCAAGTTCATTCTGTAGGAAAGAACCACACCAGTTTAAGTGGACCCGTGCCGAATATAATATATCATACAGAAAATTTAGTATTCAGCAAATATATTATTACTTACAAATCGGGATCTCTTGGATGCTTTGAGTCTGTGACTTTTATTTTTGGCTTCTTTATCACAGAAGCAGTTGCATTTTGCATACATCCATATGTATTGTAACACATGAAAAATATGTTTGTTCTATCATGTTAACCAAAAGACTATAAACTTACTCACAGCACTCCCACCAGGTTTTCAATTTTATCAGCTCTATCTGTTACATAAACCAAAAGATTATAATTTCGGTTAGTGCTAACATTGTAGCGTTACTATTTGCAGAATTTATGGTTTTCGATTGCTTTCCCAGTCATTTCCAGACGCATATTCAAAAATATAATTTAAGTATAATTATAAGTATTATAAGTACGTACAAATTAATTATGTGTTTAAAAACCTAAGGTTATAAACGTTTTTTTATGTGTAAAGCAGCATTTATTTTTGGTTGCTTTCGTGACTGTTCGAGTGTTTGCCTTGCATTGCAATTTGAACCCTTAATAATTTTGTATTTTTTTAAGTAGAATATACCTATAAGTACATCAATCTCCAATGTTTTCAACGACTCGCAATTTTCAACATAGAAACTTAAATAATTTTGGTCTTCCCATTGATTAAATATTGCTCAGTTATGTTAAAATAAATAAAGTTGTACATATATGTTAGAAACAAGAAATTTCCAATTAATTGCGCTGTTGCAGCGATTAACATTTATTTTTATCTCTTGCTTTGCGATATAGAAATTATTACGAAACATTTATTTAGTTATACATTATTGCGATACTTGCTTTTGCAAAATATAAATAAATATAAGTTGGCTTTCAATTAATAAATGAAAAAGTATAAGTACACAACACATGTTTTAAAAAACAATAAAGCGAAGCAAACGATTTGCTACAGGAACTTCTTCCCTTATTAGTTTTAATTAGGTCTAGATGTTTTTGCGATGGCGACTTGTATATTTGATAATTTGTAACTAGGTATTAGATAGTGTTGCAATAATTGTGACTAATTCACATCGCCAAATTTTTGGATTAATATCTCCATTGTTAAAGAAAACTTTTTGTCTATATATTTATTTACATAGTATATTGCTGTTTGCGTAATTTCTTATTATTGGTACTAAAGATATGTTTTGGTGTTGTTTTACTCAAGCTTGCTGCGAATTTTTTGCTAGATATAATATGTTAAATGCGCAATGGCAAACACTGGTTCTTTTTTTTCGTGAAAATTGATAATTGAAAAAGTTACTGCATTGTCTTTTTAGGTTTTGTGTATAATAATTACTTGTAAAGTACTGGCAATGTTAGGTACATGTTTTTTGGGCCGAGGCAACTTAAAGGAAATGAACGCAATCCTTAGGGACTTATTTTAATTTTAAAATTCGAATATGTGTGGAAATGTCTTGACATTTCACTTCGTTGACATTTTAATTTAAGAACCACCTGTTCGGTTGAAACCGTTTGCGTCTACAATATTTTATGCCATCCTTTACTCCTTTTGTTATCTATTACTAGGCCAATGGTGCTCTACTTCTATTATCGCTACAGATATATGAAATCACATATATGAAACATGAACAAAACCTGTAACCTACCTTCAAGGGTTACACACAAAGTCTCTAGAAATAGACCTTTTATCTTTGACAGTCTATTGTTCACAACTGATCAAAAGAAAAATAGTAATCCGGACAATGACTGACATAATGTTTTTATAGAACATAAAAGCCTTTGAAACTCCCACTCAAAAGGTAAATTGATATCTGCTACGATGTCGGACCACATAATCTCCCCTTTATATGTCTAGACAAAAGACAGGTCCAGGTATATAATTTACTTTGTCTAAAGAAACATTTTTTAGACAAAAGAAACATTCTTTAGACAAAAGAGAATCAATTATATTGGGTCTTATACAAAATTTTGTAATTTTTTGAAGGGTAAAATCGCGATTTAGTTTTTCCACTCTGTTTTTGTGTAGGTGCGGAAATTCGGATAGGCACCTGTAAGAAGGTTTTTTTGTAGTACTATTTTCGTCATAATAATTTTTTTCGTTTAGGTCAAGATCGCTTACTGAGGTATAACATTATAGATCATAATCATTTTTGACTTTAAGAATAGAACATTGTACTTAAATCGCCTTTACAAGGCCCAAACATGCTTCAATATATTATTTATGTGCATTATACATACAACATTTATTGAATCATGTTTTGGTTGTAAGGGGATGTGCTGGATTGTACTGGATTCAATGTATTCGATAGGAGGAAAATGAATTTGTTTAGTACCAAAGAAATTAAATTTGCTCATTTACATTAAACTAATGCAATTGGTAATTTCTATAAGTACATATATTTAGCTAGAGAGTATTATAATAAAGTTGACCCAAAAGTTGTGTATTGTTTAACAACATCTGTAAATCGTACGTAATCACGAAACAATGACGCACCTGGGTTCGTTAATGTTGTTTTTATTAACAAAGGTGGTTTTACGAAATGCCGGGCGTGTACATAACTTTGGTCAAATAAACTTCTTTAGTAAACTTTTTGAAATAACATTTAGCTACGGATATTTTATGACGTAATGGTTATGCAACCTTGTTGAGCGATGCCTCCTAAATCCAGCTGAGTCAGCAGTGGTAGCTAAAAAACCCTATTCTCTACTTCTTTACCTAGGTATCTAGGTCAAAAAGTGAACGGCCAATAACAAACGACCGACAAGTAGGAGGCATGATTTTCTTTTTCCTTTTTTTTACCTGATGGTAAGCAATCAGCGCCGCCCATGGACAATCGCAACAACAGAGAAGTTACGAGTGCGTTGTATACATTTTGGGGATTAGGGATTTGGACATTTAGGGATTAGGGGAGGGGAAGTATTTGGTCCCCGGTAACATCACTTACATTTTTTCTGTGAGGGTGTGATATCACTGCAGTGGAGCCGACCCATTCGTGCTGAAGCATGGCTCTCCTACACTTGAAAGTTCTTCCTCTGCTTTGTTCAAAATCTATGTATTTTAAATCGAGTTTCACTATATTACACGCAGCTGTAAAGTTTTCAATTAGTATTACTAATTCCCATGTTACTAAGTTGGTAATTCTTCTGGATTTGGTCTAATGGTTGATTTGTTTGTAAGATTGTATAGTTATCGCGAATTAAAATATCGTTAACAATTAACTCCTTGTTTCCTGTATTGGTTGGTGAGAACACAACGTTTCAAAAAGTATTTTGTTATTTGATTTGTAACAAGTTCCAAAGTTAATCAAATTCACGAGGCAATTGAAATTAGTTGTTTGTTGTTGATTTTGAATATCTCGGGGTTTCAAGAATATTACTATTACATATAAGTCATGCGTTTACATATGTGTAACAGTAATTAATTGTATATTGGTTGTTGTTAATTGGCGGTTTAAGTAAATCATATTTGTATTATTTAGAAAACAACATTACACAGTACACACTCGTGCCAAGGGTGTCCCAACTGCCTCGCTAAAGACGAAAAGGTTCATTTTTATATACATATATTTAGACTTTGTTACTATGTACATATGCAGGAACTGTAGGCTTATGACGTGTTATAGCGGTAACTTATTCACGTCATGGTATAGAGATAGATATAGTATACAGGGATGTAACTGTAAAAGGTGTATAGCTCCATCCCTCTTTCTTGCCCAGAAAATTGACGCTTTAACACGTTTTTGTAGGCCCTCTTCCGATTAATTGGTATTTTAGTAGATGGCTGGTAGAGTCCTCTTTTCGGATACGGGAAAGGGTATCTCGCACGCTGATCGGGGCGACTTTACCTACCTCTCCACCATTGATCTCTACCATTGATCCGTGCACACCTGGTCTCATAAGTAAATCTATATTCCAAGAGCCCCTTATATGGTAGGTCGCGAGCAGGAATTTATGTCACAAGATCTTTTAGGTTGACACCCAAACGTATTTAACTGAATGACGACACTGTGCCATGCCTAGAGATTGCTTTGAAACAGAATTCTCATTCATCACCTTCGTCACGTGTTACGGTCGGGTTTTAAAACTATCATTAGTTTTATTTATATATAGTCGAATTAATTCGTCTTCAGCCTTGTGGTATGGTAAGGTTACTAACATAAAATGATGTTATTCCGTAAAGAAATAATGCATTGCTGAAATGAGCCTGTCAATACATAACACTGCATCAGCGGTCGTTATTACTTATCTAATTTTTGCAGCGATGTGGACGATAAGCTGGTATTGATAGCAAACTTTCTAATGCGCACCTTAGTCTGGATAGGAGGTGTATTCTACCAGACGCGTCATGTAATGATCACCATCTCATCGTTACGAGTTTGTTTCAATAAGACATTGTACACAAGTATGTAGATTGGATTTTTCTAGAGGTGCCTTCACTTCGAAATCAGGCTGTCATTGGCCTAAAACTTTGCTCTAATGATGTCCTGAGTTATAGTGGAAAGATGAAAAGTAAACTTTGTAATTAAGATATTATTGATATACACAGCGAATATGCTGCGGATTCAGTCCTGATAACTTGTACGATGTAGTTTAATGTTAACGGACAAATCTTAATTTCCGATTAATTCCGAAGAAATTGTATGTCTGCAAAATACATTCAATGCTAGTAGACGAAACTTGACCACTTTCTTGATCACCAGATAATTTAAAACTTTACATCTCCCTTAATAATAATCATTTTTACACATTAAAATTCATCGTAGGCGTGTTTATTCTCATGAATTTGAATTTTGTGGCGATTTATCATTTCATTTTGTTTTTATTCCCGAGTGATTTATATCATCATCATCATCAGCCTGTAAGTGCCCACTGCTGGGCAAAGGCCTCTTCTCATACGGAGAAGGTTAGAGCATTAAATCACCACGGTTGATAATTAGAAATTATAAGTCCAGGTTTCCTCACGATGATGTTTACCTTCACCGTATGTCAGTGGTGTCTAAATAAACATAGAAAGTACATATAACTTGGAAAAAGTCACATTGGTACTTGCCAGGTTTCGAACCCATGAGAAGCGGGTTCCTTAACCTCCGGGCCACCACGATCAGTGATTTACAGTAATTTATATACATATATGTATATATATTTTCCTTGATTTAAGATTTTCCTTTGCATTTGAAATATTACTCCCATCATCGAAAATATTGTTCAATTACCTATCCCACCTCCAAGGAGGTCATTGCCCTCTTACTTACTAACCCTAAAACGTCCCACCACCCACCACCTGTTCCAGGTAGGATGCGAGGTCGGTTTTCAAATAGCATGGAGGAAAAAGCCCAGCAGATTGCGTTCATTTCCGTTTCGATTGTCGACGCGTTGCGCTGTCGCGTGCACAACTTGCGACCTTTTCTGGCCGCGGCTTGCTTTGGTATTCCGTAGTCAATTATGGTAAAATAAATATTAAATATTTTTAGGTCTTCCCGATATGAGTGGAGTACTCAAAAGACTCGACGACATCGGTCAATCTCTCGTAAGGCTCGCGTCAGAATTAAAACAATGCGTCGAAGATGTTCGTGTTGTCAATGCTCGGCAACTAGAGCGCCTAGAGCAAGAAAGAGCGGCTGCGTTGCTTGCCGCGAGTGTGGACGCACATGTAGACGCGGAACATGTATCTCTGCACAACGTGGAAGACACTGAAGCAAAAAAGGTTAGTGTAAAATGAAAGTTATTAATTAATCTCCTATGTGTGTAACTAGTCAGATTCATTGTTTGTCAGTCAATAAACCTGGGGCGACATTTTCAAAATGAATCTAGTTCAAATAAAATACATAATATATAACTATGGGTGATACAATTTAATTTTTTTAGCACCGTATGTTCAAAAATTATAGATAAAAATATATGTAGTACGCATGCTTAAAAACTATTCGGACTGGTTGCAATTTGGAATTTCGAAGGTTGCTTTTGGTGGCAACGCATGCGCGAAGTTATTTGGCACTAAATGTTTCATCCAAACTAATATTATAAATGCGAAAGTAACGCTGCTTGTCTTTTCTTCACGCCACTAAATTTCACAGAAATCAGTTCAGTAAACTACTGAATCGATATAGTTTGGAACTCGGGAAAGGTAAAGACATAGTTTGGAACTCGGAAAAAGACATAGGATACCTAGTTTTTATACCAAAAATCTTAAAAATCAAACAAAAGTCACTACTCCACGCGAACGGAGTCGCAAAAGTTAGTTGGACAAATTATACAGTTTGTTATTGCAACGTACCTACAGTTAATAACTAATATATATTTAATAAAAAATCTAGATGTTTTTTTTTTGGGTGGGGAGACAGAGAATGTCCAGACCTTGTGGACTAAAAACTACTTTGCTCCTTCTTCTCCAACTCGGAGCAGCGGTACCTTATTGCCCTTGAACCGGAATCCTGCATAATATCTGCCCTAAAGTGCCCCAAATCTGAGGTGGAAGGTTACCCCGGAGTGTCTCCTCTTGTTGCCTCATGCGCTCCGCCTCCTTCGTTGCGAGCATCATGAAAGAACAGACGGTATGCTCCATCGTCTCCTGCAGGTGCTCCCTACAATGAGTCACGCTCTTCTTCCAGTTACATCCGTTTGTAATTCGATAGTTTGATACATTTCACACAGCACTGCTTGAAAAGCTCTGGATTTTTTACCTTTTTATTACTTGACTATTGATACCTGAGTGTCAGTTGCCATTGCTTTGGTCGCATAGTCGTAAATTAAAAATGGCTACCTCAATCGTTCGTAGGATTTTGAAAAACACAACAATAAATAATTACAAAATGTAAATGATAAATTTATATTCCATAACATTTTAGTATAACTGGCAGTTTAGGGCTATACCACGGTCATAGTAAGGGCCCTGTCTTGCACGTGCTGAACTCTGGTGTTCATATCAATCCTGCCTGGATACATGAATCGATACCCTATTACCATGAATTTATTGTTTATTAGAATACGAAAAGCCGGCTGTGCAAAAAAAAAATTCGCTTCGGTTAGGAGAACGGTTAGCAAAAAGATTAAATCTTACCACGCTTATCAGTAGAAGTACTACAGGTTTCCCTTAGTCCTTCACTCAAAGAACCGTGCTCTGTCGATCCACCTTGCTCGCTCTACGGCTTATCTATAGTAACATTCGAGCATAAACCTGGTCAATTAGTAATCATTCATTAAAACGATTTCACCTGTGCCGATTATGATTTTTAGAATGTGTTAACTGCGTGCAAACTTTTGTTACGACTCTTCTACCGATTTTTTACGGATTATAATTAATTTGTGATTTTCTTTATAAATATTTTAGAAATTCTGTCGTTATATTGACGTAGTCTTTTTATTTTACGATTATGAGACCAACCTTTGGTAACAGTAGGTACTTTAGCCAAAAGACATATTTTAAATTTATTGTTGGATTTGTTATATAATGTACATATATTTATGTGATATGCATACATAAAACAATTTGTCCATATTTTGTAGTGTGCGAATTGCAACCGCGAGGCGTCGGCTGAGTGCTCTCTCTGCCGACGTACGCCGTACTGCTCGACATACTGCCAGAAGAAGGACTGGGCGGCCCACCAGATTGAGTGTTTGCGCTCTGTGCCCACCATTCACGCTGATCCTCAACAACATCAGTCAATAATGCTGATTGTCGAGAGCCAACATCAGTAGCGGTTAGTATCACCATTAATAAGTCACCTATAATAGTACCCAGTAGCATTTGCGATCTATATCAGTTGGCCTTGCTATAATTTATTTCGTTTTTATATTTTCTTTTAAATGCTAGCGACGCTGGTGTTACCAGATGTGTTGCATAATCTTATGATGTCGTAGTTCCGATCAAATATCACTCCTAAATGCTATTTGTATTTTTCAGAAATTTAACACCTTGGACCGTTTAACACCGGACCGACCTACTGAACCGGAAGACAACTTGTTACCCCTAATTTTATTTTGCATTCGCATAATATTATAGTTTATTGATGAAAATTGTTGTTGTAAATATAGTGTCCTTTAATATCTGCTAGCTAGGCTGTTATGATATGTAAGATTTCAATTATTAATACATAACTATTGCGTTAGTATTAAGTACCTACCATTCAAGTGGCGAAACGACGGATAACAGTGACCATTGAACTGAAATACTCACGTGGATCGGTGTCCACAACCAGGAATTTTGGGCAGTCAGCGCCTATTACCATTTCCATTAGTCGAACGTAATTTGAAGTCGATTATTGCATATGGGTTTCGTAATACAGTACGTACGTACTTATCCATATTTGTTTTTGTTTCTTAAGATGTACCAAAAACTTCAATCGATTGTTCTAGTTAGTACTAACTCAGACTTTCAATCATACTATCAAAGGTACTTCGCTGACTTTTTACATGTAATATATTTGTTCTGCGAATTATTCTCATAATGGTCGTCGAACCATCAATTTCTAAGACCATTTTGTAGTAATGACTGCTAGAAGATAGATTAGGTTTTGCAACTGTGTAATTTATTGATTGCATTCGTTTGCTTATTGTCATGTACATACATTGTTGTTGTATACAACAAAGCCACCGCTTGTAAAGCACTAGAAGTAGTTGTACCGCGGCGTACAATTTTAATTGTTGAGATTCTGTATGTCGATTTGCGCCATCCTATCGATAGTTGTAAATACTTTTAATATATTTTTGTTCATGCAAACTACCTACCGATAATGTAATTGGGAAGATGTTTATATCTGAAACATTGTAGTTACTTGCTAGAGCCCTATAAAGCTGATACGGTGAACTTGAAGATACAACACCCATCTTACATATTAGAGCTTGCATGTATTGTATTGATTCATTATTATTAGGGATACTGATAAAACATTATTTTCATGACAACATTTAAGTAAACGGGGATAGAGCGTTGTAATAGCAATATCTGTATATCCATATCTGTAAAGTATGTGTATATTAACAACACTAAAGATAGGATTATATAGGAAACATTTTCATCAGAGTTTCTCAACAGAACGCCGTCAGTTTTGATGTTTAGGAGTTCAAGATTTTGTGGCAAAGAGCACGAACGTAACGTCTGGGTAGACTGGGTTAACAAGTACATATAGTTTGGGTTTGTATTCCCTATAAGGTAGTAATTTCGGGCTATACCGGATAAGGGGTTCATGCAGGCTACAAAATACCGCATTCAAAATATGTTTTTAACACTGGTTGTAAGTAGGTGAGACCTGTGATTACGATGGAGTTTCTATAGGTACACTCACGTCAACATCAGGTCAGGGTTACATCAGATTTGACTAGGTCAGACGTTTACGATAGCTAAATCTGTGCAGACCAGTATAGGGAAATACAATAATCAAAATCATCGCTAGTATTAATGATTCAATTCAGCCTCGTTTATGAAATAATAAATTCTTTTTAATAACGAGAGGAGGTGAATAACCCTGGAACAGACTGGTGAAAAAAGTCCAACCTGCGATTAATGTATATAAGTATGCCGCAGGTTGGTAACAGATGATTATGAAGTCAATATATTTCTGTTAATTATGCAGTGGAGATATTGTTACGATCGTTTCAATGACCTATTTAAAGATTTGTTTACCAGAAATAGGTGTCCGTTACCCAGGCCAGATGTTGTCGACAATGGTCATTTGAATCTTATAGATAATTAGTTGTGCGGCTTCTGTAATTGTTGCGCACATTTTTAAATTTGTTGCGCTTATAGTTTTTTAATTATTTGACAAAAACATTTCCTGCTGAGGTAACGTTACCACAGCCAGACCTTTTTATTTCTAATGGGAATATTTAAATAAATATTAGCTATAAAATTAGTTGTCTAGATAAAGTAAATGTTGTGCCTTATTTTGTATTTGTTCTTTCTTTCTCTTTCTTCGGTTGCGAAGTTATTCGAGATTTTGCTGCGGTAACGTTTTTGGTTTTGCTAGATCTTTGAAATGGTTAAGCGGATTCTTATCATATTTTGTACACGACTTCCGAGGACTTAGTTTAAATTTGTTGTGCAATAACAAAACCAAAATAATGCATATTTTAAAGGTTTTTTCAATAAATAGAACAACACTTCAATTGGCCCCAGCACTCTTAATAAGAAGTCTAAAGACTTACTTTAAACGTAATTTTAAAGCTTGTAACTGCCTTCAAATGTATGTGAAGTTTCATTAGTATCCCGTAAGTATTTAACAAGTTATGATGATATTCAGTTCTTCACGAGCACGGTCTTAATGCACGCGGTGTTATTTGGCCAATGGATTGGATATATGAACTGAATGTTATGTCAATAATTAGTTGTTTAGATCAGTTGTATATCAGTAAAATTTCAGCTCAATACATTGGATAATTAATGAGATAATACTATGAAAGTCATTAGGAAGTGAATGACCGTGGTAAGCCGACCAAGTTTAGGTGGTTACGAAAAAGCGAAAACGCAGAACATTGTACTATCTTTTGAAATGTTTAGTATAATACACCTTACAATTTTGGTACAGACGCGTACACTGTTTAATACCTATATAATAATAATATAAAAGAAAACATTATCTTCCAGTTCCACAAAATTATCAAAAATCACCGCTAGAGCATGCCGTTCGGTAGGACGCAGGAGGAGTGGGGTGAAGGGGTAATACATTGTTTGCATAACGCACTCAGTCTTGCCAGAAGGTTACTTTTGTAACCTTTTAGATGATTTTTGAACTGCATTTTGAAATAGAAATGACAAGGACGGGTGATGTTTAATCGGTTGCTAAGCAACACAATTTTTTTATAAGTAAGGGAGTAAAAGTTCAATTGAAATGATTATTTTACCTTTCAATAAAAAATCTTGTAGTTTTTTTTTAAACTTTTGTACATGTCTGTACTAAATTTATAACACTATCCTACATATTTTAGAAGGTACCATAATGTTCTGCGTTTTCGCTTTTTCGTAACCACCTAAACTTGGTCGGCTTACCACGGTCATTCACTTCCTAATGACTTTCATAGTATTATCTCATTAATTATCCAATGTATTGAGCTGAAATTTTACTGATATACAACTGATCTAAACAACTAATTATTGACATAACATTCAGTTCATATATCCAATCCAGTGGCCAAATAACACCGCGTGCATTAAGACCGTGCTCGTGAAGAACTGAATATCATCATAACTTGTTAAATACTTACGGGATACTAATGAAACTTCACATACATTTGAAGGCAGTTACAAGCTTTAAAATTACGTTTAAAGTAAGTCTTTAGACTTCTTATTAAGAGTGCTGGGGCCAATTGAAGTGTTGTTCTATTTATTGAAAAAACCTTTAAAATATGCATTATTTTGGTTTTGTTATTGCACAACAAATTTAAACTAAGTCCTCGGAAGTCGTGTACAAAATATGATAAGAATCCGCTTAACCATTTCAAAGATCTAGCAAAACCAAAAACGTTACCGCAGCAAAATCTCGAATAACTTCGCAACCGAAGAAAGAACAAATACAAAATAAGGCACAACATTTACTTTATTTATACAACTAATTTTATAGCTAATATTTATTTAAATATTCCCATTAGAAATAAAAAGGTCTGGCTGTGGTAACGTTACGCCAGCAGGAAATGTTTTTGTGAAATAATTAAAAAACTATAAGCGCAACAAATTCAAAAATGTGCGCAACAATTACAGAAGCCGCACAACTAATTATCTATAAGATTCAAATGACCATTGTCGACAACATCTGGCCTGGGTAACGGACACCAGAAATAGAAAATTGACAAAATCCCTGTGTGTCAATATTCTATTTCTAGTAAGTGGATTGTATAAAGACGGAAGATGTAAGTACTATTTATTAAGTAGTCGTAAAGGGTTAGATGTATTTATAAATATATGATAATGTAAAATATACATATGTAAGAATTTTATAGTCTGTAAGTCCCTAGGATTTTATTACTTAACAGTTTGGGATTGGTGGTTGTCTAATGTTGACTTTCTCAGTCAACGGTGATTGTTTTTAAATGGTACCTTAATATTAAACGCAACCATCTTGCATTGGTATTTATCGTAATTTATTTACCTATGTAAGTTTTTCAATTAGTTATTTAATGTAAGCGTCTGTTTTATGCTTAAAGATATTTTTCATACATAAGGTCAGTTTAAAAATTTCATTGAATGTTTTTTCTGTTTGTGAAATTTAGCCATCAATTATGTTTCCCAACACCAATCAAATTAATGTTATTTTGTTGCAAATTGCTTTTAATTTGTTGGTGTTTATTTACCCCTCAGGTTATTTAAATATTTTTTCCAAATAAAATATTTTTCCAATGTTATCCGTCGCTAGCTATAAAATTGTTTCATAAAGATAAGATCAGCTTTCAATTATGTTGTCTGATGCCAAATAATGATTTTTAAACAAAAGTAATAAAATTATCTTACAGTAATTGACTTGGAATTTCCTCCATTTGACATGTCTCTAGATATTTATGCTGCCTTGTTGCTGTATTACAACAGAAACAAGTTAGACTACTTTCCTTACCTTAGTTAGGTATTTAAATAAATAGTGAGCGCTATTAGTGTAAAGTTTTTAAATTAAATAAATTGTTTCAATGTTATTTAATGATTAAATGAATTACTTTTTAGTTTTATGGTTACCAATAAAGAGTGAAAATGTTTTTTTCTGTTACCAAATATTATTGTAACATTATTTCTTAGTCCAGCATGTGTACTATTTTGTAAATGATTTTTTTATTATAAAAATATTAACGTGTTGCGTTGTTATTTCGTTAATTATCATTATTAAGTGTATGTGAAATCATGTACATGTTATTTAATGTTTTACAAAAGTTTTGTTTCTTAAGTGATTCTAGAGAAATAAGTTCAATTTTTTATTGGGAAAAGGCTCCCGGTGACCGGCCTTGTCTATTTAATAGAATTTTTTCTTGTTTGTCGTCTGGGACTTATCACATAAATGTATTATTTTTATATCTAGGTACATTTTAGCTTTATTCTTCCCTAGTTTTATAATAGTTGTGTTAATGAATATTACAACGTCTCGTCCTGTAGTTTGTTATTGTTTTCTGTCTCTGTCTTCAACGCATCGTAAGTAATCCCATCAGTTGTAGCTCTTGAATGTAGCTCCTCACGTGTTACCATCCTTCATTACATTGTCATTAAAAAAATCTATAATTTGTCTTGTCTCGGCATTGCCGTCCACAATTCTCTTTGGTATCAGTGTTTCTGTTTTACTGTAATCGTCGTCTGGTATATAGAATATTCTTTAACTATTTGTATCTCTAAATCTTCAAAGTCTTCTTTTGTAACAGCCCTTATTTTGCCCTAAAGACTGAAAAATCTATTCTGAATAGTGAAATATTTTTGTCGCGATTTTTTCTTAATCTTCGAGGCCAACTATATTTTTTCCTTGCTTGGGTCATATTGCTAAAAATCTTCTTGTCTTCTTCTTTAAACAATTAACTTTTATTTATTGTGTTCCTGTTATAGAATCTTTATCTACTCTTTGGCATTGTAGGCTTAAATGCATCATTTTCTTAATATCCTTAATTATCGAAATAGTGTCTTCTTTTTTACTCTTTCTCTACTGAGGTCATTCAATTCTGTAATCATCATCATCATCATATCATCAATGTCAACTGTCGAATATAGGTTCAGATACTGTCCAGGTACGCAGGTTAGACTTTGTAGTGTCTAAAAAACTTATATCTTTATTTGTGTTAGTTTCTTGCTAAAGGTGTGTCATACAATATCGATGTTATAATTTTCTTACTCTGTCTCTCGAGGTTTTCTTAAGTCACTTTGTTATTCATCTGTGCGTTCTATTCGGATCTCAGAATCTCACTGATCTTTCTTATTTCTTTATTGGTCTTATTCGTCTTCCTTACTTCTGGCTACCAATTGTTTCCGCATCATGTGTCTCTCTATCTACTGTTATTTGCTATGTCCGTGTTTTAGATTTTTTAGATATCTGTTTTCGTGTGTCTTAAAATTCTGCACTCCTGTCTTTTTAATGATGACGATGCTGTGATCTGCATGCTACCTCCTATTATAACAATTTACTAATGACATTAACCTGGAACTGGTTTTAACCTCGAGATATTTTCTGTTGGATATTTATTATTATATATATATTGGATATAGATTGGATTAGTTCTTGTGTTTGTTAGGTTGATGCTTGAACTTGTCAAGCTATAAAACGCAAGATGTCTGCAGATAGAATATCTCGTGGCGAAAGCCCGCTTCTAGCAGCTGTATAATTCTCAGATATCGGTACATGTAGCTTGATTTCTTTATTTGTGAGATCGATGGAAAATCTAACCTATGTATATCGGAGTACGAAGCATTTTATAAATAATCGACGTATTCTTGTATTAACAGTAAATATAAATATAAATATAGGTAAGACGTAGAAAAAAAAAATTAATTTCTTAATCAACTGACTATAGAGATGCCTTATTACATTAATGTATAAAGCATTGTGTCCTTAGTTAACTTGTAATAATATGGAGTCCTCAAAATTACCATATTAAAATTGATATACTTAATTAAAATATCGATTAGATTTTTCTTCGAGATTTTTGCAATAAATTATTCGTATATTCCAATAAATACAAGTAGTGTGAGAATTCTTTGTTCTTAACATACATAATGTTAGGAGTGCAATAAAATCATCAATTTAAAAAGTAAGTTGGATTGATTGTTTGACCATAAGACTACGGGATGAGTTTTTTTGTGTTTGTACTTAATGTTCACATCTACTACAAAAGCTAAAATGTACATAGATATTTAATTTATTAATTATATACACTCATTATTATCATGTATCTAAATGAAATTAATCACATCTTAATGCATAATAAATGTATTTAAATACTAAATATATGTTTAAATGTATGTTTTTGGTTTTTATTTTCATAACAAACCTTAGAATGTGTTCTAGGACTTTATAGAAGATCTTTGGTGACGATAAAAAAGATAGAAATGAGTATGTACATTATTTTTTTATGAGAAAATTGTTATCAATACCAAGGTAGCGAAGATTAAATCATTAAATTGAAAAGTTCTTTGCAGTGTACACAGCATTGTTGTAAGAGATAGCTATTTGACCTTCTTTCCAGTACCTACGTGTTAGAGATGATACCTTGCTGAAAGGCCCTTATTTACCTATATATATATATATTTTATTTAGTAGGTCGGCAAACGAGCGGATGTATCACCTGATGATAAGTAATCAGCGCCGCCCATGGACACCCGCAACGGAGGAGTTACGAGTGCGTTGCCGACCTTTTAGGGATTAGGGCTTTGGAGATTTAGGGATTGAGGGGGCATTGGGGACGGGAAGGATTGGGCCTCCGGTAACCTCACTCACACGGCAAAACACAACGCTGTGGTTGTTTCACGCCGGTTTTCTGTGAGGCCGTGGTATCACTCCGGTCGAGCCGACCCATTCGTGCCGAAGCATGGCTCTCCCACATATAATTAATGAACTACAAAAGTAAAATACGAAAGTGAGCCGTTAGACATATTTATGTAATTAACATCACATCATCATCAGCCTATAAATGCCCACTGCTGAGAAAAGGCCTCTACTCACACAGAGAAGGTTTGAGCATTAATAACCAGCATTGGTAATTGAGCATTGCACAAAGCGGATTGGCGAAATTTAAATTGGTGAAACTTACCTATACTTATTAATTATAAGTCCAGGTTTCCTCATGATGCTTTCCCTCACCGATGTCATTGGTGTCTCAATAATCATAGAAAGTACATATAACTTGGAACAAGTTATGTTATGCATGGGAATTAAAATGTTAATGGTGTATGTACCTAAAACAAAACATACATGCGAAGACACTATACGATAAAAAAAAACGCTACAGAATAATATTTATTTGCATATACATATTCTGGGTTAAAACGCTATTGCTTATAATGCATTGATTTTCTAGCACTATTTTCGCATGGCATATTTAGTTCTAATGGCAACGCCCCTATCAGGGTCTTGAACCTATGTATAAGTAGTGATATTTTCAAAACTTTAGGCGATTCACAGTTCCCCTCAAGAAATATCTAAGTTAAGGGAATGTTAATGATGTTAGTTTATTGAGTTAACACACTGAATGGTATTGTCAGAACAGGGAGATAAGATTTGACAGTTCCAGTAAATTCAGCATCAAGAACAAACTTACCAGTGAGATTGGAACACCAGTGTTAGTAAAATCGCAAGTGAGAATGAGTTCAGTAGCGAGATGAAACTCTTCTCATCAGCAGCAATATATTTGTCAATTAGGATCAATATAAAATGTACTCTGTGGTTAGGATGACGTCACCAGTGAACTGAAAATCATTATTGATAAAGAAGTTATCAACGATCACAGAATAGTATGTAAGAATGTACCTACTCAACTGCGAGTCATCAGTGAGACAGAGAAATCTACATTGGCGCCACCATGTGAATAACGAAGTGAAAGGAACTCAACCAAGTTTTTGACGTTTGTGTACAGCCGAGATGAGAAGCGAAGTGGTGTGTGATTTTCGAAATGATATTTACCATTTACAGAATATTATTGCTGTTCTTTTGTGTACCTACTCAGATTTTTCACTTCACTGAGGTAAGTGACTAAAATGCTCATCACTCGTGCTTCGAAATTGCTTTTTGTACTTAATGGTAAAATAAAAAAGGGCTTATAATAGGTAAATGTTTATTTCATAAAAATTGAGGTAAGTATAGATACATAAATACATATCAATCATTAATAGATTTGTCTATTTATTATTACTTTCATTCCAATTAAGCTATTTATCAAATACAACTATTACATATAACACATCAATGTTGGCAATAAAATACTAAGTGAATTAAAACGGGAACGATACATATGTTTTTATTTTCGTATTTTTTGGTTTCTCTTCATAACGTTTTCAAAATATCTGCTTATCAACTTCTTGATCAGTCAACAGGGCAAACGCCGACATGTGTGTTTCTTCCTGCAGCTGTAAGTGGAATTTTGAGAGGTGTTTCTCCAATAACGATCTTTCTGATGCACCCTGTGAAGCCGCGTCGCGATCGGACTCCACGCAGCTTGTGCAGAGGGCGCTCGTGGCCTCCGATGTACAGAGCGGATCGGGTGTCAGTCGAGGAGTAAGCGCCCATTCCTGGCTTGGAGAAGTGACCGTCCACACCGACCGATACTACATACAGCGATTTCACCACTGAAAATAAAATTTATAACTGTCAATATAGTCTATCAATAAGGGCAATTTTGGCAATCAGGTACTGCCCAATGTGTTCTCGTAAGATCTTCCGCTTTATGTAATCGTAAGCTGATGATATGTGATCGTGATTAATTAATGCCATTGGTATTGTTAAACTCAAAGCACTGAGATTTAAAAAAATGATAATTCCGAGTATCGAGTTTTCTAGTATCCGTGAGTCAAACTAAATCCCTCGTACTCTTCCATCGACCGACATGATAGCATGTGCCTAAAGGCGAAACATGAGACGATTAGTATGCTTTAAAAAGGTCCATGTACGACCATTCTTTAAAATACAAATGATTTTTCTACCAATAAATAAAATATACTTTGGTGTAATACTATCGGTTTGTGTGCAATTTGTGAGAGAATAGCAGAATATATGGGTCCGTTTGTTACGTATTTAAATATTAAGCTTACCGTGAATCTTATGCCAGTTGCCATCACAGAGCGCAAACTTGTTGCCGAGTGAGTAGCTTGCTCGGAATGGTCCGTTACCATTCTCAACATTGGCTACTACTTCGTTCTCCAAAAGTTCGAGAACTAGATAGTCTTTCTTGCCGTGCACGCTGAGCAACAGACCCGTGCTGTTGCGTGGACGAATCTCCATCGATATCGACACTTCATCACCTACTTTGAAGTATTCAAGGAGCTGTAACAAAACAAAATGTTATTTTCATACTGTAACTAGCGGCCCGCCCCCGCTTCGCACGGGTCCAACTATCTCGCTATTATAGTGACACTTTTCCTTAACTTCCCCTCTACTTTTCTAATATTTTCTTTGATAAAAACCTTCTCCTGACAATAACAAACACAACAAAAAAGAATAAGCAAAATTGGTCCAGGCGTTGTTGAGTTATGCGCTTACCAACACATTTTGCGATCCATTTTTATATATAAGATTATGGACTATACTATACAGCTTCTAGCTCAGGAGCTGATATTTATATATTGAACTGTACTGAAAATTTTATCCAATCCTTATCGACACCGCGGTGTCAACTAAAATGAACTCTCGAAAACGTACCTACATAGCAGTAATATTTTACTAATAAAATGTACCTTCAAGTAGTTGCTCTGCATGTTGGTGGACGCTCCGAAGTATACGCCATCTTCCACGTTGTCGGAGCACCGCAGAGAGTTGACTCGGTACGACACGTCGGTCACGTGTTGCCCGTTCATCATTAGACCCTTAAGGCAACCCTTAAATGGCTGGTAGAAGCCCTGCACACCGAAACAAAGAATAAGAATTCGTATATTTTTGGAAAATCATGAGAACTAAGTAAGCTTTAGAATTTAAAATACTCGTGTAACGCGGCATCCTAAACGGTTTGTGTCGGACGCATGCGCGTGGCGTTATAGGCAACGCCACACCCCTTTTCCACTACCCCGCCACTGACCGCTCGACGCTTGCGTAGGCGCGAAACGGGAGTGAGTCCCCGCGCCGGCGACGGTGACGCACGCGCCCTTGTATTTGTGCCGCGAACTTTGAGTAATTGTCGTTTTGAACAATCTTTATACACCATTATAGTGACGCCCAACTCGCGGCCACGATCGAAGTGAACGAACAGTGAAAGTGCATAAAAACTCAAAGTTACGATAAGTTCTAGTGTTCCTATTGTGCAAACACATGCTGTGGACCCTTTCCGATAGTGCATCACACAAGAACTATCGCAGAACCAGCGCAAATACCTACGCAAACAAAATTTGGGCGAGTCCATTTTTCCCGCGCGTTACCGGCGGCGTCAGTTGGTATATACCTACCATACCGACTCACTCAACGTACCATCCTTGAAGCCATCACCCGTGCTCTTCGAGCGAGTAACAGCGGGAATTTCCTGTTACCATGCCGCCGAAGAGAAGAACTGGAAGAGATGAGGGATCGGAATCCGACACAGACGTCGAGATGAACAGAACTGTGGTTTCGTCACCGAATTATATAATGTCGGCAGATATGCTCAACACCCTTGTCTCCAACATCACTAGGAGTCAAGTGGAAGCAAACAGAGTTCTGATTGAAAGTATTTTGGCGGGAAACAGAAACCCGCCGAGTACGGCGTCACCGCGCCGCGAAGACGCCGACGCTTGTACGTACGCGCCACGCGTAGGTAACTTCGCGAAGTGTACGGCGCGCTTTAGTGGATCGTCGAGGAACGCGGATGAGCTCGAAGCTTTTATTGAGGCCATCGAAGTCTACCGCGAGTGCACCAACGTCAGCGACGAGCACGCGCTGCGCGGGCTGCCGATGCTGCTGGTTGGCGAGGCCGCCGTCTGGTGGCAAGGAGTGAAGTCGTCGGTCACGTCTTGGACCGACGCCCTGCAGCGACTTCGAGGGATGTTTGGAGTGCCGCGACCCGGTTATAAGATCTTCAGAGACATTTTCGCTACCGAACAAAATAGTGAACGGGCCGATGCGTATATTTGTAAAGTGCGCGCTTTGTTATCAAAATTACCGTACGTAGTACCGGAGATAATGAAGTTGGACATTGTATACGGACTGTTAGATCGTAGAATTAGAAAACGCGTGTGCCGTGATTCCGTCGACGGGCTGGAGCAACTCATCACCAAAGTCAGGTTAGTCGAGGAGTCACTGGCGGAGGTAAGTTCTCCCATTCATAATAATAATCATACGAGCCTTGTTGACTCGTGCGCCACGCGTGACCGTTCTGACACAAACCGGAGTCCTACCCTTGCAAATACCGTTGTCGAACCTATTAGTTCAAAATCATTATGTAGCGTTAAATCTATAATAAGTTCACGCGATGCGGCCGTGTCAGGTGAGGCCTCCGCGACTAGCGTAAATAATAATATTTACGACGTACGTAAGCGTACGCGACCGAAGTGTTCGTACTGTAAACTCTTCGGACATACAGACGAGGACTGTCGTAAAAAGAAGAAAACTGTTGATTCTTCTAGCAATTTTAGTAATAATATCTCGCAGTTACGTTGCTACGGATGTGGTCAGCTTGGAGTAGTGCGATCACAATGCGAAAAGTGTAAATTTACGCTTAGCTCGAGTAAAGCAGACTTTTGTAGTGCTTATACCGTAGATATGAGCGACGGCGATTCGCGACCGCTGATAGACATTGAAGTAGTTGACCGTAAGGGCGTGGCCATACTGGACACAGGTGCCACGCATTCTATTGCGAGCCCTATGCTATATTCCTTGCTTGTTGACGCCGGCGTTGCCTTTAGGAAAGTTTTGCGTACCATTGGTCTCGCTGACGGGTCACAGCAAAGATACACCGCGTTAGAGTGTGACGTCAACGTCATTTTGAAAGGACGCGTGATACCTACCACGTTTATGGTGCTACCGAAGGCACGAACTAGGACGTTGTTAGGTAGGGATTTTATTACAAAAGCGAATATCCTGTTGGATCTACCACAGTGCAGCTGGTGTTTTAACGACGAGCCGAGTTGGCATCCGTTCGCCACCAGATCCGCTTTACCTACTGGCGACAGTATGGAGCTGATGAAGGCAGCAGCGGACATTCGCGAAACTCAACGCGAGGAGTCGGAGCACGATCCGTTCAGGGGGAGTCGGTCCGACCGCGGCTACAACATGTCCGCCGGAATATTATGCAGGCCTGGCCCTGAACAGGGAAACCCAGAAACGGCATTTCTGGTTACCTCCAAACACGCTCGCGAAGTTTATGGTAGGAACCGAGCAAACCAGAAACGTAGCTCTGCGCCGGAATACTCCGCAGGAGGTCAGGATCGGATTAAGCGGGTCATTAGCCCCACGATGCATATTTTGGAGACAGTAGGCGGTGGCGAGATTTTGGGTAAGTACCACGTCTCTCAGCTTGCCCCTTCCGTAGGCGATGTATTGGTTCCGCCTGTAAACGAGAAGCGTAGGCGTGGAAGACCTAAACGATATCTAGACTGACCTAGACGCGAGGGCGCTATGTCTAGGTCAGAGGGGGAGGTTGTAACGCGGCATCCTAAACGGTTTGTGTCGGACGCATGCGCGTGGCGTTATAGGCAACGCCTCACCCCTTTTCCACTACCCCGCCACTGACCGCTCGACGCTTGCGTAGGCGCGAAACGGGAGTGAGTCCCCGCGCCGGCGACGGTGACGCACGCGCCCTTGTATTTGTGCCGCGAACTTTGAGTAATTGTCGTTTTGTTATTAATTTCCCTTTGTAAAGTGTCTCAATATATATTATTTCACTGTTGATCGTGTGTCGAACCTTATTTCACACCCCCCGAGAACAATCTTTATACACCATTATACTCGTAAATTAATAATCGAGAAGTCCTGGTAAATTTCGTAACGCTATTAAAGAACCTATTGGTAATAAATAATAAAGTTATAGTGACGCCAATAACCTGGAGATTATTGAGGATGTTCTGGTTGAGGTCCCTGAGCCCACCATAGTAGAAGGGCGCAGCGAGTGTCGCAGGCGCACCGCAGATGGCGCTGGTCTCGCCCACTAACTCGGAGTCCACGGCCAGCTTGCCGTGTCCACCGCTGCGGGTCAGAGTGACAACGTGCCACTCTGTGTCATTGTATGTCTGCGTGGACGAGATGTGTGCAGTCTCACCGCCGCAGTTGAAGGCGAAGTGTAACTGAAATGACATAATATGTACAAATGAAAAGCTTGTATAAAATAGCAATAGTAAGGATCTAAAACTAAAGAGGTAAACTTAACAAATTCAGTGCCACCGACTCGCCTAGAGTCCACCTAAATTTTATTCCAGCGCCGTGGACTCGCCCGGGGATTTCAACGTAAGGCCGCTATCCCACTAGGCGTTTTACTAGCGTTGGCGTCAACGTTGTGTTTGCGTGGCAAGCATTAACGTCCGTGGAATAGCGGCCTAAAATGTACGAGAAATGTAGGCGGCATCCGTCATTGTGAAATTCGTAATGAAAGAGTTAACTTGGTTTAAAAACAAACAGGTAAACACCGATACAGTTTAAAAAATAAAAACATGTAAAGAGAGTCCGAATGAAAAGAGTTCAGCAACATTATTATTATATTGTACAGTTCAAAAGCAGGTAAATTACGTAATAGTAAGCAAGCGTACCCTGGCGTCCTTCATATAGAAGGCTAGGAACTGTGTGGGGTCTCTGTCAGCGGCGGCGTAGAATACGAGCCCGCCATGCTGGTCGAATGTTCTAAACGAGATCGTCAGGTCAAAGCCTTGCAGGTGACGGCCAGGCAGCTTCGAGTACTCGATGCGACTGTCGTTGCGAGTACCTGAGGAGTATTACATTTAATAAATCTACATCGGATACTTTTGTACAGTCAATCAATGAATACACGGTTGGCGCTGTGGCTGCCCTACTAAATTCTTCGCTTAGGTTTTGAAATCAAGATAGATAATGTCATTATTTACATACATTGAATAACAATGACAAGAGACTATTGTTGGCTGTTAGCTTCTGAGGATGACCAAAAGATACATCTTAATCTCGAATATCAATCTAAAATTTAATCGTTATATTTTCAATACTTATAAAATAGCTTTTTATTTCGAGTTATAATAATAAGAATATAATTAACACTATCCCGTTGTACGCTGGAGCGCAGATATACGCGAAACACAATGTGTTTTCTATTGTGTCTCATATACCAGCAGACAAGATGTTAAAAACTAACAATATAAAGGTAGGTAATATAATATATAAGATACTTTGAAATAGTGTAGGTAGGTATACGTACCGAATCTGTATCCCACATCTGGGTCACCTGTGGTGTAGAAGTGATCGTACGCGAGTGCGCAGCCCTGCTCCGGCTTGGGTGGCGGCCGGCGGGTGGTGGTAGTGGTGGTGGTTGTGGTAGTGCTGGTGGTGCTGGTCTGCGGGGCCGGGGTAGTGTCCTCGGCCACCGGCACTGGGAGCACCTCGTTATGTAATACTGCTTCTTCTAAACGTGCCAATAAGAAATGTGTCAATTACATGTAGAAATGACTTTTAAAATATAGGTAGATACTTTGATAGTGGTTCCTAAATGTATTATTATTATTTATTATTAGGTACTACATGCTTGACCGAGCAATGGATGAATGGAAATTTTTCCGAGATTCTCACGAGATGTTTACAGAACAACAGGAATACAACATATATATAGGAATATAACTTGGAAATAATGATACAACATATATATAGGAATATAACTTGGAAATAATGTGTACAACTGAGAATTTCAAAATTAAAGTTTAAAGTTTTATCTTGTCCTCTTGATATTATGTTATTTACACACTACTAGACAAACGAGCGAAGTAACGTAACTGATAGAACATTATGAAATAGATACCTCTGTTGGGTGGTGCTTCACTAGGGCCTGGTAACCCTGGCGTGGGCAACACGTCAGGTCGTGGAGTCGCCGCCCATTGTGCTTGATCTGATGGCAAAAACATTTCCATTACTATAGTCCAATTGTGGTTTATAATTTAACCCTAAACCTCTTATTGTAAAACAAGATTTACCTTTAGTCTAGGTTTAAACCATTGAGTCAGGTGAAGTAGTTTCAATTTGTTTGCAAATATATGCGTCTTGTTTTGATCATTAGTGGTTCAAGTAGTTTATTGAAGAATTTTATACTATATTTGTAATGATAAGTCAGAATAACAGAAGCAGGTATTAGTAAAAGCGGCTCACCAGGGCTGAGTCCTCCAGTAGTAGTGGTGGTGCCGCAGCGGCCGAACGTGGTGCTGCTGTTGCTGAATGGTTCGAGCAGGTTGAGTACGCGCCCGTTGATGGTGGCGTCGGCGATGCAGCCAGTGAACGGAGTCTTGGAGCCGACCTTCCCGCCCACCACGTAGCCCGGCTGCACGCCGCCCACGAACAGCACCCCTTCCAGTATATGAAGCGGCGCTGGCGCTGAGTCCGTACTGCAAATTATTTGCAATGTTATGTTACAAGTGTGGGAGAGCCAAGCTTCGGCACGAATGGGTCGACAAGACCGGAGTGATACCACGACCTCACAGAAAACCAGCGTGAAACAACCACACGGTTGTGGTTCTCCGTGTATAATCCGCAACCCTTATCCCTAAAAGGCCGGCAACGCACTCGGTAACTTATTTGGTGTTGCGGGTGTCCATGGGCGGTGCCGAATGCTTACCATCCTGATCCGTTAGCTCGTTTTCCGACTTATCCCGTATAAAATGACGCGAATAGATACTTTTTGTTTGATTGTTTACTTATCGACTCTTAGTGCATTATTAAATATTTTCTTTAGTATATAGGGTATCGATAGTTTGGTTCTAAGTTACCTGAAGTAGTCGTAGTCGTCGACGACAAGGCGCAGCGCGTTGTTGTTGTGTGTGACAGTGACGACGTGCCACTGCGAGTCGTTGTACGTGCTTAGCCCAGTATCCAATTGCTCGCGTTGACTCATCAGCACCAGTTTACCTATACACAACGTATTATTGATTTATCAAGAATTGCTTAAACAAATCATTGCTGACCAAATCGTAGATGGATAAGGTTGTGAATTCCTCGAAATATTACTTTTCCAAATATCAGTCCGTAATAAAGTGGATGCAATTTTTTTATAAAAATTACAAGTATTGTTTCATAAATACTTATTAAATTAATGGAAAAATCCAAGTTGTTAATGTTAAAATTATATTGATGGTGAATTGTTATTAACAACTTTTATTTTATAAGTTCTAATTTTATTCAAACTACTTTAATATATTAGTTCAAATAGTTTTTTATAGTAGATACATACGTAACTAAATTTAAATGTCACTGGTAGGTAGGCAATACTTAGATACGCAAAGTTTTAAACGAAAGATATAAAAGATACAAATAACAAACCTTTAATGAGTGACAGTGATATGCTGTCTGGCATGGCGGTGGTCTGCGTACGACTGACGTAGACGAATAACAATCCGTCAGGACTGGATGTCTTGAACTTAAGCGTTAGCTGCAGGTTATCTGACGTGATGTCCATGTATCGGAGGAAACTGTCCTTACCCGATAGAGACACCAACGATGCGAACTAATGCATACAGATACAAAAACAAATTAGACAAAAATTTAGAAAGACAAAAGTGCAAAATAATATTTCAAAATATTTGTGTGCTTTTCTTACTTACCTGGCAACCGTAAGCTATGCCAATGGACTCCAAATTATCGCTAAGGTCGATGTTCACACCATCAATACTGATCTGTCTCATGCAGCCGTCAAATCCAGCACTTGTTACTTGTATGATGCCCTTATTGTCTCCTCCGAAGTTCATGGTGTCAAGAGCTGTTATCGAGTCTTCTGTGCCAGCGGAATCCATCTTTATAATCTCCCTGTCCACCTTAAGGGAATACTTTGTAAGGATGCGAGCAGCATCCAATCTGTGCCATTTGCCATCGTTGTAGGAGTTCGTTGTACCTATTATCAGGAGGTCTTCGGGATTGCCCAACGATACCTAGCAGAAGAGAAAAGATTAAGGTAAAAAACATTTTTTGGTCAGACATGCAAATTTTTTGGATGTTCCTGTCTAGAAGGCAACAATTTTCCAAACGTTTACTAAACAGTGCAATGAATAACTAGCAGAACTTACTAGTTTGCAAAATAATTGTTTGACAAACAACATTTTACCTGTAAGAATACTCTTCCATCTTGCATTTGAACAGAGAAGAAGTAGGCGCCTTCTCCGACAAGGTAAATGAGACCATCAGGAGCGTATGTTCTGAAGAACAAGAGGATCTGGTTCTTCTGCGGAGTGAGGTAGCCGCGGCCTGGCATAGTAACGTGAGCGCGCCCATTAAACCTATACTCTTGTGGACCCGTGTGTGGAGGCAGCAACTTGTCCCTAGAATTTAACAAGGAGGTTACATCGAGTGTACTATGACAGTATATCAGAATTTTACTTCAAGTGTTTAGCAAAAAATGACCATTCGCAGCATGATCTTTTCGACCAATATTTTTTAGATATACATACCTTTGTCTAGCACCCTTCAAGTTTTCGGCTCTTTCGAAGTTCCATAAACCGACAGGAGTGTCTCCAATCATGAGCTCCTCGATTTGACCCTCAAAGGCTGGGAAGCTGACTGATTGTAGCTTGGCGTCTGATGGAGCTCCTCCCACATACAACTTAGATTTCTGCCGATCAAGGTTGAAGATGGTGTGCTGGCCAGGTAACACTGCATCCTTGGAATGTATGTAGTCAGCGGATCCATTGTCAAGACTCTCACGGATTGAAAGCTTCACATTACGCCCGACCCTGTTGTTGAAAGAATAATTCAAAGTGACTTATTTTTATCTTACTTACATTATAAATGCGAAAGTAACGATGTTTGGATTTTTGTTACTCAATCACGCCAAAACGGCTGGACGGTCGGGATGAAGTTTGGCACTGGCATAGAATACACTCCGGAATAGGACATAGGATACTTTTTATCAACATACCATGCCAGCTTCGCTGGCGGAAGCTAGTAAAATAATAATCTTAGAATCACAAAAGAACAAAGCATTTGTTTCAAATTATGTTATACAATGATTAAATTTGCGAAGTGCAAGCCAAATAAAGCGCAATCTGAGCAAAATTCTTTGTTTTTATTTGAACCAAATATGTAAGTAAACAAAACCTAATATTAACTTACCTGTCGACGATAACCTGGTACCATCGATTGTCTGCGACGAACTTGTCGCTGCCAATCCTGGCGGGTTCGCGACCTGACTCAGCACTGTCACCGATATCCATCTTCAGGTAAGGATAGCCATTCTCTACACCCACTACCATGAAGTCATCCTAAAATAGAATTATTGAAATTAATTTGTGTTTGTCAAATCAGCCGATGATATTTGCATAACGTATCTAAGCAAAAACTCACAGATTTAGTTCTTCTCAGCATGGTGTCCTTAGGGTTTCCAAGGTACAGGATGAGGCCGTCTTTCTCCTTGGTCTTGAAGTAGACTGAGACGTGTGTGGAGGTTGACATCTCGTCGATGGTGTCCGGCAGAGGGGGCTGCAGTGTCGTGCGTCGGTCGAACGTCACTCCCACTTGGATACGATTCGCTACTGTACGTGCCTGAAGATATAAGATGATATATTGCATCAAACCTTTCAACCGTGGTAATTCGAACCACAACAGTAGTTTATGCACGCCGGCGTTTATGCACATAAACCAGTGGTATAAATTTGTACTGTCTGAATGTATGGATATATAGAGCATTTGCCAACCTGTTCAATGAGCTCCTTCAATTTACGTAGTTTCTCATCGGCTTCCTTACGTCTGTCCTCAAGGTCATCCTGCCTGACCTTTACTGTCTGGTACGTTTGCGTGATCTCAGGGTTCAGCTTGTCGATGTCCTTCACTGATGGGAAAGTAAGAAATTTTTTATAAAGTGTATCTTCGTAAGAAAAACTTTCAGTGATCACGAAGTGACTTTTGCAATTATTCGTTTGATGAAGTGAAACTATAACATAGTATAAAAACGCAAACAATATAACATAAGAACGAGCTTTTGACATGCATACATAGGTATAATGACTCGATAATTATTTTGAACGAAACTGTTCGGACCACAGCAAGGCAAAAAGAAACTTAAAATTGTATCTACATCACGCAAAATTGAAGTGCAAAAAGATTTTATCATATAGAATACGAGAACCTACTACGTTTTAATTCTTAGTTAATTTTATACAGACCTAAATTGTCAACGTTGGCAGCCATTTTCTGGGCTTCATCAGCAAGCTTAGGCAGAGACTGCGCAAATTCCTTGCTGGCTGCGAGCTGAGCACCGACCTGAGACATGATGTCCAGGGTCGACTTTACCGTGCTGTTCACCTGATCAGCCTTTGCGACCTCATCAGCTAGAGAGAATGGTGGGGGCGTGCGTAGTGAGCTGTACAAAGATAATTAACAGAAGTTTATTGAGGACATCCAAAAATGGCGATTATAAATTCGATGGGTAAGAGATGGTGGCGTCAGTAGTAAATAAGTTAAAGATTACAGATTCCAGTTTAGTGATTCCATGTCTAACATACTGTGGATTAGGTACTAGCTATATAGGATGCAGTTTTGGGATTAATAAATGACTAATGTATTTTATAACTTATTAATATAATATTACTTAAGTGTGGGAGAGCCATGCTTCGGCACGAATGGATCGGCTCGACTGGAGTGATACCACGGCCTCACAAAAGACAGTAGCGTTGTGTTTCGTCGTGTGAGTGAGGTTACCGGAGGTCCAATCCTTCCCCGCCCCCAATCCCTATTTCTCCAAACCCCTAAAAGGTCGGCAACGCACTCGTAACCCTTACGTTGCGGGTGTCCATGGGCGGCGCTGATTGCTTACCATCAGGTAATCCGTCTGCTCGTTTGCCGACCTATTACATAAAAAAATATACCGTAAACTTTAGCTGATAACATAAATTTTGTAACTTACAATTGTATGGCGTTATTGTCATCGTCAGCGGATCCCATGGTCTTAAATGCATGTGCTAGTTTTTCTTCTGCCTTTGTCAAGTTTGGACTCAAAGCCTGTTCGACATAATTCTGAGCCTTTGTTGCATCTTTTAGAAGAATTGTAGATCTGTTGAGAGCTGGGATCACTCTTTCGTTGAGGACGTTAGTCTGAATCAAGAAACACAAATCACAAATCATCAGAATACAATAAAATACAGAAATAATAATGTTCTGCTAGAATTGTTAATGCCTGACGAAGAAATACTAAACATAGAAATAGAAACACACCTGAAGCAATGCCGATTGGATATTGTATATTCTAATAACAGAGCTCATAAAATGTATATGCTTCAGCTTGTCCAATACTTTACAAAGCGACCAACTATACCCTACCAAAAATATTTGTTTCACCTATTCACAGTGTAGCATCATATGCAGAAATCAAAACTAATATTATAAATGCGAAAGTAACACTCTGTCTGTCTGGCTTTTCTTCACGCCTAAACTTCTGAACCGATATGTATAAAATTTGGTACAGACATAGTTTGGAACTCTAGAAAGGACATAGGGTAGTTTATATAAACCAAAATCTGGAGAAGTCAATATTTCACGTGGGCGATGTCACGGTCAGACGCTAGTAATAAATATTGGAAGACTCGTAGATATAAAACGAATCCTTAAAAATATTGAATTGATTGATTGATCGAAGATGAGAAAGTGACTGATCGTTAAGAGTATTTTCATGTTACCAATCGAATTGAAGTTGTGAAAGTTAAAAGAAAGAAGTCTGTTAATAGACATGTATGCCAACTTCAGAATAATTGTAAGAACATACGTACCACTTGAGTTATATTTTTGACCCCTTCCTCGGCTTCATCGGCAGCTTTCTTAGCGTCTCCGATCTCCTGTACGATGGACGAGTACGCGGAAGCCGCAGTGTAAGCGTGTTGAGTTCTAGAATTGTTGTTTTCACGTTCAGCTAATGCTCGAAGATTGTCCGCCTGAAACATACAATTATTTTTAAATTGGTGTAAACAAAGAAGTTTTATTTACTTACAAGTATTTTTAAACAGATTTAATACTGTTTTCAAAGCTGCTTTGTGACCTAGTTTCAACCCCAAAGCGTTCACGATTTCGTCGGTTGATTTCTTGAAATAGCCTTTCTTGTCTAGCATGAGGCAACATTTAATTGGGAACTTTTTAGCGTTTATCCATGCACTATAATATGAACATCTTACCCTCCTACTCCTTCGGTGTAACTGACAGAACTGCTCTGTGGCAAACTATTTAAAGACCCGACGTAAATGACGGAGATATATCACCATCAAATTTTATTACTCGAATTCGACATAAAATACCTACCTAACAATGGCAGTTAAGTAAAAAAATCAGTAGATAATAGTCAATGTAAAAATATGTATAAAATAAATCTGTACTAACCCTGAATCTCAGCATATCGGTGTGTTGTCTAGCAACTTGAGTGAGGTTCCTAAGATCGGGCAGGTCCTTCTCAAGGTCGACGAGACGGTCCACCATGTTTTGGTTGGTGGTTCCAATGTTTTCTAACGCCCTAGTAGAGTTCTGCACTATGGTGCCGGCCACTAAGTTGTGGAATGTTCCATTGCCAATGTCGTAACCAGCGTCAATCAAGTCTTTCATTGCTGCGGTATTCAGTTTCGTCACAGATGTCACTTTGTTACCGAATTTAGATTGTCTGAAGAAGAAATAATATTGATATTTACTGCAAGATAAGGAACACAATGAAAATTTAACATGCATGGCATGAACATGCATTGGCATGCCACTCAAAGTTTTGAGGTAGGTACAGTCAAACTTCATTAGCGGCGCCTTTGCTTTATTGTAAAATAAAATAAGAAAAGTATGAGATTCATAGGAACCTGTTCTTAGCGTTTAGTTTCTCCGCAGTATCAGCAGTGTGCTGAGCCAAGTCTGTGTACTGCAGCATCTCATCCAACTTAGATTTCAGATCACGAGTGTCGTTCACAAGGACGTGGAATTTCTGGAAAGAAACAAAACATAATAAAGTAGTTTTTTATTGGATTTAGGTCATTGATTGGCTGTAGCTGTTAGGTATTCTCAAAGTGAGAAGGTTTTAGCATCTTTACCAATTTCAGTAAAGCAACCGTTGGAACGAAAATCGGCATAACCGGGGGTCCGTGGCACATCACGATTAATTGTACTACCCATATGTACAGTTATATAACCTGAGATAGGTTTAAGCTATAGGTAGATAGATTTAAGAAATTTCTGTTTATGGAATGGGATGGTCAGTAATACCGCGCTACCCATACCCACGCAACATCAGGGGAATTAAAAGTGCGGGGCCTTCTGGTTATTTGAGGTTTACGGATAGGGATTCGGTATCTTCAAATTCTAGGGTCTTTTTGAAAGGTTTGGGCATTTTCTAAACCACTAGCCTGCTTACCTGTGCTTGTTCATTAACGGGCAGGACGAAGAAGTTCATACGTTCGACCTGCATCGTTGCATTCGCGAATGCACTTTCTGCTTGCTGTTTCTTTGGCGTTAAGTCTTTGGCTGTGAACACGAAAGAAACGTTTATGCTTTTTGATTCACATATAATTGAAAATATGAACTTGAAACATTTTTTAGGTATACAAACCAAAAATTCAAATTGTTTTTGTAAATTATAAATCAAAATTAACCACATTTTGGATCCACATTATGTTATAGATCCAAAATGTATATTAGTAATATTTTACAATCATAATATCTTTTACCCAAAATATGAAACTGACCATTAATATCCTCTCTGATCTGCCTTGCCTCGGCCAGGGCGCTGTCGACCTTGGGTTGCTGGCTCAGTTCAAGGCCTGTGGCCAGGTCCGACACATGCTTCACCTGGGCCTTTGCTTTCTCGCTGCTGTCTCGAACTGACGCCAACATCTTATCTGCATCAGCCGCTAGATCCGCTGCTCTCGTTATCTGCTTGTCTGAGTCTGTGGCTGCGAATTCCGCCTGACAGAAAATGTTTGGTTTAAATAAAAGAAATTATTTCTATGCTAATTATAACGATATGCTGTTGTCTTCACTTTTTGCAAAACGCTTGAAGATGTTCTACTAGTTCACTTTAAGATTTGTCAATAAATTTTGTTGAGTTACCAAAGAGAAGTTAGAGGAATAACATTCTTAAATCTTTAAATACAGTAATTTATAATTCTTCATTCTTTTCTAGTGGCTAAGCCAAACCTATAACATGATAAATATCTCAGATACAATTACATGTTCGCAAGGACGACATACGTTACCCCAGTAAGGACCTAAAAAGGGAGATTACAAAACAAATACCTATGCTAAAAATATCCACAACCTTTTTTGAAGACACAATTATGTACCTATTCATAGTACCTATTATTTGGCGAGGCATTGCCCACCTCAGGGTAGATACCTAAACTTAACAATGTCATGTAAGTATTATTTTGCGTCAACTCACCGATCGCAGAAGGTTCTTGGCGCTGTTTTCAAGTGTCTTGACGGCGGTTGTGACTTCAGCGACATCCACATTCCTCAGTTCTCCTACTCTTGGCCGAAGAGTCTGTGTCTGGTTCGCGATGTAGTTCAATCTTTGGGTTGTGAAGAACGAATCTGCCTTGTCCTGCGTATCAAACACAATAAGATTAATTGCACTGAGATGTTTATCTATTGAACTGATTAACTTGGAATTTGTAGGATAAACATTGATTTGCTTTTCAATTTTGTACTGAGTCAATTGAAATAACATCTAAAATGCAACCAGAAAACACGACAATATAAAATTTGCCTTAAACACGATAAACACAACATGAAAAAGTGTTATTATAATGATAATATACAGAATAGTATTGTAACCTTCATCATCAGCCTGCTGAGCAAAGGCCTCTTCTCACACTGAGAAGGTTTGAGCGTTAATCACCACGCTTGCTCAGGACGACGATTTCAAACTTACAATTAGGAATTATCACCAGACATTACAGATCACAGAATCAAGACATCCAGAGATCACAGAATAAAGACCAGGTTTCCTCACGATGTGAGCCTTCACCGTATGTCAATGGTGTTTAAATCATTATAGAAAGTAGATACATATAATCGAGAAACAGTTACATTGGTACTTGCCAGATTTCGAGCCCGCAACTTCATACATGAGAAGCAGGCGCCTAAACTTCTAGGCCACCACGACATTAACATTGTAACCTTATTACATTTTATTATATTATTGTTACCTTGAAGTCTGTGGTTTCGTTGGCCAGGAGTTCGCTCATGTCTTCGATTGTGTACAACAGCGCGTCCGTGCAAGAGTCGCATTCCAAACATCCTTCGTTTGGTATTAGAACCCATCTGAAGATACAAAACTACATTGTAACTGGGAATATGTTGACTAGAGCCTGAGGAATGATATTAGGTCCAGTATTTGCTTACACAGCAGTTGTTAATATGTTATACATACAGTTAATATGTTATACAGAAATATTAACTTTTACTTTTATGAAATATAGACCAACTCTATCATATGTAGATAATATTTTTATTAAACCAGTTAAAACTAGAAATAAATTCGGAATGTTGTCCACAAATTTTCATTCCGAGTCTGGGTGTCACGTATATGTGAATTTGTATCATTTAAACGTTAGTTTATAACATATATCACGCCAGAAAAAATATAGGACCGAGCAACTGGTTAAGACATGTTTAGAAAATTGATAATTTCCATAAAAGTTTTTGTACCTTTGAACATTGAAAAAAAAACTTTAGAGTGTTAGAAATAGAGTGTTAATTACTTTACCTTTCTGGACATCTGTCGCACTTCTCTCCGACGACGCCGGGCAGGCACTCGCATTGGCCGGTCGCATTACAGGTGAATCCGAGCGAGTAACCAGTGTTACAGTTGCAGTCTAGTGTACAATAGTATTTTAATTAAATTAATTGTGATATTTTAGAATCGAGTACCCAAATACGATGCTTTTTTTCGGAAGTTTTCTCTGGGTTTAGTACGGGTTTGTGACGTCTTATCGCTGACTAAATAAACTAGTTGCACAAGTCAAAGTGACAATTTCATTTAGAAATGAATTCTTGTCTAAGACCCAACCCTAGTTCATAAACTACCCGATTGAAGGCGTAAGTGTCGTTAATAAATAAACGATATAGGTAACAACAAAAAATAGTGAATTAAAATGATTACTGACGGCAAAAAACATAAACTATATATTCCGTAAAATAAAGTCATTAAGAGCTTTTTTAGGTAAAAAAACTCAATAAATTCATACCCATATGATGTTTCTGTTATAGTAATGTATATAAACAATAACAATAAAGGTACTTACGGTCACATCCTTCCTTCGTGTAGTTCCAGTATCCAGCCGCGCATTGGTCACAATGTTTACCTGTCACGCCCTTGGAGCAACTGCAATCACAAATAGTAGGTACACAATTTTGTTGATGTTCTAACATAAGTACAATATAAAAATAATAACAGATAAAGTTACATGATGTAATGTTCCAATGTTTTAACACGATATATTTTTTAAATTGTTCCTTTGTTTTTATAAATGTCTTTATTAATCTTTCAACCGAGGTTGTTCGAGACACAATAGAAGAACAAAAGATGCGCGAACGCCGGAGTTCACTTGGGGTTTGATGTATTAAATCAATAAATATAGACTGCACGGTTGGCGCGGGCTGGGCCACTGGCTGATTTCGATTTTCGCACGGAACTACTGGTGCGTGTATGTGTAATTGTTTGTTTGAAAACGCACCCACGACATAGGAGAAAATCATAGTGAAGGACATAGTTTAAAAAAAAAATATTTTGTAATAATTTTACTCACTTGCACTGTCCAGTATTGAGGTCGCACTGAGTGGATACTGCAGCAATGCCGCAGTCGCAAGGAGTGCAGCCCTGCCCACTGTTGAGGCCCCAGTGGTCCGGCGCGCACTGGTCACATCGGTCACCGATCACTCCCGGCCGACACACACACGTACCCGTCGTGGGGTCACAACGCTCCATACCGAATTCATCACAACTACAAGCTGTACAGAAAAAAAAAGTTTTATACACACCATCCGTTGCAACTGTTATAAGGCTTACGCCAAAACTGCATCATAATTAACTGTATTGATAGAAAATATAGTACATCCAACACCACACAATGTGACAAAACAAAGGCACCATTTCGATTCAAAGCCTCCAAAAATATGAGAATGCATAAATGATATTTCCTGCGATGGAACGGGCTATGCTCAGGGTAATTCGCCAAAGAATCAAAGTCACCGATATAGCTCGTAAAATCTGCAGGCTAAAATGACAATGGGCAGGTCACGTCGCTCGAAGGACTCACGACTGATGGGCCCGAAAATTACACGAATGGCGATCAAGGGCCAGCAATCGTAGCGTGGCGACTTGTCGTACGACGTGGAGGACTAGCTTATATAGGAGTATAAATATTTATTCTTTCTTACCAGTACAGTTCTTGGAGAAGATGGCATCTCCGAAGAAGCCAGGAGCGCAAAGGTTGCAGGCGGCACCGGCTGTATTGTTGACGCACTTAAGGCAGTCGCCAGTGATGCTGTCGCAGGAGCTGGGGTCGTTCACATTGATGTTTCCAGAGCAGTTGCACGGTTTGCAGTAATCGCCTAAAATGGCAAATATTTTTAAATAACGTAATCATTTATGGTGCTTAAGTATATCTACCGTGGGTTTATGTGCAAGAATACTGCGATTAGGCACAAAACTAGTCAGACATACTCGAAATACACGTACAATGACGTCGTCAAACTTATCCTGGTTTTTGCGGAGCAAAGTACAGGTAGTTTTGAATTTCGTATTTCATTCATTAATGTTTATACACTGTAGATTTAAACGATGAAGAATTTACTTTTTTTCCATGGCTTTCGATTATGCAAGGGCATTGTTTGCGTAAAGTAGCACACTATGTTCTATAATACATATGAAGTATTTGTGATGTTTAGTGACGTTCACGTTTATTTACTGTATTAAATAATCTTATTGGTGAAAACTTACCAATTTGTTCTGGCACACCATAGTACCCAGCAGCGCAGAACTCACACCTCGCCCCTCCGTAACCTGGCTTGCACTGGCAGGAGATCAAGGATCCGTTCTCTCTCAAGTCACAACCGATCGCAAAGCTGTAAGTTATATCACCGTGTTAAGAGACAAAACCAGACGAACACAACAAAGAATCAGGGATGTTAGGTAGGTCCGTAACTGTAACCGAAACTATCGGGTATCCGATATAAGAAAATATCCATATCCGTAACTTAATCCAAAATAAGTTTCGGATAGGTTAAATTAGGTCTAATTGAGACACGATATGACTATAGTAACGTGTATTTTCATCGGCCGGGTGCAGACACACAAGCCGCGCACTGGTGACATAAATGAAACCATTATATTACCTATTTGTATTTTACTATTGAAATTCCTAAAAAATTATAACCTTAACCGAGATTATCTGAAACTAATGGATAATCAGAAATAATTTATCCATATCCAATCTGTATCCGAAATTTCATATCCATAACATCCCCGCAAAGGAACCTCCTCTCAATGGCCTGAATTAAGGCCAACTCTCCCACAGTTAGGCCCATGTCTAAGGACAAAGATAATGATAAGACTTACTTGTTCGATGCGTAGGGCAGAGGGCAGGCGCAGATGAGACAGTCGCGTGGAGTACCGCCCGATGCGTCACCATGGTAACCAGGAATACATTGCTCACAGTGATCACCCATTGTGTTATCGGTACATTCCTGAACGAAGAAAAATTTACTAGATTTATATGTATATTTATTTATGAAGAATAGAATGGTAACTGAGCAACAGTACAGACAGAAAGAGAGAGAGGGAGCGCAGAAAGTCTGTATAGACTAAAGTCAATACTTGAATTGGCTATATCGTTTCCTTAAAACAAATTATATTATTATAGATTTCAAAAATGGAATTTAAAAGCAACAGAAATAAACTAAATAATAAACAGGCATTATTAAACCAGAATTAAGATGCATAAGTATTAATGGTCTTTTACCAACAAATATGATCAAAACAGTGAATTTTCAGAAGTGACAAAAAGGCTTACCAAACAGACGCCCGTGTTGACGTCACATTCCCTGGAATGTCCGTTGCACTGGCAGGGTACACAGAAGCCAGAACTGAGTCGGTAGTATCCCTCAGCACATTGCTCGCAGGATAAGCCGCGGTATGCCTTGGGGCACTGACACTCCTCCACAGAAGACGCTCGCTTCGAGTACTCATCATACCCATCAACTCCAACGTCTAACGTCACTGCTATCAAGCTAAAGAATTATAGAATCGATTAGAATTTTGTTGTTTAAAGCTTTAACACATAAACCACCGAATTACTCACGTGACTTAACTCAAAATAGCTCAACTAGTTTCGAATCACATAGGGGCTCTTATTCATGAGTAAATTCACGTGAGTCGTCATGTTCAATAAATCAATTTAAGTATGACTTTCAAACAAAGATAATCTAGTCTTACTTCTGACCCGTGCTTCTGACCGACAGATATGACCGTAACGTTTAAAAATAAACAAGAAAGTTCGAAATAGTTTTTTCCACATTACACTCTAAGTTATCGTAACTTTACTTTAAGTGCAGATTCCATTACTGATAATCAAAAACCTTTTTAAACTTGACCAAATCTGTGATTGTTTTATAGTGCGGTTTTCTCCACAAGAAGAAATAATTGGTGTTGAATTTGCTTATTGTTTCGAATTGAAAAAACCATTTCTGGATATTGGCTTAAGTCATTTACCTAGTTTCAATGGACTGGTTCCAGTAGGTGGCTCTGATGTATATGCTGGTGACATTGACGATGGTGTTCATGAACTGTTCTCTTGTGACTGGTGTTCCGTCAGTGTTGCTGAACTCGTCTTCTGACAGTCTCACTGAGTGCATCCACGATACCTTGGAAGGTGGCTGTTCCACGCTGTTGTGAACTAAGTACCTAAGAAAACAGAGTTTAGTTAGTATTTATAAAATTATTATTATTATTACTACTCTTTTTATATAGCATTTAAAAACATAAATTACATTTTTAAATATTTCTTAAAAATAAATAATAAAATACATTTAAAAATATAGAAAATAGTGTCCCACCGGTGTCGTGAACAGGGTCCTAGCTACCGTCGGTCAGGGCTCCAGAGAAAGGAACCTCCTGACAATACGAGCCGTGTCCAGGAATACCACTTTCTGAATCAAGAATCAAGCCCTTGATCCAGCCACCTAACGAGAGCCTAAGGTGTAGGTCGTTATTGCTACTACTATTACGACACTAAATCCAAAAACTGACCCAAAACACTTTAATTCTTGTTACCGTCAACAAGAAGAATTCCTAAGATTCAATTTTGCCACGTTGTTAATGCAATGTTTATCTTTGATATAAAGAAATACAAGATGATGTGTCGTTTAACAAAGATATAGAACTACATAGGATTTTATCTAAGTTTATTTTGTTAGAGAAAGGATTTGATATCGGTAATTTTTGGTCCTCAATATTATCAAACATGAGTAGGCAGTAAATAAATAATGTCTGCACGGTTGGCGCGGTGGCCAGGGAACTGGTTGCCGCGCAACGTGCCGCGGTATCGATACCCGCTCTGAACAACTTTTTGTGTGATCCACACATTGTTGTTGCGGGTTTGGGTTTGATGTGTGTGTTAACGCACCCAAGCGGCTTATTACGAGAGAGGGACAATATTTTATTTTTGTTTAAAACCAAATTGCCTCTTACCCATCAGAACCTCCAAGGATGACATCGGGTGCAGCAATAGCTCCTCCACTGGGACCGGTCTCGTAGAATATTGAGTAAGTGAGGTACCCTCCGTATGAAGTCAGACGTTTACCTGTGTTAGTTTGTAAAAAGAAATGTTATAATATCGTTATAACTGGGTAGTTTCCTAGGTCAAAAATAAATTAATTCGACGTTTTATTACAATAAAATATTGAAAAATAACTATACTTTCATTCATCGATCGATCAATGCACCATTTTTTTTATATTTTTTTTAGCTATTTTTTAAGAAATAAGTAAGCTATTTGACGCAAAAATGTTCTGACGTCATAACTCAGTTTTTCATACAAAGTATCGTTTTTGACGTTTGGATAAAAGTATTGAATTTGACTAGTTGGAAACTGCCATATTGTGAGGTAGATCTACAAATTGACTGTTTCATCGGTAAATATGTAGGATTGTAAGTATGAGTAAATGAAAGAAAGAGAGTACATGTGTGTGAAAGAGTAAAAGGATAGAATATAATTTGAAAAATAAAACAAGATGGCGTTACGAAGGATTCGAGGTGTGTGCTCTGTGCACGGTTTTATTGGAAAAATAAAAGACTAACAAATCTGTTTGACTTCATTTTCTTTGCCGCCTCAATACTACAAATTTGGGCTTGCCTCGTCTCGGACAGTGCAAGGTTAGGTTTACAGTCTTCGAGAGTAAAGTGTTTAGAAAAGACGGAGTTGAGAAATCTGTTAAGATTCAAGATCTCCGCCCAGCTCTTTGGAAAAATAAGCACGATAAAATAAGAAACGATCCATATGAGCTTGAACAAGAAGCCACACAGATAATAAATGCGTTTGTAATAAGACCCTTTTTATGGAATAGTTGTCACCTATTCCATAAAAAAAGGTCTTGTCGAGCACGAGCGGTCTGAACGAGCAGACGGATCACCTGATGTTAAGTGATCAGCGCCGCCCCTGTAACACCAGAATACCAGGCGCGTTGCCAACCTTTGACTCAGTCAAAATTGATTTTAATTACCTAGATAATAATCTGGAGCTCCAAAGTACACGACCTTCTGCCCACTGTCGTCACCGATGAGGTCGGCAGTAATCACCGATTCGTTCACCGATATCGGGTTACCGCGCGGGAAGATGTTCAACGTCCTATTGGCTTCCACATTTACCAGGTACCAGTCGCTCATGCCGTCAATCTAAAATGTAATTTAAAATATTTTACTTTACTTTATACACACATATTTTTGTACATAGGCGGACTTAATGCCATTGGCATTATTTACCAGTCTGGCCTTAGGGTGATGCAGAAATGAGTTAAAACGGTGAGTGCTAGCAGCAAACTTTTTACATCAAATTTGAAGACAATAAAAAACTCAATATTATTATGTCATGCTTGTCAATATTTCTATACAATTCATTGAAAAAAAAAAATTAAAAAAAAAAAAAAAATCAAATAAAACAATTATTTGAAGAGAAGAGAATCATATTAGATGAGAATATACTTTTGACGTAATATGCTAAATATATTTTCAGTTATTTGACTGCACATTGGAACCAACCAACCGAGGAACCAGCCGCGCATCGTGACAGAAGTTCCATTTCACACGGAACGATACTTTTTGTGCACCACAAATTGCTGTAGTGTATGTATCATGGTATGTCCTTGGTGGCTGCCTTGGTGATTTCTCTCCACTTTCTCGTCCACCTAGTTGGTGAACGACCACGAGGAAACACAAGGGAGCTTATCCCTCCTCCTAAAAATACACCGTTACTTCTCTAAACCGTGTTGTACTTACGCCTGCCCAAGACAGATAAGAGCTGGTACACCTAGTGGTCTTCCCGAAGCAGTAGCACTTGGTACATCCATCAGGGTTCGAAGACTGAAGGTTGAAGTACTCCTCCACACAAGTGTCGCAGGCCTAAACCACAAAATAACATTAAATATTTGAACGCCTTTGTTCCTCAAGCAATAAGGTTGAATATTCTTTATAGAGCTGTGAAATGCTGAAAAGGGAATTTACTAGGAATAAGCATGATGCCACGATGCCTTGATGCAATGTTACCTAAACGTTATTACAAACTTTAATAAATTGTTTCTTATGTGAAAACTAAACTTATCTATCAAGTTAGGTATAGCTACAACTCATCAAAACACAGTCAATAGAGGTCAATACTAATGAAATTAAAAAAACCTGAGCAAAAACATAACAATTTTTCAAACATCGAACGCCAAGAAGTTTATTTACAAAATAAAGAAAGAATATTGGCACAATAAAACTGGTTTTACATTAAATTTTCTAGTCCATTCAGCCATCATTTGGCGTATATTTTATTTATATAATTAATATTTAGTCATGATAAAACAGAACATTTTCATTTTGAGGCACTAACCTGTCCAGTAACATATCGCTTGCAGTAGCACTGAGCAGTGCTTTGGTCGCAGACGTCATCAGTTGTGCCTTCTCTGTCACAGGTGCATGGCACACATTCCGGGAACGCATAATGTCCGGGCACGCAGTGGTCACAAGTACGGCCTATGACGTTATCACGACACCTAAAAAAAACGAGAAGTAAATTTTTCAAAGTCATTGTCAAAGTCAAAATATACCACTTTTGAACGTCAAATAAGTAAAGCTGAACTTTGTGTGTCAGTCTGTCGGGCTGTCCTCTAGTGAAGCTATTAGCTCGTTGCAAAGTGTTAGATTTCAAAGGAGGAGAACGAGCAAGATACTTCATGGTCACTCTTAAAAACTGAATGACTTCAAATATTACATTTTTTTAAATTTTAGGATAAATTATTAAGCTTTTTGACGCAAATGTACTAGGGCGTAGAAAAGTATCAATGAAACAATGAATTTATTTTTGCAAATAGACCATAAAACGGCACTTTTACACGTCAATTTATATATGAAAAACTAGATGAAGCCGGCAGTATCGTTTTTCACATTTGGATAAAAGTATTAAACTTGACAAGTTGGAGACCACAGTATTGTCAAGTAAGGTACAGTATCTAAGTAGAAAAATTATATCGTGGCTCGTGATGGCCAATTGAACGAGGAAAAAGAAGACAAATGTAACGTTTATATTCCAAATAAAAACAATACTTACGGGCAGTTACCACTGTCAGCTTCACACTGCAACTGGTTGCCAATAACTCCGAGAGGATTGCAGTTACAATCGTCACACCCTCGTTGCACATCGAAGTTGAAAGTGTAAGGCTTGCAGCGATCACAGTTTTCACCTTCTACATTCTTCGGACAAATGCACATACCTGGGCGAATAAAATGGTACATTGAAGAACAACGCATAAATCGCATAGACCATGTGTTAAAAAACGGATGAGTGAACTAGTATGATTTTTGTGTCACCTGACACCCGTCCTTTGGGGCTTTAACGGACACTGCACCGGTAGTTAGTTGTTTTTGAATTATTCATACACAATTTACCAGTATCACTTCCAAAGTTTTAGAAAACTAGCTACTGCCGCGCAGTTACACCCGCTGCTCAGCTCCTATTGGTCACAAGGTGACGTTTTATAGCCCATATCATTCAGGCAGGAACATTGTAGCTATGTATCAGTGAAAGAATTTTGGAAATTTAACCAGCAGTTCTAAAGATTACCCCCTAAGTACATACAAATTTACAATTACAAATTATACCTTATTATAATATAAGTAAAGATGAAATTCTACTCACCGTTATCATCACAAATTGCAGTTGATGGGCAGTGGCAAGGTTTACAATTGGGGAAGCCGTAGTATCCAGTGCGGCATGCACTACACGATCTTCCAATAACGTTGGGCTTGCAAGGACATTGTCCTCCGAAGGTATTACACTCCAGCTCCGTGGATCCCATGAAGTCACAGAAGCAAGCCAGGGCTCCACTGTTGTATTCAGCAGTGATAGAGAACATTGCGTCGCGGCAGAAACCTGGAAGTAAACTTATATGTTACCGGTAGCACAGTTCACGTTAAATGACTTACTGTTGCCTGTTTTAATTTGCGGTGAGCAACAAATCTAAAACAAACTGTGAATTATTTGTTCTCCAGAATTAACGAAAATCATTATCGAGTTGGCAATATGAGTCTCATAAGTCAACTCGTAATCAATTTTCTTGAATAAAAATGTCAGAGCGTCAGCCAATCTTGGTCGTCGTGGGCTGCTTCCGAAGAGTTTCACTTCGCACTCATTACTTTCTTTCGATCATACAGATTCATTGCACAAATAAAATGCTGTCTGATGGTGCAATTATGGCAAAAAATAAGGTGAATTAACATTTCGGCTGAGGAAATACATAGAGCTACGTAAAACTGACCTGTCTCATTGGATGGGACGTAGTAGTGGTTGTTAGCACACTTCTCAATAAATTCACGAGTGTAGTCGATGACGTTGGCTTCAGTCAGCGCGGCATCCACGAAGTCAGGAGCAGCGACGATCAGGACATAGTCGATCCAGAGTCCTTTGCTCTTGTTGCCCTGATGAATTTAGAGACAACGGAAAATTTGAAATTTCTATAGGTAATGTTTTTTTATATTTATAGTTCGGTGTAGTTCATGTTTTTAGTAGTGTTTCGATTTTGGATTATGACCTTCTTTTTGTAATGAAAATAAGAAGTCATGAATAAACAAAGCAAAAACGTGATTTTTTAAAACATAGCTTTTAAGTTACCAACTGTTTTCCAAAAAGAAAACTAGCAATATGTATTTGATAAAAGTTTGCATACCAGGAAAGTGATGGTGAAGTTATCGGAGATAGGGAAGCGGTTGTTGCCATCAGCTAGCTTAAGGAGCGACCGGCAACCGGTGCGCGACGGACAGTGCTGCACTTGCAACGTTGTGTCGAACTGCTGCGCGTCAGACTTCAAAACCACGTCGATTGTGCTTTCTGTAAAATAAAAGAAATAGTAAAGAAGGTTATGATAAAGAAACCCGTTACAAGTTGACCCAAAATATACGCCACATTGCGGTGGTATTTTGGCTATTTTGGGTAAACAATGAGCACACGGAACACTTGATGGTAAGTGATCGGCCTTTTAAGTATTAGAATGACAAGTTTTCATTGTTCTTCATTTTCCTCTAATGCATTATTTTATAATATATCTCATATAGAAATTAATTCGCTCTTTACCACAAGAGCTAAAGTTTATTCCTCTTAAATACCAAGGTAAATGTTGAAGATAAGCCCCGTTCATTCTTACCAGGATGGACTGGTTGGTAATAGTGCACTATGAACATGTAATCTCCAGGCACAAGTATCTTCCCCTCAATCTTCAGAGGGTCCACTTCAGGAGTTAGGAATACTACAGCAGTGGCATTGTCCAGGGTTGGAGGTCGGATGTCTCTATCCCCACCGGTACCAGATTCCGCTTCAACCTATGAAAAAAGCATTTGAATTACTTGATCAGCTTGTGACAGTCTAATGGTGGTATATGATCTTTCTCTATATAAAAACTGGCTCAGGATTTTCAGAGACTGCTACTTTCCTGGTTTCTGTCAAATAAGCAGACCCTCAGTCACCTCCTAAAACGCCCACAACTTTTATATACATCAAGCCATTATTCTTCTGAGTACATGTAGATATCCATATGATTTGAAGCGCAGTGTCTTTTACTATTCGTCTTTACTGACGAAAATACCACCCCGTTTCGTCTCCAATTCAAGGCATTAGTCCGCTTGCCCCGCAACCGGCTTGGCAATGGCAATGGTTTATACAGGCTTACATTATGATTAAATTGACTATTCCTCGAAGGCCACATTTATTTTTAAAGACAGAAGAATATGTTCTTTTTACCTTTTTAGAATCGACAGCGGCAGAGAAGTCAGCTGGTTCGCATTTGCCATTGCGTCTGAGGCAGTACGGGCGTGGAGTGATGTAATCCAAATGCCATTCAGACTCCGGAACAGCGACAATGGATTTGATTCCTACTAAAGTGTCCCGATCACCCTGTCATAACATTAAAACATAAAATACCGATATTCACAATGTAATGTCACCTACAAAGAAAACTGCCAAAATCTTGTGTTGGAGTTAATAGTCATTATCATTAGTTACTAAAAACACTCTAGAATTATAATAAGTTTACAAGAAACAAATGAAGATTAATTGGAAATAGTTAATTTGTATATAATAATAAAACAAAGTAATGCTAGTTGTTCTCCACAGGAATCTGCACTTTGGAACGAGCAAGTAGATTCACTAGTGGACATACCGATATCGATAGACTGACACACACGAAGTTGAACTTTTTGATATTTTTTTTGTTTAACCTTAAAAAGTGCCCGTACTGGTCTATTTGAAATAAATGATTTGACTTTGATTTAAAGTCAAGGTGGCCAAAATTGTTCAGTACAATTTTGAATCTAATTTCACTGAGTAAGTTAACAAGCCACGATTCTTAAATAAAGCAAAACTCTATCAGATCTGTAGTTTAAAACAAAAAAATCTTACCATCAAATAAATAACATTGTTCGCATCATGTATGTTAAAGGTTTGTATCTTGGAAAGGTCATCAACAACAGCTTGGCGACACGCTGCCGTGTAAGGGCAATTGTTGAGGTTCACGATTGCATTTGTTTCAGGCTGGTCGCCAGACTGGAACCGCACGGTTATCGGACCTCGAGGAACGAAGGAGTAACTGCCATTGTTGGCTTCGATCTCATTTGAGCTTTCCAAACTTCGGTTGATAGGCGTGACATACTCGATGATAAGGATATAGGCTCCAGGGGGGTCGATCTTCATGTTGTATTGAATCTCATCGTTGGTCAAGATCGGAATTGAGTCAGCTGATGCTTGTAGCTCGTTCAATTGCTGTGGAAAAATGTATTTATGTATAAACTTGACTAAAATGATGTCATTGTGGACTCTGTGTCTGCTGACCGTGCTTTCTTATCATTCAATTCGATATTAATTTAATATTCCGTACCTCCACATCGTCGATGTATCCACTGACTGATGTACTAAGTCCAGTGACGTCAGCAGTTGGTCTTCCAAACAGGCTGGGGTAAGCGAAGTGTCTGCACAGCTTCTTGTCGCCAATTACACATGGCTTGTCCACCAGTTTCGTCAGCACTGTCGCTTCGTAGTAAGCCTCGGGGATCAGGACGAAGTAGTCCTAGAACGAAAGATAGAATGTAATGTTAGAATGGACCATGTCATATGATATTAGATACTTTTTAAAAAGGAACTGTTATTAACTTTTCCGTCGTGGTAATTCAAGACATAATAGGAGAACAAGAGATATTATAAGTAAAAATGGTGTAGACTGGTTACATAAACAGAATTTGATTTTCAAAAACGGCACATTAATGCACACAAGAATATATTCTTGTGTATAGCGTATGATACACGTTAAAGTGAGATGGCATGATTCAATAATCGTTAATGAAAAAAGAGACAAATATTTGGTGGTAATAAGTGTGGCTAGTTAGCCACATCGTAATGTATCTACACCTTTTTACTTACAATATCATTAGTTTGATGAATTTAATAGTTGTGAAATTCGCTACTTGTCAGAATGACAGGATTATCTTAGGCCAAACTTCGACATATTTCTTATTTAAAACAATTACCTTATTCCTCTTTACAATGGGCATACTTAATATTGTCAACTAATCTTTGCCCAATTGTTGTTTTATAAAAATTAGCTACAACAACAGTAATTATTAGTATTATACTCACAATCATGATTTCCTTCGTTGTTTTGATGGTGATCATCCAGTTTCCAGGGTTCATGACGAAAGGTGATGGAGCAATGCCTTTCTCACCAGCCACTGTTACCAGTTGCGGTTGAATTGTTGGCCGAAGTGCCACATTGAATCTACAGATAAAAAACAATGTCATCATTAGAAAATTATTTAATAAAGGAATGGGAAGTTGTGGAATATCCTATACTTCTATACAAATCTATACCAATATTATAAAGAGGTAAATTTGTAAGTTTGTATGTTTGTAAGTTTGTATGTAGTGCGTAATCTTTGGAACCGCTGGTCAGATTTCCAAAATTCATTCACTGATAGATAGCTACAATATTCCTGAGTGCTATAGGCTATAAAACATCACGCTACGATTAAATGGAGCCGAGCTTCGGGTGAAAATGCGCGAGAGTAGCTAGTAACATAGAAAGTAATGAAATATCTAATATAGTAATGTGATGCTTCCTCTATTCTTTTGTCATGAGCCGAATGGTGTAGTTACTTACTTCTGTTGTATATCGACGACGCTGTCCGGTGTTATGACGATGCTGGCGAGGACTACATCTTGGAGTGGGTTTGCGTACTTTAGTACCATTCGGTACAGTGACGATTTCGGTATCATCACCCTGTTTGTCACCTCATTCTAAATGGAACAATAAAATTTAAACATTATAAAATCACTATTAATGCAACTTTAATCTGTATATGTATAAAAGAAGTTTGTGTTAGTTACACTGTTCATAAGTTAAAAACCGCTGAACCGATTTAGATGAAAATTGGTAGGGAGGTAGCTAAGAACTAGGAGATGGACATAGGGTAGAGTAGAGTAGGGTAGATAGGGTAGGTAGGGCAGGTAGTGTAGGGTAGGGTATGTTTGGTATACCTTACCTAACATACATATACGGGTTCCTACCCTACTTTATTTAACCAATACAGGTAGTATTGGTTAGATGAAGTAGGGTAGGAAGTGTTGGGTGAAAAAGTGTAGGTAGGTAACTAGGTTGGGTACTATACTAGTTTTTATATGAAATAACAATGCGTCCATGCTGACCGTGGCTTTACCATAAACATTTTTTTTTACCGACAGACTCCACACATCAACTACAGAAAAGTAAAGCAAAGTAAAGAACAAAGAAAGGTACCTGTAGCATTGAGAACACGACGTATCCTTTCCATGAGTAATTGGGGAAAACTTCATCAGAGTTCCTGTATCTGACCGGTCCTGACTGCGTGTAACCTTCTTCTACTTCGTACTGGAACTGGTGAAGAGTTGGGAAGTAATGGGCCCGTATCGGACGGTCACACCGTCGACCTTCAACCCTGGAGTGGCAGCGACACTGTCCCGTGGTCTTGTCACAATTGTTGTCGATTGAACCTCCGATGTCGCAGTCACATTCTGGATAAACACGACATGTTTGAGTGATGTTGTAGTATTTGTTCTCAGAGCAAATAAGTAATACGTAGTTGTGAAAAGATCAAGATCTTTTTGGGAGACGTTTTTAAAACATTTTTGGCGTCTAAGGTCAGATTCGAAAACTTTTGGTACGTACTTAATTGTGAAATCTTCGGAAATAACTATATACTAATTATAGGTAAATGAAGTTTTTTTGTGTTTACTCCAAATCATAATATTTGAAGAAGTGGAAAGAAGATTTAAACTCAAAAAATACATTTTGGAAATTCACCCAAAGATTATCTTTTCGTTAGACTTATTGCAGTTACTATAATGGCGGTCGAAATTTATTACGATCAACTTACCAGTACATCCAAATACGTTATTGGAGTCGAGTCTGTAGAATCCGTCCTGGCACTGCCCGCACTGGCGATCTCCAACATTCATTTTGCAAGTACATTGACCAGATCGGGTGTTACAAGTGCCCAGGCCACCAAGAGTACCAGCTAAATGGCAGTTACAGTCTGTGGAGAAGAAGTTTATTATAATCCTTATTGTATTAAAGTTTAAATCCATATTGCCATAATCAATCTGAATTTATCAGAACTCGTCGAAGGAGTATATTCATTAAGTGTTTCTTACCTTCGCATCCAAATGGATTATACTCTTGCAAGTTCCAGAATAAAGGCTTACAGTCGTTACAAATGCGGCCTTGTACACGGTCCTTACATTGACATAGTTCTCCAGCAGGCACTGAACCGCAACCTGTTCAAACACGTAATTTATGACATGAAATCAAAAAGCCTTGCGACTAAGGTAAATAGGGTTAATAATAATTTTATGAATGCAGGTAAACGAAACGTAGATTTATTCAAAGTCAAAATCATTTATTTCAACTAATCCATTAATACTTAGGTACCTTTAAAACGTCAAAATAGAATAGTAGTCTGTCAGTCTGTTCGTCAGTGAAGATCGGTGCTCGTTAAAAATTGTAGATTCAAATGGAGAAGAACGAGCAAGAAACTTTAACGTGTCTTTAAAAAAATAATAATATTTATTTTACAGTTTAACTAATATATATTTAGTCTAGATTATTGTATCTACCCATATGTGAGAACAATGTAGAGTTGTTAAAAAATCTATCATAAAATTTTAAATCCTTTATCATTTCAAAGTTTCAAACATGGCGCTCACATACGCATGTTGAGAGACAGCACACATTCATAATAGAGTCAGCCAACACTAGGCGGATTTTGGAATAGTAAATGGCTTCATCTAGTTTTTCACATATAATTTGACGTGTAAAAGTGCCGTTTTAAGGCCTATTTGCAAAAATAAATTCATTGTTTCATTGTTTCATTGTTTCATTGTATAAAAGCACAACTGATTTCAAATTTGGAAGGTTTCGTTAAAAATCGAGCTCGGGTACTTGAGTCAGTCTTTTTTTCTTTACCTGGCTTTATATACCTTCTTATTATTACCTCTTTGGTAATAATAATAAAATAGTTTACGTACCGGCAAAACTTGCAATAACACCTCTGGGGTCGCAGTTGCACTCCTCGCAGGCTGGGTAGTTGTAGTACTGTTCTTTGCACTTGTCACATTTAGTACCATCGAAATTAGGCTTGCAGTTGCATTGTCCGTTGTCGTCACATGTCGTTCCGATGGAGCCGGATATGTCACAATTGCAAGCTGTAGGGATAATAACAGACCAATGTACAAACAGACAATTGGTTATAACCTTTTATAAGTGATACTAAGGCTAGTGAAGACTGAAGCTGATTGTTAGAGAGCAATTAAAATGATGGATCCAGTCAGCTAGTCTTTTGCAGACTTCTTTGTTGAATAATTTCTATAAGAGTGTAGGTATAACGGTGGGTATGTGGCAAATGATAACATGTTTTGGTGTTGCTAAATTGGACTAGTAACAAAATAACTTTTGAAGGCACAAGGCTCACATCACGTCACATCACCAGCCTGTAAAGGCCCACTGCTGAGCAAAGGCCTCTTCTCACACGGAGAAGGTTTGAGCATTTATCACGCTTATTCACCGCGAATTGGCGGTATATACACATAACTTTTACTTAAAAATTATAAATCCAGGTTTTTCTACGATTGTTCCTTCCTTATATGCCAGTGGTGTTTAAATAATCATAGAAATTACATATCACTTGGAAAAGGTCGCAACAGTACTTGCCGGGTTTCGAACCCTCACGAATGAGAAGCGGGCGCCTGAAATGTATATATGTTCCTACTTATTGGAATTAAAAATGGTTGTATTCTACAATCTCAGAATTTGTTATGTATTCTGAGTCTACAATAAACTTACGCAGACATTCGGGGTACTTATAATACCCTGGTGAACATTGGTCGCACTGTTTGCCTCCGAAGTTGGCGAGACAGTTGCACTTCCCATCAGCTGAACAACTCGTTGAAGTCGACCCAGTGGGGTCGCAGTTGCAGGGTACGCAAAGACGTTCACGACCGCGCACATCCATGTAGAATCTTGAAAAACATTTTATAGTTTTAATGTAATTTAGGGCTGATTATCCAATGGTTAGATTAAGTTATGATGCTGTCGCATCAGAATGTTTGTATAAGATAGTGACAGCAACAATTTTCCTTAGATAACATTTATCTGATTATTGAAAAATTTGCCCTTAAAGGAATAAATTGTTGTCGTCGACTGCACGGTTCGCGCGGTAGCTGGACGAAGGCTGCACCGCAACATGTCGCGAGTCCGATTCCCGCACGGAACAACTCTTTGTGTGATCCATAAACTGTTGTTTCGGGTCTGGGTGTCATGTGTATGTGTATGTGAATTCGTATGTTTGTTACCGCTATCACGACACAGGAGAAAATCCTAGTGTGGGGCAGCCCACGGAGTAAGAACAAAGGGGCAGCCTTATATTAAAAAAAAACAGTAAGGTAACTTACCCATTCAAACACTGGTCACACCGAGCTCCTCCAAAGCCAGTTTTGCAAATACAAGCGCCGGTGACGTCATCACAAATGCTGGCCTCCGTTCCACTGACATCACAGTTGCAATCTATTGAACATTTCAACAATTTAATCCTAATCTAATCTTTGATTCATCACTATTATTACCCCATAACTGCCCACTGCTGAGTAAAGGCTTCTCACACGGAGAAGGTTTGAGCATTAATCACCACGCTTGTTCCAGGCGGGATGGCGAACAGGTTTGAACCGGCACCCTCATGCATGAGCAGCGTGGGAGAGCCATGCTGCGGCACGAAAGGGTCGGCTCGACCGATCCCTCCTCAATCCCTAAATCTCCAAATTCCTAATCCCTAAAAGGTCGGCAACGCACTCGTAACTCCTCCGTTGCTTGTGTCCATGGGCGGGACTGATTGCTGCCGACCTATTACATAAAAAAAAGCGGCGAAAGCCATCACGACGATAGTCTTTGAATGCACCTTTTAATGATTCAGATACCTAACTGATTTTTTTCTAGTGACTATTGTCCAAGCTTTTGCTTTTCCACGCTTGTTTGATAAAAAGTAGCCGATGTATTCTACATTATCTACATATCTATCTCTGAACCAAATTTCATAAGGTCCATGAAACACATGTCAATCTACCAAACTTTCACAATCATAATAATATTCGAGGTACAGGATAGTAGGACTTTAAAAATTCTCAATTGGACATCGCACTTCTGTGGTCTTCTCAGTTGAGTATAAGGGACATAGGACCTTAAAGTAAAGTAAATTAAGACTCACGTTTGCATGTTGGATAGTTGAAGTAACCAGCTTCGCACTGGTTACAAGTTCTACCGCTGTATTTGCTCTTGCATGTGCAGTTGCCGCTGTCCTTGTCACACACAGGAGACACCGAACCCACAGAGTTGCACTCACAATCTGGTTTGAAAGAGATAACACGATTAATCACTAAACGTAAAGACGCAGACGTATAATTAAAGTTCCCAATGCCAGAGTTATAAATCTACTTTATTTATCTACAAAAAGAATCACAACTTAAAAACTTTGATTGGTAGCGGTTGACCTTACTTATTTTGGGTATTTCATGATATAATCGTTTTGCTAATTTATTTTGTTATTAATAGCATAAGAATTAACTGATTTTGGAAATTGTAGGGGTATACAAATATAAATTAAAAAATCTAATATTGCTTTAAAAAGTAACACGTAATTAAAAAAAACGTGGCGAAGGGGGACTGATGCAAATATTTTATCATCTACTACATATTTATATAATTTTCTCTCGATTAAGTTATAACATTCCCTTTTAGTGCGCATTAATTTGAGACCCCAGTCGAGTATATTTGCAGACCTTCGGTTACCCTTCCCCACTCACTCCCCATAACGTCTAAACGGCTCAACCGATTTTCGTCAAACATGTCTAAGAACATTCGCACGTAAGTCACCTTTATTACAAAAAACTAAATTGAAATCGCTTCATCCGTTCAGGCTCCAGATTGCCACAGACAGACAGACACGTGAAAGTTATAACACCCCTCTTTTCCCGTCGGGGGTTAAAAATGATATGATGTTCCTTCCAATTTAAACATCATCATTAAAATAACACCTCTAGGGTCCAAGGGTCCACTGGGCTTAATACTTACTTTTACATTCCGGCGAATAGTATCCATCTGCGCAAATCTCACAGGATTTACCCGCGTAGTTGTATTTGCAGGGGCACTGTACAGAAAAATATTTAAATTAATTGTAGGCCTAACAATAAACAGTCGCTTGTGTGTATCCGAAACGATTCGGTCGGCATTTCTTCTCAGAGTAGTCAGATAGGAAATGCCGGCTTCATCTAGTTTTTCACATATAAATTGACGTGTAAAAGTGCCGTTTTATGGCCTATTTGCAAAAATAAATTCATTGTTTCATTGTTTCATTCAAACTTCAAATGTTGAAGAAAGGAGCAGTGGTCCTTTTTAAAAAGATAGTAATTGGCTCTTTATGTATTTCTGGTGGATTTTTTTCATTTTGCCATTGTAGATAAACCTTCGATAAATCAATTTAGAATTCATTTTCGACAGCTACAAAACTTACCAAGCCATCGACTGGAGTACATTGTTGTCCATCAGTTCCATTAAGATTGCAGGTGCAAGGTTTGCAGTTGGGGTAGTCGAAGTACCCATAGGCACAAGAGTCGCAGTTTGGTGGGTTGAACTCCACCCTGCATTCACACCGTCCCGTCTCCTCCTCACAGTTTCCGGTCGAGTAATGCAGGTCGCAATTACATGCTAAAATAAAAGCAACCGTTTACAACTATCTTCATGGTTGACTTTTGAGAGAAAATATTATCGTCTAATTCAATCAAAAATCTATTTTTATATTAAAATAAAACTAACAAAATTACAAATAGCGATTGGTCCACACGTATGACACTGCCTGATTAAACCGAAACCCCAATTTTTTTTTGTTAAAGTAAAAAAAAAATATCTTTTTTGTTTTAAAATAATAGTTGGAAAATCTATACTAGGTATTTGTGGGTTTGTACGTAGGGAATCTTTGCAACCGTTGGTTAGATTTCCAAAATTCTTTCACAATTTCAATGTTCTTGAATGCTATAGTTATGTTTGTGTCGTCTTTAGTTTTACTTGTTTGTTTGTTGTTTTTGCGTTAATAAATGTTATTTCTTACTTTTCTTCTTTCTTTCTCACTACGACCTATAGGAACCGAGTAGCGAGTGAAAGCGCGCGGCAGTAGCTAGTAGTTATATATTGTATATATATATTTCGTTTACATATCTTCGTTGTAATGTTATAACTCAACAATGTCTTTACTGATTTGAGGTTTGTATATAATAATATAGATACTCACGCTGGCATACATCAGTCTCATTCCAGCTCTTTCCATAAGGTCGGTAGAATGTCGGCACGCACTTGTTGCAGTTAATGCCTTGTGTGTTGTGCTGGCAGTTCTTGCACACTCCACCTCCCTCATACTTCCCGAAGATGTCAAGAGAAAGTCGCTGCTTGTCTACCTCGGGGTCATACTCACATTCGGTCGAGTGATTGTGGCAGTTACAAGCTGGAACAATGGAAAATGTTCAGTATCTACTTAATACAAAAAAAGGCCAAATATTGTTAAAAAATGAGATGTGGTACGAATATAATATGTAGGTATAAAAGCTCAGTTGTTACTGAGAAGATATACCAATGACGGAACTTCTCAGCAGCAGCACAATCTAAAGAGCAAGGGATCAATTACAGAATTTTTTATCAGTAATTAATGGATTTGCTTTTAGAAAAACTGCTAGTTATATAAATTTATTGATGACTTATGCACGGTAGGCGATCGCCGAACTTTGCCAATCGCAGTACTGTTAATTTGAATTATAACTGTATATAATAGCGAGAAACAACATTTTAAAATACACATACGTTCACACGCAAAACGGTCCCAGTGCTGGGAGATCCTCCATTTCTTCTGTTCGAATCCAGGGCAGCATTCAGCGCATTGGGGTCCACAAGTGTTGTGTTGGCAGACACACTCCAGAATGTTGGTGTTGGTCGCTGGGTCCGCTGGTTCGCAAGTATCCGCGTGACCATTGCACATACAACGACCACCAATGCTGATGTCTTTAATACTGTAGAAGTACTGTGGATAAAAAACTATTTGGTAAGTTCAGTCTAAACTACTAGGAACTGAAAGTGTTTGAAAGGGATCATATTGGTTGGTTAAATAGCCGATTTAAGTACAATATAAATTATAGGTACTTATTATTTACCCTTCATTGTTGTTTGAAGTAATAGACATAAATATGGATAAAAGAAGTTCACAGTCCTTGGTTCAAAGGAAAAATGTAGGATATTTGACTCAATACACATAATTATGAGTGTAGCATGCACAAGAAGTGTAAACAACTGTTTGTTTTGACGAAGAAATTGAAGCTGGGAGCGAAATCACTTGTTGTGAGTTAAATTCTCATGTGTTCACCGAACCGAATAAAAAATTGTACGAAAATATAAGGAACCGGCTTTGATATTTGTGTAATGGATCTCGTAAGACATACCGACTACATTTTTAAACTGCTACATTAAATTTTATATCATACATTTTATATATAATTTTGATTGTAACGAGATAAAATGCTCGTTACATTGGCTTAAAATCTATAAATCAAAAGAGAGAAGAAATCACAATCGAATGTTTGTCAAATGTAAGGTGAAAAATGTTATAATAATAGATTAGATATAAAAAAATATATATGTATAGGTAACACCAGACTTACCTATTAGATAAAAAAGACAAAATATACGTCCTTCTCTAACACGAAAGACAAGCTTTAACGTAAAAAACGAGGACTAAAAAATCAACACAAGAATTAATATTCGATCCTATAATTATTGACTCTGAAAAAAAAATATAGAAAACCAAATAAAAGTTTACCCGTCGTGTAACAGTAGGATCTTGTCGGGCGACAGACATGAGATGTCCACGCAAGTTCTTGGTTCTAAGCAAACGAAGCCGCACGTTAGTAGCCCTGGTCCATTCTTGGAGCACTGAGGAGTTGAAGTAGCTGTTTGCAGAGGGACGGTAGTTCAGCAATGATATAGGGATCTGGAAGAAAGTTACATACATTAATGATACAATTTGACTGCACGGTTAGCACGGTTGCGGGACAACTGGCTGCCGCGCAACATTTCGAGGGTTCGATTCCCGCACGGAACAACTCTTTGTGTGATCCATCCATAAAGGATTGGAATTGTCTGCAACGGTTCCCGTCCAGTTATGATTTATGTGTCTTCAAGGATAGAGTGATTAGGTCGTAATAAACTTGTGCAACCATCAGGTGGGATTGTAGTCAAGCACTGGTTTATGGTTAGAAGAAATAAAGATAGAAATATGCTGAAGAAAAAAATGTAATCAGTCTTAGCGTGATGTGTTTTGTACTTGAATGTTTATTAAAACACCCGTTTTACTGACCGAAATCATATTACGAGACCATGTTTTTTTCTTTGTAAATCAGAAGTAAATAGTTTTTTCTTTTACGCTAATGAAATCCATGGTGTTTCTTTTTTATTGATAGATAATAATTACGATAGTGGCTGATGAGAACATGGCTGCTTATCCTTATACTGACCTCACCACCTTCAAGGGGGACAATCTTCGAGTACTCCGTACTACAGATGACTGAATCATCTCTAGTGATGGGTTGAAGACTCTCCTTGCCGAAGTAACGTTCACAATCCCTGTAGGTAAGAAGGAATACGTATATTTAGTGAATACATTTTTTACTAGCTACCCTCGTGTGGTTTCACCGGTTGCTCGGCTCCATTTAATCGTAGCGTAATGTTTTATCACCTATAGCACTCAGGAATATTGTAGCTATCTATCAGTAAAAGAATTTTGGCAATCCGACCAGCGGTTCCAAAGTTTACCCCCTACATACGAACTTACAAACTTACAAACATACAAACTTACAAACTTACACCTCTTTATAACATGAGTATGTATAATAATTCTTTCAGCCGTTGACATTGCTTCATAAGAGTTTAAATTTTTATGAAGTCTGTCTGAATCTTTTTTAAACTGTGATCCAACGAGCCAGGAATGGATAATAACAATCCTGTTGATATGTTGATATGTAAATGTAACTATACTATGCCACCATTTATTTCTCTTATGGTTGTATGTGGGTGTGGCATGTTAAATGTTTACACACACTTTTCACCAGTTAGATATTATGTTATGATTCGCATTTAATATAGGTTTAAAGCTTCCTAATTATGATTTTTTTATATTCTAGTTTCTGTCATCGACTCATCCGCGTTACCCGGATGAAAAATAGCCTATGTATTTATAAATAATACTATTACTATTTATTAATACTATAATCTATCTCTGCCAAGTTTCATAAATGTCCATTCGCTTGTTTTTCTGTAAGAAAATACAAATATCTAACCATATCCATAAGTGTGAGAGAGCCATGCTTCGGCACGAATGGGTCGGCTCGACCGGAGTGATACCACGGCCTCACAGAAAACCGGCGTGAAACAACCACAGTGTTGTGTTTCGCCGTGTGAGTGAGGTTACCGGAGGCCCAATCCTTCGCCTTCCCTAATCCCTCCCCAGTCCCTAAATCTCCAAATCCCTAATCCCTAAAAGGTCGGCAGCGCACTCGTAACTCCTCCGTTGCGGGTGTCCATGGGCGGCGCTGATTGCTTACCATCAGGTAATCCGTCTGCTCGTTTGCCGACCTATTACATAAAAAAAAAATCTTACTAATATTATAAATGCGAAAGTTACGATGTTTGGTTCTTTGTTATTCAATAACGCCAAAACGGGTGAACTGATCTGGATGCAATTTGGCACAGGCATAGGATACACTCCGGAATAGGACATAGACCACTTTTTATCAACATACCACGCAAGCGAAGCCGCGGGCGGAAGATAGTGCATCTACGTATACTTACAAAGTTTCACTCTTACAGTATTTTTATGATTTAGTTCTATATCAAGTGAATAGGACGTATTACTTACTGAGGGGATTCTGAGAAGTATTGCCATGGCTTAAACGTCTTTCCGTAATCGGTAGACTTCTCCAGCATCCAGAGGTCAGGTCGTGGCGAGTTACCCATCTTCACGAACACGTATGCTACGTGGAATTCCTGAAAAAAAATAGAATCCACGTGAGAATTTCCTTTATAAAAGGTTTAATATGAAAACAAGTCCACAAATAGAAATACTTTACTTAATTGGATTTTGTATTAATATGAGTACATACAATAACGTATGTCGTGGTGACTCGGAGGTTAAGGAGCCCACTTCTCATGCATGCAAGTACCAATGTGACTTTTTCCGAGTTATAAGTACTTTCTATGATTATTTAGACAACACTGACACACGGCGAAGGTAATCATCGTGCGAAAACCTGGACTTATAATTTCTAATTATAAGTTTGAAATCGCCAACACGCATTGAGCAAGCGTGGTGATTAATGCTCTAACCTTCTCCGTGTTAGAAGAGGTCTTTGCTCAGCAGTGGGCACTTATGGGCTGATGATGAACATACTATAAGCCTTCTTTGAGTAGGGGAAACCTTCATATATATGTCTTTTCTCGCCCACAATGAGGCGAGAGAGAGACAGAGAGAGTGTCAGGCTCTTCCTGACTAAAAACAACCCTGTTCCTTTCAGTCCTGACCGAGGCCGCGACACCTTATTTGCGACATTGGGGCCCGTCTGTGGTGGTGTATCTCTTTGAGGCGCACACGTGGAACGTTACGGGCCGTTCGCGCGGGGTGACTATACATTAGTATTCTAATACATTTGTCACCACCTCTATTCTTACCGCGGGTATTGACAGAGACTACGCAGCAGTGTTCTGAATTAAATCTTATATGTTTCAACTGTGATCTCTAAGCGTCGTTTTTAATAGAAAAACCCATATTACAGCGTTGGTTCCTAAGTCAATCCCATGGGTTTTCGTATCATAAAGAATTTGGAAATTGAAATGACAACACAGGCTTAGACAGTTTCTGTCGTGTGCAATTTTTTTTGTGTAATAGAACAAAAACTTTTAACTTACGACAGTGCTATAATTTTACCTTTAAACTTTAATTTAATTGTGTTCAGAAATAAGTACCTAAGAGCGTGTCTTTACAATTTCTCAATGCTTAAAGGCCCGGCAATGCACTTGATCCTACAAAAGTTCTGCAAGTTTCCATGGATGACGTCGAGTGCATAAACTACCATTATGATATTCTGGCGGTTTGTTTGTCACTCTATGTATAGTGTATAATTGTTTTCCACACATCGAGAATAAACCTCGACAGTCTTGTGTGAAGTAGACAATAGAGAATCTACCTAAATAAGAATGGGAGAGCCATGTTTCGGCACGAATGGGTCGGCTTGACCGGAGTCATACTACGACCTCACAGAAAACCGGCGTTAAATAACTACAGCGTTGTGTTTTGACGTGTGAGTGAGGTTAGGCCCAATCATTCCAAATCCCTACTTATTCCTAAAATCTCCAAATCTCTAATCCCCAAAAGGTCAGCAACGCACTCGGCACTCCTCCGTCGTTGCGGGTGTCCTATGCTAGTCCTAAGAACCTTGGACCTTGGACCGCTAAGCAACATTTCATTAACACCTATTAGGTAAACTTAATCAAATCAAATCAAATCAAAATCATTTAATCCAACTAAACCATAAATAGGTACTTTTGAAACGTCAAAATAGAATAGTAGTCTGTCAGTCTGTTCGTCAGTGAAGCAAGGTGCTCGTTCCAAATTCTAGTTTCGAATGGAGGAGAACGAGCAAGAAACTCCATTTTTTTTTCTTAGATCCTATAACTGCACACCGCACTAATCTAACGATACACGTGTTACATCTACCACGTATTATTTTATAGTTCATCATAAAATTATACATTTTACGAGTTACCCGATCTATTTGTGATATAAAAATCATAATCGTTTTATGACCTCACAACCTCGCCCTTTGGGTGGCTACAGCTTTTATCACAGCACACTGTCGTCACCCACGCTTCACACATCCTCTGCGAGTCACGCGGACTGAGATAAGCTACTAACAATTATTAGAAAAATCAAATCATTATTATAGGCGACGATCTAAACTGTTCCCCATTTGGTTAATGTTTGCCAAGTATTTTTTATTTATGTGACGGCAAACGAGCGAATTACCTGAAGGTAAGCAATTAGCGCCGCCCATGGACACCTCCCGTAACAAAGGTAGAGTTACGAGTGCCGACCTTATGGGGATTTGGAATGCGGAGATTTTGGCATTAGGAGAGCAGAAGGATTGGGTATACATACAAATAGAACTTTTATTCTAAACCTAAGTTCAAAAACTGATATGATAATGATATTATGATATGATCATTTAGAGCCTTGAAAACAGCTACAAAACACAGCTGAATTTTGATGTACGGCAAAAGTGAAAGAAAGTTGATTCCATATTCAAATGCGCTTTGAAACTTCCTTCACATTCAGATTTATGAATTAGTTGCATCAGGCAAGACGAGATTACTCCACACTTGGCCTTTTTGGGCACACTATCTAAATACTTATGTAGTTTCTCTCATTAAAAATTACACGTTTTTACAACCATGCTTTCAACACGCACAAACCGTTTAAACATACCCTTCTCATACTTGAAATTATTAATGTCAATGACCTTGTTTATTTCTTTTGTATATAAGTAAAATCTAAACTGTTATAAAAAAAATGTCTTTTATGCTACTACACCAAAAATACGTCTGTTCAATTTGTTCGTCTGAGGGATAATATTCAAATCTAAGACAAAATTCATCTCAACTTATAGCAACTTTAAGTAACTCGTGTTCATTTCAGTTCACATATTTAACAGAAAGAAACAAACCCATTAACATAATTAATCAGGAATAGAAATCCAATACTAACAATGTACATATGTAGTTCCAAAGACCAGCTCTTATTAACTGACTTTTCAGATTTTTTAGTGGTAGATTTAAATTAAAATATAATAATTCACTATACGACTCAATTAATTACTATGAGTTAGTAACTATTAGCGAAAATTCGTCTCGCAAAGCCTTGAACAATCGTGTCGATGACTGCTCAAATCTTATCTATGAGAAGAGGCCTTTGCTCAGCAGTCGGCACTTATAGGCTGATGATGGGATGATCTAAACAACACAGATGCAGACTGGCAAATATACTATGAATACAGTCGCTAAATTTTGCAGGCAACACTAATGATGTCACTATGTCGTCACCGAGACATCGGCGTTGATATTATAACAATTACAATGTTTACTAAATTCTCAAAATATAATCAAAGACACGATGACCAAATCAATTACTGTTTTAATGCTGACCATAGAGTTGTGGCAGCATTCTGTGTAAAATCAAATTGTCAGCTTTTATTTTGTTAAAACTTAGTGTGAAAACAAAACATCCATAATTTGTTCTCACCTAAATAATTAAGTGCCTTTTTTAAATCTATTGCATCATTTTGAAAGAGACAGTTGAAATATTAACCTTCGTAGCAGAATCAAAACAGTTAGCTCAGCATACACAGATTAGAAATAGAATTCGCATTGCAAATCATATTACAACTTGTAAGAAGATAAATTCGCTTCATTTCTTCCCACCTAAGCATATCGTATTTATCATTCGCTAGGCAAAAGTCGCGGCAGCTAGGTAATCAAGTTACGCGTGGTCATCACTCGCAGAGTTGCATTAAACAAAACATTGCAACAGATAAGTCGACTGTAAAACATGCCTATCCGATACTTGTAAGTACTTTTATTCTAAGTTAATTATTAGATATCATATAAAGCTGATTTGTTCATTTGAGCTGTCTCTGAAACTAAATATGGTAGTCACTAGAATAAAAATATGATTCGGATTTTCTACGAGGTGGTAACTGTTGTCAATAGCTTCTTGCATTCGTATTAGGACACTGTAATGTATATGTAAGTGTAAATCTAGCAACTAATCCAGACAAACCTCTTTCTTTTTAGCATACACATGCATTAGATTATCGCACACACGCATACTGTTTACAGTAAAGTAGTAAATAAAGAAAACGTAGAACCGATGAAAATATTTCCAAAGCATTTTTATTAACATTTTCATGTACCTATACCTATTGACTGCAGGTAATAAGAGAGAAGTTAATTTGTCAATAGATGTTGTTAGATGCTCAACGTAAAAACTCATCACTCTCTATTTGACTGCAAGCAATATTGTTAATTAAATAATCGACTTGTGAAAAATATTTTAAAGTTTATCAACGCGGAAAATGGCAGGCTTCATGATACTAAAATGTGAATTCAAAGTACTTCGTAGCGGTAGGAACATTCGGCTAGGTACGTAAACTTGTTCTATAATTGTTTTATGTCCCAACAACGGTGAAACCGAGGTCAGTGAACTCACGAACGCCATGTTATTCCTGGATTGTCCTGAATCGCCTGCATTGGACATATGGCTCGTCTAATATTACGAAATTAGAAACAAAACTAGCATTTCCACTGCAAAAGGAATCTTCGTGTCGTAGTTTTAGATTTCAAATTTGTTCGGTTATAAAGGAATTTAGCTAAATATAATTGAGAAGGATTTTTCTTGGAGAAGCTTTATGTTAAGTTGGGAAAGTAACTTTGTCATTATATTTTTAGCTATGTTTACTTCAGAGTTGACACATTCTTATAAGATTATATTCCATTATACAATTATTCTAGATTATTGCTAAGCGTCAGAAGCAACCAAACTCTGTGCATTAAGAAATCAACTGGAGATTTAGTCCATAAGCATTCAAAATGTCAATAATATATATCCCCTAAATGATGACAAAATAATATTATAATGTAATAATTTTACAACACTGTGTCTGGGTTATGTAGATGATGTCACCACATCCGAGAATATATTTATGGGAACAAATTTATCTAGGAACACAGCGTATTTATTATGTATGGTATTATTTTCAAAATAACGTTTGTGATGCGTTCCATATGTTTCACAATCTTACAGATCGAGGTGTTACGATGTGGTCTTGTAATCTTTGAATATTAATATTTAGTTTTGTACTCCGTAATGTCTGTGTCTTTACGCCTATAGGGTTTGCTGCCCGGCCTTAAATTTAAGACCCAGACAAGGTAGGAGTTAAAATGATGTAGTTTTTGGAAGTAAGAGTCTGACACGAATCTGTCAAAAATTTTACGTTCAGTAAAATTTTTGAAAAAATCATTTTAGATCAAATGCAAAGATTTTTTAATAGAAATAAATTATTACATGCGAAGCAGTTCGGATTTACAAGGGGTCGTTCAACAACTGATGCCGGTGTTGAACTTCTTAATCATATTTACGACGCATGGGAGGACTCAAGCGACGCTTTGGGAATATTTTGTGATTTATCCAAGGCGTTCGATTGCGTGCTTCATGATACACTGATCAGGAAGCTTTCCCATTACGGAATTAGAGGTGCATCTCTGGACCTTCTTACCTCATACCTGAGTAATAGGGTTCAGAGAGTCGAAGTAAACGGAATGGTTTCTGCCGGGTCTGTTGTGAAGATGGGTGTTCCGCAGGGTTCTATTCTCGGCCCGTTTTTATTTCTTATCTATATTAATGACTTGCCTTACCTTGTAAGGGATAAACACGAGATAGTGCTGTTTGCTGATGATACCTCACTATTATTCAAACTCAGACGACGACAATCATTAATTGACAATGTAAACAGTGCTCTCTCAGAAATAGTTCACTGGTTTGGTGTGAATAACTTATTACTAAACGAAACTAAAACTAAATGTATTAAATTCACAACACCAAATGTTAAACAGATAAAAACCAGTGTGCTTGTCAAGGGCGAGGAGTTGAGTCCTGTAGATACAACTGTCTTTTTAGGTATAACCCTGGACGCTAAGCTCCAGTGGGGCCCACATATAGATGGCTTGTCGAAGAAGCTCAGTTCTGCAGCATATGCCGTTAAAAAAATTAGAAATTTAACAGATATAGATACAGCGCGGTTAGTTTATTTTGGTTATTTCCACAGCATCATGTCATACGGTATTTTGTTGTGGGGGAATGCTGCTGACATCCAGTCTATTTTTGTTCTGCAGAAAAGGGCTATTCGATCAATCTATAATCTTAGTCCGAGGCATTCGCTCAGAGAATTATTTAAGGAATCTAAAATAATGACAGTTGCCTCTCAATATATTTATGAAAATGTAATTCACGCTCATAAAAACAAAAGCTTATTTAAGAAATATAGTGATATACATAATATCAACACGAGGGGGAAAAACAAATATGTTGTGCCTGCCTCCAGGCTTCAGAAAATAAGTAGTTCGTTTAGGTGTCAATGTATACGCTTTTACAATAAAATTCCTAGCGATATTCAAAATTTGAGCCTCAATAAATTTAAAAGTGTAATAAAGGCTAAACTTTGCTGTAAAGCATTTTATAAAATAAAAGACTACTTAGAGGATAGTCAGGCTTGGGAATGAGCCGCTGTAATGTCTGCACAGGTCATGTTGACATGTTTGTAACATAAGTTACACTTTTATATACAATTTGACATTACGTTTATTTATTTTTTTTATACAATGACATGATCACATAGTATGACATTTTTATTTTTTATTTGACATTTTTTTTTATTTATTTGTTGACATTTTTATTATTTTATATTATTGTTAGTGTAAGGACCGTGTGAGACTTGTCGTGCTTTTTTATCACCAGTCATCTGCGTTCTGACAGTTTGAGTACTTGCGCGACCCACCCAAATGTTCTTTTGATCGGTATTGTTCGTCGGACAACTCAACAGCACTAGCTATATGGTTGCAAACTGACACTTGCGTGCCTGTCTTCAGAACGGGTCCACTTAAACTGGTGTGGTTCTTTCCTCAAAAGACCACTACAGAATGAACTTGCACGGTTCTCTCACATTATGTTATTTTATATTGTCTGGACTTGAAAAGAGACTGACCTCTGAGTTTGTTTCGGCATTTCTTCTCAGAGTAGTCAGATAGGAAATGCCGGCTTCATCTAGTTTTTCACATATAATTTGACGTGTAAAAGTGCCGTTTTAAGGCCTATTTGCAAAAATAAATTCATTGTTTCATTGTTTCATTGTTTCATTGACACTTTCTCTCGCATAATCCAGGATTGCTCAGGAGAGATATTAAATGTTTTTTTCACCTATAAAATAGTAGGACCGTTGTCTGATCTTACTAATATGCGAAAGTTACGATGTTTGGATGTTTGCTACTCAATCACGCCAAAACGACTGGACGGATCTGGATGAGTATTAGGCACAGGCGTAGGATATATTCCGGAATAGGGCATAGTCTATTTTTTATCAACATACGACGCAGGCGAAGTCGCCGGTGGAAGCTAGTTAAAAATAAACTCGAAAATGTTATCGTGACTTACCTGTCCAAGATCGATGGTGAGGTTGACTTCGTTGTACTTCATCCCCCTGGACAATGGCGGACTCTGCCACCAGGTCTCCGAGCTGTCCACCGCATACTCCGGGGGATGCTTCTTGGCTTCATTCGTAGCATCACAGATGTCACAAACCTGAGTAAAAGACCAAATATATAAGGATAAGATTTTTAAAGTAGTTTCAGGTTTACCAAACAAGAAAAAAGACAGCCATCGGAAATATTTAAAAATATTATTGACTGTTTTTTTCTTTGAGAGTCTGTTTTACTTTCGACGTTATGTGTATTGTGGCTACATTAATTAATTTGAATATAGAATACAATTTATATGAACTATAATTATGCCGCTTAAGCTTCTCGCAAACTTATAAAGGTGGTGAACCATGCACCTAGTTGCATACCGATAAAATAAGTATATCAAATCAGATACAGGATTGTTAATACTCATTTTATTAGGCAAATACACATTATTCTTAAAAAAAGTACTTAATTAAAGATAATATCAAGCTAGTTCGTACATTTCCATCTATACTGTTAGTTGATACATAGAAATAAAGATCTATTGAAGAAGAGGCTATTGTATCAAATGTATATAATATGCCAAAGGAATTTATTTTATATTTTACAAAACATGTGGCAATTATGCTGATCCGGAGGACTTCCTAGTCAGAAAGCTACTTTCAGACTGTATCAGGTTATTTGGTAACAGGTAAAGATAGCGGCCACATGCCGTGGTGGCCCGGAGGTTAAGGAGCCCGCTTTTTATGCATGAGGGTGGGGTTTCGAAACATGGCAAGTACCAATGTGACTTTTTCCGAGTTATATGTACTTTCTATGATTATTTAGACACCACTGACATACGGTGAAGGTAAACATCGTGAGGAAACCTGGACTTATAATTTCTGATTATGAGTTTGAAATCGCCAACCCGCATTGAGCAAGCGTGGTGATTAATGCTCTAACCTTCTCTGTGTGAGAAGAGGCATTTGCTCAGTAGTGGGCACTTATAGGCTGATGATGATGATGATGAAAGATAGGGGTAGATCATATTGGATGCATTGCGGCCATTCAGCTAAAATTGACGCTACTAAGTACAAGAATAAAAGCCTTATTATCACTTTCAAATAACGAGATGTTTTTAGAATTTATTTAAAGCCTTTCAACAAGTTGCCTTGGTAGCAGTCTTGTAATGCTTACCCGTCTTTATTCAAAAGGATTCAACGAGTAAATGAACTCATTCCTAGACAATTGACAAGATATGCGCTTGCGCGGTTTTATTGATTCTTTCCTAAGAGTGAAGGTTCCCTGATGGATTAGTGGTCAGCAAGCGGTTCGTGCTTGATTAGGTTCGAACCTCAAAAGGATATTTGATGACAAACTAAGTTTCTTGTTGTTTATGTGTGTATATTATAGTCAAAGTCAAAGTCAAAATCATTTATTCCAACTAAACCATAAATAGTAGTCTCTTCGTCGGTGAAGCTAGGTATACTGGCCAACTATCAGTTGGTTTTCAATCAATTATAAGAAGCATAAAATAACCCTTTACGACAAAATATTGATCACAGAACAGAAAAACCTTCACAATCAATAAAATAAATTTCGTTTTAAACATCTTCAAACTCCAAAAATTTTTTTTAAATCTAAATATTCATAGCATTATTACGAAATACCTAATTCCAAAAACCTTCAAACAAAACATCAACAGCAATTGGGACCTTTGTGTTTGTAAAAACAAAAGGAGCTTAGTTGAATAGGATGCGCGTGAGCATTTGGCCGCCATATGTCCGCAAAAACGCCACGAGATTTACTGATCTTTGTCGAATTTCTCCGAACCCGAAGAGCCCAAAGATCCCCGAAGTGGGATTTAGTTGCAAGAAATATTGCCCGCCTATTTACATTGTGTAGCTATGCAGTCATATGTTTGTAATTACTGATGACAGATTGTTTAGAACAATTTGTTTTGTTTAGACAAATGTTACAATGTCTTCTTGAGAGAGTGTTTTTGGTTCCTAGACAATGAGTAAAAGAGAAACTAGATGGGACAATGCAGTATGCTATGATAAGTAAGTAGTAATAAATAATTTGAGTTAGTTTTTATTAATGATTCCACGAAGAACGTGTCTTATTCACACGCAATTTTAGTACTTAAGTTTTTTTTGCTAAGTCTTAGAATAAATATCAAAACTGTAGTTGAAAAGAATCTAGAAGCATTACTGAATAGGTATCCATAATCCATGTAGAAAAAAAGAAACGTTTTGGTTTGTTGCTAAGCGCTAAACTCAAAAACGGCTGATTCTTTTTTTCTTTATTTCTTTCTTGTTAAAAGTCTTAAGCGACGGATCTAAAATATAAACTGTTATTGTTAGTAGCTTCGTTGTAAAGTTTTATTTGTCCTATTTCAAAATAGCAATGAGTTACCTAAATTAATACAGAAAATTTCGAAGTATTTCGTTTTAAAAGGCCAAACATATTAAATTGAAAGTACTTTAATTACAATCATATTGCACAGACTGTTGTGTTCGAGTTTATATAACAAGGAGCCCAAGTTTAAGTCCCTAAGCTAAGCGATCATAGCATTTTGCATATTTCTCAATAATATCACGTTGCTTAGTATTTATTATGCTTGTTATATATAAGCTACTAGACTCGCTTGATAAAAACCATATTTTGTTCACTTTTATCTACGCTTTTATGGATTAAATGGTAAAATGCCATATCCATACATATCATCACGCCACCGTCTACAATTTGGGCAAACAGAGACAATTGAATGCCAAAAGACACGACTTGGACATATCTCTTACGCTTGTTCTACATTCATCAATGTTTTAATGCATTAATACTACTTTTTTAAATCTTACAAACTAGTGCTTAACTGCAGTCCCACCTGATGGTAAGCAGTGATGCAATCGTTGATGGTAAGGCGCACTAGTTTATTAAATTAAGATCCTAACTCTAGCCTTGAAGAAACCTAAATTATAAGTGGACGGGATCATAAGCTTTTACTACTTACTTAAGAAGTTCATTAACTATCCAAACTAATATTATAAATGCGAAAGTAACTCAGTCTGTCTGTCTTTTCTTCACGCCTAAACTACTGAACCAATTTGTGTGAAATTTGGTGCAGTCATAGTTTGGAACGCGAGGAAGGACATAGGATAGTTTTTTAACCAAAAATCTGCAGGAAGTCGCTATTCCACGTGAACAAAGTCGCAAAGGGCATAAACTAGTTTTGTTATAACATTTCATTCATCACAGAGTCGTTATGAATCAATGTAAGTACAATAACCCAGTCAAAAATAAACGCGGTCCAACAGATAAATGGTTCAAAGTTTAGAAGATAAGGTTCACATTAACTACTGACGACCGTTACTTATCTTCGGCTAAATTAATCAAAAATGTGTTCCATCTCTCATTCGTGGCCTATTTGAGATTTTTATATTAATATTTTTATCTTTCTGCCGGCTATAGATGACAAACCAACTGTATAATACCGCCAACGTATCTTGGCGAGTCTGAAGTTAGCCGATTAGCTGCGCAGTACACAATTTTGTTCCTAAAAGATCCATTGAGCAGACAAACAGCTAACTTCAGACTCGCCAAGATACGTCGACCGTACTGTACTTGACGTTTTCTGCCTATTTTCGATTAAAAGCTGACCATGGCGGTCAAAAAGTTGAATGATTTCACGTCATCATTACTGACAGTATTTTTTTTCTTTCATTAAAACATTGCCCCTCACTAGGATTTTCTCCTGTATCGTGGATGCGATTACAAACATACACTTTCTCATAAAACAATTTGTGGATCACACAAATAGTTGTTGCGTGCGGGAATCGAACCCGCGAGACATTACGCGGCATCCAGTTGCAAAGCCACCGCGCCAAAAGTCATGTTTTTGTTTGTTGCACATTTGACAATTGTATTTAGTATTAGACGTTTAGTGTAGGAGTGTAGGTCCATACTCTTTATTAGTTGAGTTCTTAGTCACTAGGTGAGTCTATTTCTATTAAATAAATCCAATATTGCTTTGGTCGAGCTCAATACCCTTACAGACAGTCGCGTTTACGGCAATCAAGCAACAGGGGACAGTGAATACTTTTTAATAGATAAGAAATTTGTTCCAAGTAATCGATGTAGCATGTTTAGTTATTAGTTTTTTTATCGTGGGGTACCAACATCAGAAGACAATACCACCAAATATAAGACAGTATTCTATTACCATTTAGGTATATTCAGTAAGAATAGTACTGTCAATATGTATTAAAAAAAAGAAGAAAAATTTTTTTTTTTTTTTTTTTTGTAATTATTGTCGCCTAAAACACTAGTGAAACTTCAAGAAATAAACTTAATCATATTTTGTTTCCTATTAAGTATTATGATGCTGATTAATTTACCTAGATTCAGTATTAGGTACCAAGTAATAATTAACTAAAGAAGTATATAATACGCATTATCCATGTTCCCCTTGACTCCTTCTTTATCTTTTACGTAATTTCTTAAAATACATAGATCACATAACATCCATTTCACAAGAGCATCCTAGTTTACATAAGTTTTAAGAGCTTTTAACGCTGCCAGAGCATCGAACTCGTTATCAAACGGACGCTGGGGCAGCGGAACGCAGATAGCTTATCAGTGTCTTATCAGACGGTAGCTGCTTGTTCTACACTGAGTCCAATAATTATAATAAACTTTGTGAATTACATTATTTAGGGCGGGACAAGGGTCCAAATATAATTCAGGAAGCCTTGCATTAAAAAAAAGTTAAACATGTAATGGGAACTCTGTGTTACATTTATATGAATGTTCTCTTTAAAAATCTATATCTTCAATCGTAATCCTGGAGGCAAGCAATCGTAGACTTTTAGAAGCAGTATTAAGATGCTTTTTTCCTTGGTTTGTATAGAATTGCTTGACTAGACCTGCAGTGGTAGGAACACCATCGCGTTTGACCCACAAAGCATCCAATGTTGCAAGGATTATGTAGGAATTCTTTTCATAGGAAAAACTAATAATTTTGATTAACTGTTACCTAAGTTTCTAAAATCTTTTTAAGGTAATTTAACTTGATTCGCACTGCTATTTCGTGCGGATAAGCACTATAATCGCATGACCCTTCCACACTATAGCATTTAAAACTAAACTAACGCATGACACAATTAAAATGTAATTCAAAACTCAACAAAAGTTATAGAACGGACGAAATTTGTATCTTTAAAACAAAATAGGATTTCATCTTTGAAATATGAGATGCTTTAGGAACAATAATACGCTACAGTATATAAAAACTGACTGCACACACTTAAAGTCAGTTGTTAACAATACAATACTAAAAAACTCAACCTAACAACCAAATCAAATTATAACTCTCCAGACAAATCGGTAGTGTTACAATAAAAAGTGCATACACGATACACACTATAGCTTCTCTTCTATGTAAAGCACCATAGAACCGAAAAGTACTATCAATCTCAATCACACACAAAATATAAACAATCTCACCTGTCCTTGAATCACATGCTCATCATGGTCCGCGTTAGCTCCAACCAATTTACAGTACAATTCTGGTCCTTCATCTCCGCATGTAGCCGTGGCCGTAATCTTCTTTTTAGACGCTAAGTTAAAATATCTCGGTGTTAAAACTTCTGTGTGTACGAGGACCGTATGCATAAATATGAGGAACGTAATAAATGCGCCTGCGCCCGCCATGTTGCGCGGACGGCGGCCCGTCGCCGAATGCCGGGCTACGTGAACAGGGGTAGCGTTTTTTTCGTCAATGAATTAGCTAGGGATCTTATTTGAGCGGACGGCAGCTTTTTGTTGTCCAGCTCCAGTTGTATTAACATTTGTTATTTAAATGTAGGGTTTATGTTAAATACTGGTTTGAATATTCATTTAAAATTAAACGATATGGTGTGAATATTAATTAGTAATCATGTCGTTCTTGGTTTTCATCATAATTTGAAAGTAATATTACGACTTTATCAAAAATTTGAATAAAAAAAATCAAGCGTCGCATAAAAAAAATCCTTTTTTTATACATTTACTAGAAACCTGCCCCGGCTTAGCACGTGTGCAATGTTGATTCAAAATTTCTCAACTATTTAGTAGTTTCAATGAGAAGCATGCATCGGGATATAGGGACAGAGGAAGCGACCTTGTTGTATAGTAGTTAGTGATGATGTACCGACATTGTATTATACCATTTAAGCTTAGTAGACCTGATAAGTTACAGCAAGTCACTGGCGCTTTACTCCAACCGGTCAGCCAGCTGCCATGAGAGAGACCAAGCTAAGTCTTGAGCCAGGAAGTGTCTCGTAGTCGACTATTTTGACTGCACGGTTGGTGCGGTAACTGGCTGCCGTGCAACGTGTCGCGGGTTCGATTCCCACACGGAACAACTCTTTGTGTGATCCACAAGTTGTTGTTCCGGGTCTGGGTGTCTTGTGTGTGTGAAATTGTATGTTTGTAACAGCACTCACGACACAGGAGAAAGTCCTAATGTGGGGCAACGTTTTTTTAAAAAGAGAAAAGAAAAGAGAAAGAGTCTTTGTATCAAGATGATGATGATGATCATACACGATTTTGACCTTTATGAGTACAATTTTAAACTTACATTATATTAGTAATAATATAATGTAAGTTTAAAATTGTACTCATAAAGGACAAAATCGTGTTACTACTCATCTGTAGAGTCTCTTAGAATATAATTTACTATGTAGGTACAATCTACATTCGTACAATATGTTTACAAATATAAACATTACATTCTCAAAACAACCTTGGTATGATCATCATCATCATCTTGATACAAAGACTCTTTCTCTTTTCTTTTCTCTTTTTAAAAAAACGTTGCCCCACATTAGGACTTTCTCCTGTGTCGTGAGTGCTGTTACAAACATACAATTTCACACACACAAGACACCCAGACCCGGAACAACAACTTGTGGATCACACAAAGAGTTGTTCCGTGTGGGAATCGAACCCGCGACACGTTGCACGGCAGCCAGTTACCGCACCAACCGTGCAGTCAAAATAGTCGACTACGAGACACTTCCTGGCTCAAGACTTAGCTTGGTCTCTCTCATGGCAGCTGGCTGACCGGTTGGAGTAAAGCGCCAGTGACTTGCTGTAACTTATCAGGTATGAGTACAATTTTAAACTTACATTATATTAGTAATAATATAATGTAAGTTTAAAATTGTACTCATATGAACTCGTTAAGAAAATAATTGAAATTTTCTTCGTTTGCATAAGTCCTTATTTACAAGATGCCATCTTCTTCAACCCATAAAAGAGCAATAATTGAATTCAATTTAGGCGTGTTTTTCTTTTTAGACCATGCTGATGACAATTATTTTTTATGTTATAGAATGGCAGTCGAGTAGACAGATTACCTGTTGGTAAGCAATCAGCGCCGCTCATAGAAACCCGCAACAACGGAGGAGTTACGAGTGCGTTGCCGGACTTTTGGAGATTAGAGATTTGGAGATTTTAGGATTGGGGGAGAAGGATTGGGCCTTCAGTAACCCTACTTACACGGCAAAACACAACGCTGTGGTTGTTTCACGCCGGTTTTCTGTGAGGCCGTGGTTTCACGGTCACTAACTCCGTTCGAACCGTCCCATTCGTACCGAAACATGACTCTGCAACCCTTTATTATTTATTTATCTATTTATATGCTGAACTAGCGGCCCACCCCTGCTTCGCACGGGTTTAACTATCTCGCTATCAAAGGGTCACTTTTCCCAATTTTCCCCTCTACTTTTCGAATATTTTCTTTGATAAGAACCTTCTCCTGACAATAAGAAACATAACAAAATAAGAATTAGCAAAATTGGTCTAAGCGTTGTTGGGTTATGCGCTTACCAACACATTTTGCGATCCATTTTTATATATAAGATGAAAACCGCTGTATAAAATGCTAAAATAAGTTACTTTAGAATACATAACTTTATCGAATTTCTATAGGTACATTATCTAAGCACTGTTTATCTATTTTATAGTGATTAACAGATGGCGACAGAATTCGAGAGATCTTCTTCGTAAACCAACCCATTTACACTCTTCAAACACTCCTTCATAGAGAAGTTAACTCTGTCTGTCTGTCCCTATGCCTTAGACTTTCCCATAGCGCCACTCCTTTTCTTGCGGTAGGGAAATCATCAAATGACCTCTCGTCCTGGGTGGACAGGGGCTAAAACATAAAAACCATTTGACTGCCCGGTTGGCGTGGTGGCTGGGCAACTGGCTGCCGTGCTACGTGTCGCGTGAACAACACTGTGGGATCCACAAATTGTTGTTACGGGTCAGGGTGTGATATGTATGTGAAATTGTATGTTTGTAACCGCAGCCACGACACAGGAGAAAATCCTAGTGTGAGGCAACGTTTTTTAATGATTAAAGCTAATGTGACCAAAAAACACCCCGTTTCTTATATTCCCTCCGGTTGAACATCAGGCCTTTTTTGTGAGAGGAAACTCATCAAATGAATACTCCCGCTCAGAATCGGGCGGGACAGAGTGTCAGACTCTGACTAAAAATCCCCCGTTCCTTCTCCTGCTCTAGGCCGAGGCCACGGTTACTAATTGCGCTTACCCCGCAACGACATCAGCCCTGTAATCCCCATCCGTGAAGGTCTAATGAATGGCTCTTCCAGGTGTGCACGGAATGCGATGTGCTACACGGTTTGGGTCTGTTTGCTTTTGATCGAGCGGGAAACTATCCTTGCTCACAGCCCGGGGAAATCGCTTATAGCGACAGGAGATCGTCGCGAATCTCCGACGCCCAGAGGGTCACCTAACTTATTACTTATTTACTATCTTAATAGTTCAAATCGATAATATAGACTGTTTTTTCATGTATTTATTTCGATAAATGTGTAAATATTATAAAAATAAATGTATTAAAAAAATACAAAAAGTCAATATCAAAAATATAACACTCTCGACGTTCGCTGTCATAGTACCTACCATTGTCATACTGCTGATCCATTACTGGTAATAAGATTTACGTAGTGTACAATATATATAGATACCACTTTTCTGGACCCGTCTTTTCACTGTTTCGGATCGGATTCGAATCGGGCGTAGAGTGGTCGACGAGCTGACTAATGACGTAATGCATGAATTGAAGTGGATATGGTTATAAGAATGTTTGGCAACAATTTGGTCCGACTCTATTGGATAATAATTATTCAGATATAGTCGGTAGCTGCTCGAATTGCAATAACAAATTTATATCTGCTAACGGATATTTCTCTTTTGGTTTGTAGGATGATTAATACTCAATGAGTTTCATTTGACATATGGCAGAGTTATTTTAAATTATGTTGTGACCACCATATTTGAAACTATGCGGTACAATTAGTTTTCATAATGAATTGGGGTAGCATTATTGTCGCATACACCTTTCTAAAAATTTTAACGTGAAATCGCGAATTTTGTAGGCAGGCATATGCAAAGATGATTGTTCCTGTTTTAAAGTATTTAAAGAGAATAATGATGGGAGTTTTCAAGCCCGTTCTTTCCGTTCCGAATCTGCATTTTGAAACGTATCTGATGGACAATTCAACTTTCAACGTTTCAAAAGTGCCTTTTTTATTTAAAACAAATTCTTCAACTGGTTTGACACCTATTAGTGTACACACTTTACTTATTAAGAAATATGTTTGTAAATATATTTATAATAAGTAAAAAAAGGGATTTCTTGCAATAGTGTGTATTGTTGCAATAGTCAGTCGTGCACACACAGACGTGATATCTAGCATATAAGGAGATACTCCTGCTGAAGGGTGTCAAGGAAGCTTGCGGGCTTGTCACACAACCGTCAGTCATGTTATGCATACTTTTCTCAAGAGCTGTGAATCTTTGAGACGCGTAACTCTTCCCCGGCAGTGGCAGCATCGTTCGGCAACCCCTTTCGTCATAAACTTCGCCGACGTCAAGAAATCGCATGAAACAACCACCTAGAAATGTGAACGTAGGGTTAAGACAACTTCAACATTTTCCTTATCAAGTCTTTATTTGGTCATTTGTATTAAAACATCCAATCCGAAACATTCGAACTGGACTTTGATAAAGTTGAGGTGACATGATAACTAAGTAACTAAATGAAGTTTTATATAATTTAGCTTAGGGTAATTAACGTCTATGAACTTATTCGACTCTTACATGTACTATCACAGTGCACAGTAGTGCATATTACTTGTATGAGCTACATTAATTCATAAGGTAACAACAATAACCTTTGTAAAGTTTCCGTGGAGATACATCATATGAAGGCGCTCGTTTAATTCTGTTACTCCTTCTACGCCACACCGGCCCTGTACACACAACTTTGAGTTGTGACTTCAAATATTGATACCGGCGTTTAGTAGTATCAAAAATTTGGTGACACGTTGGTTCGTGCGGTATACCAGTAAGGTTTAACCCGCATTGGTAGCATTTCCTGTTTTTACCCTTCGGCAGGTTTTCGTTTCTAGGCTCCAGTTCTTCCGATTGTGTACCCGATTGTGTATTTTGTTCGATCTTTTCTTCATTCTTTAATTCTGTAGGTTCAGGTTGGGTAGTGGTTGCTAAAGTCGTTGTCTCTCTGATGGTAGTTTGTAATAGCTTGGTAGTCTCTACACTACTATTACGTAGGTAAGCGTAAGTTCTTGTATTCGCACCTTTGGTAACCGAGGATAATTGTATATCATCGTAATCTTCTGCCATTTCCTCAACCTCATTATCTGGCATACTTTTTTCTTTGTCTTTCATAGTACTTTTATCGCTTCCAATGACATAATTTTGGTCATCGTCATTATCGGCGTCCTTGATTTCAGTCTCATTTTCATCTATTGGCAGTAATCGTAATTGTGGGAAGTAAGTTGAAAATGTTTTTTTTCTTGTAACTTTCGATGTCAATCTTGGCGTGCTGGTTGTAATCAAAATGACTTTTGGCCATTCTTCTGCCGCATCATCAAAATGGTGCCAAAAATGTCTTTTTGTGGTTGTCGAAGTTTCTTGGCGTGGGGTTTCCTTGTAATTCTGAGGTTTGTTTATCGGAGGCCGCGTCCTTAAAAGTGTTCGGCTGTCTTGTGTAGTCGGCCCACTTGTATGGGTTGGTGCCCATAGGGTTTTGTGGCCTGGAATTGTTGATTGTGTTAATATTAGGTTTATAACGTATGACCATTTCTTTTAACGATACGAGCGTACGGTACTGATCATGTGCTAATTGAATCTGCTGCATAAAGGCCTTCCCCTTAAGTTGGTCATACTACCACACTCGTTAGGGGCATCGCAGCTGCCTATTTCTCGGTATCTGTTTGCAGTTTTAGGACGTACCCTAAATCTGACGTCTATTGAAATATACCAAAAGTTTATATTTTTCTTTAAGAATGTATCTATATTGTACTCTACCTCTATGGAAATATGTATATCTTCTTATTCTTCAATTATAAAGTAGAAAATTTTATGTTGTTCACCACTAATTTATCTGCCTTGCATACTTCTTCAATTTCAATTACGACTGATATCTCTATGACTGGACAGTAGGAGTACAGTAGTGGACCGAAACAACGGAATAATAATAATTACTTACTCTTTGTATTGTGGATGGGCATACTTTGCAGCTACAGCTTACAATTATATTTATCTACTTCTAAAGGAAGGGAGACAATTATTTCATTACCTCGATATGGTTCGTATCTGTAAATATTTTTAGGTAGCACATAGTCGGGGGTCGCTTCTGGTAAATGTTCCACAGGACTTTTGACTCGCGAAAGAAGAGACCATTCGATGTTAATGAAAATAAAGAAAAAGAAAATATTCACGCAACAATAACGATATAAAATATTTGTAAACATTATAAATATAAAAAAATGTAAAAGTATAAAAGTAAATATAAAAAATAAAAAAACTTATCGATCAAACATGATTGCCGTTTGGTCTTGAATAATCTATGGACAAAGAAGTAGCTAACTGTAGAGTATTTATTCTGAATTTTGTAAGTTTGTTAAAAAGTTATTATGTTTAAGAAAAGGGAGAAGATGAGCAATTGGAACAAATGGTAGTTAGTTGCCTACTACCACATCATCCACGTGTGCCGTAGGCACTTAGAAAACCAGAGCGACTCCTCTAAGCCAAGAATGTAGTCAATCTTTTGTTCTTCAATTACTAATTTTCGCATAGTCGTATAGTCATTTTATAAAATATCAAGAGATTTGGTCAATTACTTTATAAAAGTCTGCATAAAGATGCAAATGTACCCACTTTACTCCTAGGAACTGATTCAAAGGCTTCTTTAACTTCTATTTTTCTACTAGGTAAAAACTTTTTGACAAAATGTGACGTGTATAATATAAATCTATGGGAAAGCATCAAAGACGATCAAAGACTAACATTATTATGTAACTATGAGATATTGTCACCAGTTGTCATAGTCACTTTGACAACACAATGATATTATAATGAAGACATTTTGATATAATTTATAGCCTAATTTTTATAATGACCAATGTTTTTGATGCTTGTTTTTAATGCCGTAAATTTGATAATAATTTTGACATACTGTATACCTCAGCGGTCTGTTTTAATGGCTCGTGTCAAGAATCCTTACGTATATGTAGCAACCACTGATGTTATTATACTACCTGAAGATTACGAAATAGAATTCGCTAAACCAATCGCTACTATAGAAAGTGGCGCAGACAATCATTTTTATTACTACTCAGTACAAAGCACATTTCCCAGTAAAAGTACTCGTGCAAGATTCGATAGTGATGTAAGACAAACCAAGATGTTAATATCTAGTAAGAAGGAAAAAAATACTAATCGTGTAACAAAATCAAGAAAGAGCAGTATTCGAGGTACCAGTAAAAAGAGCATACGATACTCCTACAAAGTTGAAACGGACACGCAACAAATATATGACAAAATCGCATTTGAGCAATGGCCGGCGTTACATTTTTCAAATTATGATGAAATCACAAGCAGTACAGAAACTTTGACATCACCAAACATAGTAACCAGTTTCAGGTCTACGAAGACATGGAGAAGTCATTTTCCAACGAGGAGATCAGATACTAATGACTATAGTGATATACTCTTGTCTTTCCAGACAACCACGCAAGGTGGACGTAGGATTGAATATACAAATTATGCAAAGTATTCTAATACAGTACCAAAAAATAATGAATATGATAACATATTAATATATCGGCCAACAATCTCTTCGAAAATGAATGATAACATTCACGACGACAAAAGAAAAAAAATAAAATATTTAGAAAATTACAGAAATATTATGCATATACCGACTGTAACTGAAGCTCTAGATAGGTCATACTATTCAGAACTAGAATTATTTGAAAGTAAATATTCCTCATATAAAACTACACGTCATAAAAAACCGTATTCGATAGACAGTGTTGACGATGAAGTAATCCGGAAATCAGAGAGTAAGAAACCTTCCCGCTTAAAAATAGACAATTATAGAAGTAAAGTTGAAGAAAACTATCGAGAACCATCTGAAGAACTTTTTTATGACAAAAGAACTTATCCCAAGAAACAAACTAACAAAAAACTGTATTTAACAAAATCCAATGAATATGCTGAAGATTGGCAAGACTATGAAACCACTGCTCATCCTACTGAAAAGTATGTATTCAACGGACTTTATTTTGCAGATTCAGAAACAGGAAAGTTTGAAGAACCTGCTACAGAGTTAGCACAAAATCGAAAAACTTTACCTTCTGAAAAAAAACCTTATAAAGATAAGAAGTCTAGCAAAAGTTATTCTGTAGAACGTGAAAAAAATACACAAACTTTTAACGAGCTTTTCAGTTACCGAAAAACTATATCAACAGAAAATCATTTTAGGAAAAGTGGGTTTGAAGAAAGAAATAAGTTTGTCTCACCTAAATCAGACATTCCAAATTATAGAAAAACAAAGCCACCGATATACTTAAAATCAAATAAATCTAGAGAATTCTATGCTACAGATAGAGGGCACAGTGAAAATAATATACAAATAGAATTAGTTCCGTTTCAAGAAGATTCAAATTTAGAGAAGTTTTATAATACAAGCGATGATCGTTCAACTAAAACTCCGTACAAAATGACAAATTATAAGACTCCTTATTTCATAGAACTGGACGAGTTAAGAAGAGTTTATTCTACAAATAAACCGCATCAGGGAATAGTTTATTCTACAAACAGACTACACCAGAGCGGAGTTTATTCTACAAACACACCACACCAGAGCGAAGTTTATTCTACTCAGAGACAACACCAGATTCAAGTTTATTCTACTCAGAGACGACACCAGGGCGAAGCTTATTCTACTCAGAGACCACACCAAAGCGAAGTTTATTCTACTTATCGACCACACCAGGGCGAAGCTTATTCTACTCAGAGACCACATCAAAGCGAAGTTTATTCTACTTATCGACCACACCAGGGCGAAGCTTATTCTACTCAGAGACCACATCAAAGCGAAGTTTATTCTACTTATCGACCTCACCAGGGCGAAGTTTATTCTACTCAGAGACCACATCAAAGCGAAGTTTATTCTACTTATCGACCTCACCAGGGCGAAGTTTATTCTACTTATCGACCACACCAGGGCGAAGTTTATTCTAATGATAAACCACACTATGAAGGAGCTTACTCTACTAATAGGCCGCAACATGTAGCAGTGTATCCTTCCCATAGGCCATATCATGGAGAATCGTATTCGAATGTTAGATTACACTTTGAAGGTGGTGATTATTCCTCCGATAAGCCACACCCTGAAGAGGTTTCTTCAACCGATCGACCACACTATGAAGGAGCTTATTCCACTAATAGACCGCATCACGAAAAAGGTTATTCCACTGATAAGCCATTCAATGAACCATTTACCGAATACCAAAAACCTTATCCCATGCATATGAAAGATTATGACGAAAACCCTTCTGATATATTCCAAAGTTTTAAACCTGTTTCATCAGCTGATGTTCCTTTTCATATAAATTTGTTGGATCCCACTCCTACTATTTCAGCGGGTAATGAATCAACTTTTGATTCAATGTTTTTAATGTCAGTTATTGGAAATAAAACAAACAAATGTTATACATGCGGAATGAATGAAGTTGATTACAGCTCTGAAGAATGTTACAGGGTTTTTGAGCACCCGGAAAGAACACTCAGATATAAAATGCATTCTTTCAAGCAGAAATGTTCAGGTCAAACGTTTATCGGTGGCTGTTTCAAAAGGTTTCTAGATATTGGTCATTATTATATCGAAAGAGGATGTAGGCATTTTCCACCAGCGCACGGACTTAGTTTTGCTTCTAGTAGGTATGTAAGTATTGAACGCATGCTGCGTGGTAAATCAGAAGGATGCACGGTCAGTCCAGCTGCTACCCTTGTACCTTTCAGCAGACCCGCGTTGCTTTATGCTAGGTTTCATGTTTGTGTTTGTACTAAGAACTATTGTAATAATTCATCAATGGTATCAGGGAACCTTATGTTTTATTTTATTTGCATTTATTTCTATTTAAGTAATAAATGTTTTTATATAAGTATTATTTAAAGACAATTATCTGCTTTTGAAATCAATCAATCAGATATGTTTTCTAATTAATTTTAATAACACCATTATTTAAAATAAAAGCCTAAACATATATGTAAGTGTAGTGAGAGAAAATAAAGTTGAGAGTCATTGAGAGTGTCAGACTTAATGACCAAACATAACCGCGTGCAGAAAGCGACGCGCGCAGATCAGGTTCTGGTCGGACAGCAAGCTACCCTTGTCCACCGTACGCAGATCCGTGCTCGCTATCATCACGAACCTTAAATAACTGGTATGAACGGCGAATTCCTCAAGTGGTAGGAAAGAAAATAGATGCCATCGTACGTTACTGCAAATGAAACAAAATATAAAACTACAAAGTCGAAGGTTTATTCGAATGATTTCTACGTACTACAGCGAATATTGATATTTATGACCATCTTGCTTTTTGTCGTGTGACAGTTTGTTCTCACTTATGCTCTCAACACTACTCTGCCGACGGAGTGACTTAAGGTCAGAGGGCTTTTTCGGCTTGCTGTCATCGTTCACTTTCTGATCGCCTTTTTCATTATTGTCTTTGTGCGATAAAACCTCTTCATCACTTTCTGTTGTACTTATGGTTATTACTGGGATTACAGAACCTATTGAATCCGACTGTTTCGATTGGGTACTTGATTGTGATGTTTGTTTTTCATGAATTTTTTTACCATTGGTCTTTTCTTTGGGCACTTCTTTTACAATTTTGGGTTTTGTTGCTTCTTTTGCGTCTTGGATTTGCTTTTCGATCACAGCTTTTTTTTCTGTTCGGTCGTCAATTTTTTCCAGTTTTACTTTCAAACCTTTATTAAATATTTCATTAATTTTCTGTTTTTTGGGACCATCTGTTTTGAATTCAACGCTGTTTTTTACTTTCTTATCCGGTTTATGTATAAAAATATCTTTGATTTTTAAAACTTCTCTCGGTAGAGTTTCATGAAAGTCAGTGTCAGTTTCATCATCTACATTGTTCGGTGAGGGTGAAGGAAAATCGACCTCTGAAACGGCTTCTACATCACTTTTTTTATCAAGCGCCATGCCGACAATTTTAGCAAAAATGCCACCTGGAATCAATAATATTTGTTAAATTGTTAGTTCGTTGAATTGAAATTTAAAGAAAAATAAGACTTTATTTTTTAATAGTAACTGTCGTGAGTATTTAAATGAATGATGAGTAAAAAAAAATAAACCATATATCGTCCATATACAGTCGTGATGTCCTAGACTTCATACGCAATAAAAAGTCTACGTTTTGCAAAAACATTGCTACAGACACACACTTTAAAACTGTTACATTTTGACCCACCTACTGAATATTAATTAAGCTAATTGCCAGTTTTATAATAATATATATCTGACCCTGTGCTATTTAAAAATTGAAAATCCTAACGATTATTTAACTTGGCTGGTTTTTTTGAGGAAGAAACGTCATAGCTTTGGCGAGAGAGAGTGTTAGACTCTTGCCAACGTAAGGTCATGGCACACTATCCCAGCCCTGTGCAGGGTTTCTTCAACCCAGCAAGTAATTTGATATTCAAAATTGAGCATTAAGTTGAATCTCAATATGAAAAAACTAACGGTTGATGATTTCGCACGATGCATAGATATAAGGTGCTGTGCTGTTCTGTTGCGGTGCCGGTAGTATGTTATGACCTCAAAAATCACCCATTGCTTCCTCGGACCTACTTGGCTTTGCTCAGCTTCTTGGAGAAAGAACGCGGTGACTTTAGTCAGTAAGAGTCCCAACAGACAGACTGGCTCAGGAACTGTGCTTACGATATCTATCCAGCTTTGCTTAGAGAAAGAAAAGTGTGAGATTCACGATGTCAAGAAACTGTACAAACCTTTTTTCTTAGCAACTTTAATTGGTTCATTCATCTCTTCGGTCAAAGTTTTCCGATCATCGGAATCAATTGATTTGCTCATTGGTAAGGATGGCAATGCTTTCTTCCATCTAGCAAAAGGCGTATTGTCGATAGATGACGATCCACCTCTTCTCCTAGTGTCGGCTAGTTGGAACATCTTTCTACGTTCTTCAGTTCTTTCACGACGTAATTGTATCTGAAACGTATAAAGCTGTGAGTGGTGACCAAGTAGTTGCCTCAAATCTCAACACTCTAGTGTATTTTTTGGTTATTTTAAGTTGTACGAACTGGTATTAATAATTAACTATTCAGTAATAAAGTTTGGCTAAGAAACTATTAAGATACTCACTTTCAAATCATTGTTTGCTTCCCTTAAAGAGTTGGTCAGTGACGTTAAATAATATATTATCAATATTAGCAACACCAACAAAGGTATCACTATAGCGGGTGAGGCTATATACTCCAGTGCAAAACTCAAACTTTTCGGAAGTATTTTATAAATGTTGATTGTTAATATATAATAGATCTTGTCATATTCAGAAAAGGGTCCACAGTGCCATGATGGTTTTACCCAAACAATTGTGTATCCTACTGGTAATACACAAAGAAATAACATTGTTAATAATAGAGCTAGATAGAAGTTATTGCTTTTCGATACTCTGAAGACGACTTCGTGAGGTACATTGCACGTCATAACTGCCCAAGACCGCAGGTACATCATGATCATTAACTTGACAACATTCAACACAACGAGACCTGGCGAGAAGAACATCCCCATCCATACCATTCCCTGATTATTGATAAGGTGTAAAATATTCTCCGCAATTTTGAAGTCTCCATATTCTGGAAACTTCTTTTCAAGGTCCCAACACCAACAACGGTTCATGTAACGCACAAACAGTGCACGAAAAAAGTCTAGGAATAGTGTGCCAAGGAGAACGAAGACCTGGAAGAAAATTTAGCAATTATTTGATTTTGAAAATACCTAAAATTTGATACTTGAAGAAAGAAAAAATGTCTTACCAAATCCATCATAGTTAGTTTCACAAGTTCCTGCCCAAACATGGTTTCCCAGCAAAGTTTTAACAACTTTTTCTTTGTAGGTACTGATAAATTGTACATTTTCCTTTGATTGTCGTCGTAATACATCACATCGATAGCTGTGACGTTAGTACCATTCTTCACATCAGCCGCTGCATTAACATTTGATGGGCAGAGTTTAACATAACAAACTCTTTTTACTATGGTGCAGTTGGACATAAAGAATACTTGTTTCATATTTTTCCCATTACAGTTAATTGTACAATTGAATGTAAAGTCAGGACAAAAAGCGATCGTTGTGGGTGTTTTTGGCTTCACAGTTGTGGTCCTCGGTTCTGTAGTTACTTTGGTAGGGATGCTATAGTTTTTTACATTATTATTAACTTCCGTAGTCTTCTGATGTTGCGGTGAATATGAAGTAGAAGTTTCTATAACGTCGTTGTCTATAGAATATTTTAATGTACTTTGAGTAACATCTAAACTGGTTGTAGTATCTATAGAATACGTAGTAGAATCTACTATGTCATTTGTAGTGGAATCAAAATTTTTTTCTGTAGTGAAGTCAAACATATCTGTTGCTGTTTCGAGGAAGCTTAAAGTTGAATAGAATTCTGTATCAGCGAATGTAGTTTCAGTATCTGTAGTCGTATCTGTATTAATATTATCAATTACAGTAGAAGGTATTTCTGAACTCTTTGTACCAGTTGAAGTGTCAGTACTATAATTATCTACTGTGGTTGTGTAATCTAATGTATTAAAGTCCGTCACTGTACTCGAATAGATAAAATTTGTATAATCTTGTATTTCCGTGTCAGTTTCTGCTCCTGTAGTGCTTTCAGTATCATAAAATGTATATTCGTAATCATCTGGGTCCGATGTAGTTTCATTTACCTTTATTACATCTATTGGTTGTTGAATTCGTATATTTCTTAATCGTTCCAGTTCTTTAATCCCCAGAGAAATACTATCCAATGTGGTACTGTCAGTGTTTTCCAGATAATTTTCGGTGCTACTGCTTGTGGATTCAAATAATTCTTCGTCGCGTGGACGTCTTAAAAGTATTTTGGGGGCAATTTTCTTTGGAAATGATGCAGAACCTGTTTTTAGTATGATCCCATCTGATAATTTGATTGGTAATGTTATTTGTATATCACAAGGTCCACATGAGACTTTCTGTTCGATGCAAAAGTCTGGTAAAGTTGTAGTATAAGATTCACTAAGATTTAGAGTTTCATTTGGAATTATTGTAGCATTCAAACTCAATGTTGGTTTTAATAAATCTAGATCTTTGCTCATACCCTCAATCTTGCTGAATAAGGCGAATATGAGAGAATATAAATTTAGGAGATTTAATAGCATGATCCTGTAAGGGAGAGAAAATGTTTGATTAACCGAAATATAACAAGATTTTAATATTATCACAAGGAAATTGAAATATGTACCTTGCTAATTGCAGCCTCAATTGTTTTCTCGGGTGATAATGTTCTAAAAATCCTAGTAACTCAAAGAATACAGGAAAAGTTATAGAGATGACTGTTACAACAATAGTCGTTTCGTTCTCGCGCCACCAACTTCTTACTTTTAGGTTGTCATCAGAGCGAGACACGACTGTAACCACGGCATATGCCGACACTGCTAGCAGTATAACAACACATATGTTGACCAGAGCACGAAGTGATATTATGCGCCAGCTAAAAGAAGCAAAATTATTTTGGGGTTAGTACGGATGTGGACATTCACAATTCCCGTATTATTTTCACGTTCTGATGAAGTGTGGTACGAGAGTACCACCTCGGTACAGTAGCCAGTCGGTCCAAAACAACACTTGCGTTGTATTTCGTCGTGTGTGTGTGGTTACCGGAGCCCGAAACGTTACCTCTCCCCCTATTCTCAATTCCATCAAACCATAAATGCCACCCTCTTTTTGTGAGGTGAAAATCATCAAATGACTTCTACCGCCCAGGGCCAGGGCTGCTCTGGGCCGAGGCTTCGGTGCTCATTGGGGTTGCCCCGCAACCCCGGCTGAACATCAGCCCTACAGGGCCCAATTTGTGATAGTCTATTGGCTCTTTGAAGCGTGCGCTGAATGAACGCTACGCTCGGGTCTGGTTCTGGTCCGGCGGCGAGTTACCTTTACTCGCCGTCCGCAGACCCGCGCTTACGGTGGCCGGAGATCGTCTCTCCATCCTCGACACCTACTGCGGTGGCTGGGGCGTCAGGAGGAGGCTAGCTCCCTCACGCGGTCCGCCTCCTTCTTTGCTAGCATAACGCTTTACAGAAAGTAGAGACGGCTTCTCAGTTCGCGGTGAGGTAGCCGCCGCCGATTACTTCCCTGTGGACACGGCGGTGCTCAGCCCAAGCAGGGCACACCGCCACCTTACACTTATTACCAAATCACTACCCCTAGAGGCCGATAACGCACCTGCTCTGGTATCATTTATGTTATGGGTGGCAGTTTTTTTACCATCAGGTAATCCTCCTGCTGCATAAAAAAACAACATCACCCTTATTTTATTGATAATTACCAACTTTTTACTTCACATATCAAGATGATTTTCACACTTATGTGAATAAATATCTCTATTACCACTTAATAGGGTATGAAATTTAACCAGATATTTAAGGTTGTAAAAAATTCAAACAATGGGCTTACTTCCTTAAATCCTTTTTCTTTTCGGCTTCTTCAAGCAGTGCTTCTTTGAAACCCAATATTACTGAAGCTATACGATTATGTGCTGTTTCTGTATTACCGATCATGAAATCCCAACCGGTGAACAATTTCCACGAGAATATGCATTCGTCTTCTTTTTCAGACAGCTTTGACATTCGGGAATTCTCAGCCATCCTGCCAAGACATATTTTTAGGTTAAGCCTTTATCTACCTGTTTTCTTTTAGCTTCTTACGAGTAGAGGCCTAATGAAAAGTCGTCTCAAATAAAAGTCTCATATCGCGTTTATTAAATACCATCTCCTTGACATCGAGTTCTTTATTGATATAATGGGACCAATGACCTAATACTGGCTTTAATGGAAATATTTTTACGACAATCCTCAGAAACGGAGAATTCGATAATAATATTAATAATCATTTTTGCTTTTACTAAATATTTCATTTTTAGGCGTCTTGTAATCTCAGATTAGCGTAACATGCGAGAAACATGTTACGTATGCTCGTATGCTCCACCATAAACCACAATCGAAAATAAACTTACTTCCTGAGTATGGCGACGAAGCTATAAATGTACACTGCGAGTCCTGTCAAGAAGTATGCAAGTGGCATGCGATACTGAGCTCTCTCTACATTGCTGTAGTACCCATAAAAGATCGGTGAGCATTTCAGAACTCCCTCGAATTCCCATAAAGTCAAAAGATTCGACGCATTTCGTTTCTCCTCGTCCATTATAATTTTTCTTTCACCATCTTGTTGTGGATTAGCTGTTAAATACTGAAGTTACACACAATTTGCATTATTATATTTTGTAAGTGTATAATTAGAATAGTAGCAATCTAATAATTAATACAAAGTAACATACATACCTCAGGCACTATAACAAAGACTAGCAATATGAATCCAATAACCAGGTTCACCCAGAACAGCCAACGCAGAAACGTGAAGTAGGAAGCGACCACGGAACCGAAGTGAGACTCAATCTCCTTGATCCTCAGCTCCCATGGGATCAGCAAGTTTGAAGTGTTGGCCGCCTCGCGTTTTATTTGCTGCCAGTACTACAAGAAGAAACATGATTTAAGCGAAAAAAATGTTTCGAGTGAGTATGACAGTCTTGTTGGTTCGATTGATCGCAAGTTGCGCTCTCTTGGGTACGTTTCCTATGTAAGGGATAGTATTCTCGACATTTTCGTTTATGATTACTATTACCAATAGCATGATGTAATATGTTACAAACAAGGAGTATGGTAGTTTAGCCGGTCTATGGCTACAGACATACCTATTATTATCCTACTTTTTTAACCCAGGACTTAGGTAATAAATAAAAAAAAACCCAGTATGTGTGTTTCATCAATCCGTTTAAGATTTAGGAGCCTTATTAAAAACTCACAGAATTTAATAGAATGTTGAATCTAGCGTAGATGTCTCGGGTGCTTTTAGACTGTGCCAGTCTCTCTTGCAGTTGTCCTTCATGACGCTTGATATACGCTTTGGCCTGAAAATGTTAATATTAATCAAACCGCCTTAACCAAGTTAAGTACAATAATTAGTCAACAATACAAAAGAATACGTGTAACGATATATTTAATTGGCTCGTTCAATTTGTACAATGTCTTTATTGTTACCTGATGAACAATCTTGAGTTTCCTCCTCATCCCAAGGGGTTGTTGCTTCACGGAGCCCAGCACTTCTTTGTGCAGATGAATGTTCTCGAATATTTGCTCCTGAGTCACCACTGCTAGCTGACCGTCGTCCATTGATATTGCTGTGCTGGATTTAAGGATAAGATGTCAAAGATGTTGCACATATTAAAGGTATATCTACCCTATGTTATTACTCGGAATGTCGAGAATCGTACAGCTTTAATTATATCGATAGAGAACGCGAATGTTTTTGCCTGTTGTATGAGAAGCTACGTGTATTTACGGCTTACAAATACAAATTCTCAACTCCTGTTTCCGAATCAAGTTGAGCAGGTATGGTCGTAATCAAATTTTGTATCCCTTTTCGATATTAATTTGACTCATATCCATTGCGTAACTGCGCCAAAAATAATAAAGTGACATTTTGAATTATATTTTATGTAATACTTCCCAAAACAAACCTTTAAAATATACTTACTCCCCAGAACTTGTAGTAAATACAGAAGACCTTCTTCTAGGTCTGTTCTCATCTGCAAGGAATGGCGAAGACGGACGCCTGGCTCTGCCCTTACGAGATCTCCTTACGCTTGCCCTTCGTTGGCGGAGTACTGCGCTTAGACTTGCTGAGTAGTCTTCGTCTTCGGAGCCATCTGGAACAGATTCCTCTCGTCAAGTTTTGTGGTCTCCCGAAGACCACATCACTGGCTTCTTACGTAAAAGGACTACAATCTTTTTAAGTTTTTAATCCAAGATCTGTGATTAGTATAATTTTTTCCCTTTAATTGTCTAAATATTACAGTTACACTGTTCACATAGTGGAACCAACCAAATAATACTTCTATTCATATTTATCTTTATCTTTATCTTTAATGTAACCAACAATCTGATTGTGGACTTAAAAATAATAATGTACTTTCTTGCTCTTTCTTTTTCATCACTTTGGAACGAGCAAATATCGTTACTAGGAACGCTAGTATTTACTTTTATCCTTAAATATTTAAGTTATAATTGAAATAAAAGATTTTACTTTGGCCTTGATCGCCTCCGAAAATTATTTAAAATAAAAATTAAAGTAAAACCTGGACATATAATTTGTAATACGTTTCAAATCGCCAACTCTTCTTGAGAATGAGTTTATTTATTTAATAGTTTATGTAAGCTTTATTTATTTATTTACACCCAGTTAGTTAGACAAGAAGAATAATATAATAATAAGGTACAAAGGTACAGATTATTTCTTCAGAAATATTTGTATGTGTGTATGTGTGTTGAGGAAGCTAGTAGGTATATTTTAAGACAAAACTGTACACGTAGTTGGTCTGTCTTATTCAACATTTGAATATAAGCTTAGTAACAAACTAGTAAACACAAATAGAAAAATAAATAAAAAATAAACAAAAATTTAAAAGAAGATAAGCATCAATTGAAAATAATCGAATATGAACTTCATTACTCACGTATTTAGAGTAGCGATTGAATTAGCACATTAACAAGTACATAGATACTATATAGCAAGAATCTTTATAACGTATCTTCGAACATAAAAGATATTTATTTCAGTAACGATAGGATAACAAAATAATGACAGCTTTCCAAATTATGACGTTTTGATTGATACGTTCAATTTCGATTAGGTTTGAAAATTTGGTTTTATAAAATAATTAAGTACCTACTCTTATATGACTGTTTTAAAAATAATTCTCTTTCTAAAGTATTTCGTACAGATTTATTTAAAGTACAGTGTAAGTACATGTATTAAATATGTGGGAAAGCCACACTACTGACCAGAGTGATACCACGGCCTCACAGAAATACGACGTGAAAGAACCACAGCGTTGTGTTTCGCCGGGTAAGTGAGGTTACCGGAGGCCCAATCGCTCCTCTCTTCCCATCTCTTCCCAATCCTCAAATATCCAAAACCCTTATTCCCAAAAAGCCAGCACCGCACTCGTAACTGCTGTGGACTTGCGGGTTTCCATGGGCGGCACTGATTGCTTACCATCAGGTAATCCATGTGCTTGTTTGCCGAATAAAAAAAAACAGAATTTATTTTTGCCTTTTTTTGTTTCTCTCTTCTTCAAAAGTCAACATTCGATGGATTTACCTACATGGATTACTATCCTTATTTACTGCAATCCGCACTTATAAATTCATCTCCGGAGGAATAACTTGTAACACATAATGATTGACTGATCGAACTTCGCTCACGGATCAACAGGTAAGACAAAATTGATGAATCCGTTAACTTTTAAGGAAAAAGGCACGTCACACTAAGTCTGGAATTCCAAAAACCGGTTTTATTCCAAATTTTGTTCCTTATACCCGACTAGGGAGAATAGGGACTGATCAAAATCTTAAAAATTTAACCAGAACAGCATCAAGCTTGTTTTGCAAAAATGAGCTTATGTTATGTAAAAATACTTTTTAGCTTTTTTTGTTTTTTTGTGACTAGTAGCTGACACGGTAGGTTAAACTAATAAACGTTTGCCAATCAATTTATGGCCAATCCTTCCCATTGTCCGAAGGAGGTCAAACGGGGATAATTGAAACAATGAATACATTCTTGCAAATGGCAGTGAACATCATGTGGCTGCTTTGAAGTAAAAAGCAAAGAAGTGTAACGTATGCAACTCACTTAGGTAACTACGTATATTACAACAAATTAATAGGTACTTAAATAATTTCATGAAATCACAAACATGTTAAAACAATACCTGTCGCAGAGCTATAAACGCTAGTGAACTTCTTAAAAAAAATATACTTATTTCGCATGTAGCGTAGAGCTTAAATAAATAAACACAGTACCTAAAGAATTAAACACCTTTGGCAATTATACCTCTTTTAATTGTTAAAATACCATCGCATTATACTATAAATATTTTAAAAGAAAAATCTAAACTTTCAATTAACCATAATATAATCTTACCTCCAGTATTTGGCGAAAACTTGACTTCATTGCTGACAGGTGTCTCGGAAGGTAGGTGGAACAGGTTGACGCCTGATGATGACATACTTCCAGGGTCAGCCCACGTCACCGACAACCGATCCACCGACGGCTGCGGAGACGACGGTGGGTGGTCACAGGAGGCCTACGAATACAATCAACTTTACCAAAAAAATAATGTTTTTTTAATAAAAATATGTAATTTATTTAATTCACTTCTTAATGTAGTTTATGATGTTCAAACTAGTAATCAATTATTGAACTCGTATTGACTTAACAATGACCATGTTTACTAAGTATTCTTAGTTAATAATTAACTTGTTTTCAAACTAATTGCGTTTTACAAGTACTAACTTAAGTTTGTGTTAATCCGACAACGGTTTTATGAAAGGGATAGTGATACTTTTATTTTGAGAATCGTTATTTATGTATTTTATTTTTAACAATAATGTTTTATTTAAAATATATTGTTCATTTTATTACCATTGTAATAATTCAAATTATTTTATTGTTGTTCGCGATGTAGGAACACCCCTTTATAACTCAGGGTTTTTATAACACACTGTATAATGTCATAATGAGAACAAGACAATTAAGTAGCCAATTATATTTTAATACCATTTCCTGGTAAACTTAATAGTTGTGGGTGTGTGCAAGTAAATTACATAAAATAAACTAATTCACGTTATTCTAATTAAACTTTTCATTACTTAGCAAAACGACCACAATCATTATCACTTAAATTCATGTCAGATTTTAATTACACTTAGTTTTAATTTAGCTCCTTCTACTCTAAGTAATCCGTTTTAGATTGCTGCTAAAATATTAAAAACACTTTTTGTCGCGAATGTACCTTTACGAGGTTCTTGATAAATCGAAGAAAAAAACATATTTTGGACGTTATGTTACAAGTTTAAACTTAGCACTGGTTTTATTATAAATATTAGGATTTATTTTTTATTATAAAAAAACAAAATATCTTTTATCCCATAAAAATTATTCACGAATAAAATGTTTAATTAAATTTACCGTGCACAAAATTCGAAGACTGAGTGATAGAACAGACGGAGTCAGATGTATTATTTAGACCAATAGGAGAAAGGTACTGCGGCGGATTATCGGGAAACGACTGACGCAAAGGTGGCCGCACACCGGCGACACTAAATACCACTATTTATGGTAAATGGACCTTCAGACACTGTGTCTCTATGTGTGCGTGTTTGACTCGAATGTAAAATAAAATATGGTACATGACAAAATAATTGACATAAAATTTTCTTATGAAATCTCTTTTTAAAAAAGTATTCCAATTTTCATTAAATACATTTTACGATATATTTATTACTTCGTATGTTTTTTCAATTTTTCGAGAAAAATAAATGTTTTTAGATGTGAAACGAGCATGACGTCACAATGCATAATCCCGTACCTACACAATTAATAGATCGTAGTACATTTTTCAAATTTGAAATACGAATTGTTTTGAATAGTTATAAAGAAACCAAATGTTTCAAACTTTCTATGCATAGCATATGGGGTCTTCCTGAAGCAAGGGACACACGAAACAAAGGACCATATCAAAAGAAAGTTATTTATACTTTAAAAACTTTGTTTACTGGTTGGTCGAGTCATGGTGTGTAAATAATCGTAGAAAGTACATATAAAAAGTCACTTGCCACTTACCAGGCTTTGGACCTGCACCACGGCGTTGATCTATACCAATATTACAAAGATTTAGAGTTTTTTGTTGTCTGTTTGAATGTGCTAATCTTTGGAAGTACTGCTTCGAATTGAACGTCCTTGTGTTGGTTAGTCTATTTATCAACAAAGGCTATAAAACATCACCTCCACCAACCACCACCAACCTCCACAAACCATCACCTACTGCTGGTGAATCCGGGCTAGAGTAGCTCGTTGTGAATACATGGATCTTTGTACCAGCTTATTCGGACTCATTGGAGAGGACCTTTTTAGTACCACTACAATGATTTTCAATATACATATAATATTTCGTATCAGTGTGCGTTGAGCTCTCCAATACTGAATTAATAAGGACTGTGCCTTGTTATTGTAAGGCGTGGCAATGCTGCTAAGTACAGACGTCGACAAAATTAATAGAATGCGTTTTATATTAAATAAGTAGAAGTATTTCTTCGTCATTCGTTTTCGTAAACCTTTACTGTAAATATTTTCTTAAAAATGCTGGTAAAAATGAAAATTAAGAATTGAAATTTCTGTCGTAGATGGCTTAAAAGTTTTAGATGTGTAGCATGTTTAAGAGGTTTTTAAAATCCAGTTTAAACGAAGTTTTGAGTACTTAAACATAAAAAAAAAACATTTATCCATTGTATAGCCTGATGGCGTGCAAGCAACAACTACAAATGTACATAATAATAACTAAATAAAAAACAAAAGAGTAATTTAATTAAAATGTCATGTCAGTTATTATCTTTAACACTTCTGTTGGCGTCTGTCCTCGATGATAAAGTTGTGTCCATCACGCACTAACAGCGTCCATAGTTAAGTGAACCAGAAATGCGAATAAAGAATTTATACTCAGACGAAATATTTTGTTATGAATATATAGAGTTATCTTAGATCCAAATCTCGGGTTTTGCTTAATTCTATTGAGGGTTTTTTTATTTAATAGGTCGGCAAACGAGCAGACGAATTACCTAATTACCTGATGGTAAGCAATCAGCGCCGCCCATGGACACTTATCCTTTTAATTTAGGGAAATTTAGGGATTGAGGAAGGATTGGGCCTCCGGGTACCTCACTCACACAGTGAAACACAACGCTGTGGTTGTTTCACGCAGGTTTTCTGTGAGGCCGTGGTATCACTCCGGTCGAGCTGACCCATTCGTCACTTTAAACCGTCTTCGAATGTCTAAATGTGACAAACCCCATTGTATTAGCTTCTACATAATTTATTCATTACTTGATATTATATTATAAATATCATCATTTTAAAAATACGACTGTAATTGTGGGATTGAAGATGTTACAATTTTACAGTTTTAGTACCTACGGGTAACTAAAGGTAAACAATCTTGTTAAGTATATCTTTTTATATTAATTAAAGGGAACGTATAAAAAAGTATAAAGATTATAATTTAATTCAGTTTATTAGCTAACATCGATTTGTTCAGGTAAATTCCTGATTGTAAACATTTCTTCATTAAATATTTAGACAACTTTTAGATGAAAAGACATGCGTAGATTGCTACCATTAAGTTAATTACTTAAATCGATAGACCATAAGTATTTTGAATCTATTATTATAAAAAAACACAATCTTCGTTTGTAAAAAATGTTTTGTTTTGTCGAAAATGGAATGCAAAGCTAGAACTACGCCCATCGGCCACAAATGGCCCGTGACGTGACATAACGCAGTCCATCTTGTAGTGCCAATGAGTGCCAGTGCCACACTGATTAACTATTCAGGGCTGGTACTTTAGTTTTTTTAATAAATGTAATTTTGTTTTTTTTTTTTTTTTTGTAAGGGTTTGAAATGACTAGCTTGACGAAATACTAGATTTTTTATAGTAATATTCTTAAAGCCGGTTAAGGAGGGTTTTTTTTTGTTTTAGGGCAGATTTTCCAATGGTTTAAAAGTTACCTAAGGAATAATTATCAATGTCAGAATGTTTGTATAAGACAGTGACATCAACAATTTTATTGCTCAGATAACATTTATATGACTATTGAAAAATCAACCCTTAATGCAATATTTTACATTTGCCTTTTCTTCGAAAGTCTTAGAAACACTGCGTAGCATTAAAGTTTAAAGATTTGTTTGGAATATCAACACTAAGATACTTCCATAACAATTAAACGATGATGGCTAGAGCTTTTATATCTATATCGCACAGAGATAAAACTTTCGTTTCATTTCATTTCATTTCGTTTCATAATTAGAATCAATTCTTGATACATTACGCGTTAAGCAACTATATAGGTCTAACTACATACAATACGCCATTTGTATTAAACTGTTCAAGTACATTTAATCTTTATTTTCGTCTTTAATAGCCGGTGACAATTAATTGCACTGCATGAGACAATTATTTTCTTCACGTTTATTCAATAAGACGTGATTTTTTTTTCAAAAAAGAACACACAATCTTATACTAAAAAATTGTGATAGCCCTGTCTGTTCATTCCATTATCTTGTGGCCGCCCTACCGTTTATATCACTCCGAATAATAATTAAGAAGTGATTTTTCACCAAAGATAGCCGTGATCGATATTGTTCTAATTTGTAGAAGCTTTTTTGATAATTTAATACCTTTTACGATTTATACAATCGTATATAGTTGCGTGTCGCGCCACCTTTTTAATAATTGCGCATAAATTATTAAATTAGCTCTTATTTCCTCGGTTGAGGAGTCTAAAATGCTACTATGGTGCAAGGATTAGTTAGGACCTGTTTCATCTTCACATAGCGAACTTAAGTAGTGTATTGTTAGTTCTTATGTACCACACTAGCTTCCGCCCGCAACTTCGCCCGCGTGGTATTGTTGATAAAAAGTAGCCTAGGTCCTATTTTGGAATGCATCCTATGCCTGTGCCAATTTGTATGGATCCGTCCAGCTGTTAAGGCGTGATCAAGTAAGGACTGGAGAAGAACCGGTGTCATTCTTAGTTATTAAGAGTCTGACACTTCTTCTTGTTTACCCACCCAGGGTGAAAAGAGTCTTTAGATTAGTTTTTCCCTTGAAATAAAGCATAAACAAGTAAAGTGCTGTAAATTGCTGTTTGGTGACAAAGTTTAGCGAAATATATGTATAAAAATCAAATTTTTCCATTAAAATATTGAGTTTACACGTTGAACGCCATGGGGACAACATGTGGGCCACTCTAGCGGAGGGTTTGCCCTCAACAGTAATCTGTCGGCAGTCAATGACTTAAGGTACCCTCATGACACCGCCAGTATGGAGTTTTAACTTACCTAAATTATTTTAAATCTATACTTATAAAGAGTAAAGTAAAATTTTTAAGTTTGTATGTTTGTAAGTTTGTATGTAGGGGGTAATCTTTGGAACAGCTGGTCGGATTGCCAAAATGCTTTCACTAATTTACACTGCTATAAAACATCACGCTACGATCAAATGGAGCCAAGCAGCGGGTGAAACCGCGCGAGTTGTAAATATTTCGTTATAAATTAAGAAGTCATTGTTTATTAATCAATTCAGTGGAGGCTAGGGTCTAGGTTCTAGGTTAATTAAAGGTATGTTTTTAATATATTCAAAAAGTATTGCTTAAGTATAAAACTTCTTTTAAAATCAGAACTTGATCGAAACGTCGAACACCACATTAACCGACAGCGGCGAGTATTACATTTCGTTAATTGGCTCTGTTTAGAGGTCGGGGTGTGCCCTGATTGTCTGTAATTACTCTTTGTATACCTTTCGCAGTAATGGCGACAGGTGCTAAATGTAGTTAGAATTTTGGTTGTTATTTGATTATGTACCTTATATGAACGTGGAAAGGTTACATGTTTTGCTTCCGTTTAATAAATCTAAAATATAATGCTTTGACTTGTAAAAATGAAAATCATGGTATTTTAGACTTTAACTTTAGCACAGTACAGATTGAAATTGTTCTAAAGACATTCTGATATCGAAGAATTACAAAAAAAAATCAATACAAAACTATAAGCAATGTAACAGAATAGCTGAACCTAAATATTACAGTTTTCTTTTATTATCATCCAATGCTTGACTTTTACTGCACACAAAAAGCGGCTGGCTGTAGATAGGCAACCGGCTGCCATGCAACGTGTAGCAAGTTCAATTCCGCAAGGACCACTTTTTGGTAAGCACAAGTTGTAGTTATGGGGTTAGGGTAAGTGGGTATGATGTGTTTGCGATTTTGTTCTGTTGAAAACACACCCGTGACAGGAAAAAAAGGTTCCGGTCATCATTTTTATTTTACTAAAAACAGAATCAATATACATTCATGCAGTTTGTTTAAAAAAAATCAGAAGTGCATATTTCATGACTCCCAAAAGAGTTTATCCAACCAAGTCGTTGTAAGACTAGAATTATACTCACCGTTAAAACAACTACAAATACGGATACTGGGCTCAAACTCAAGATGTTTACGAAGTATTCTAGAGTTCTATTAGCCACTTTCATTTCCCACGATCGAACCAGCTCAATGATTACGCGATATAAAGACGGAGTCATAGCTTAGATCCTGACTGCAATCAGTACTTACACGGTGCGTGGCATTCAGGGTGCTCTCCTCAAATAGCCAAATGGTATAAGCATATGGTATAGGCATAGGTTTATATTACGGCAAACGAGCACACGGATTACCTGATGGTAAGCAATCAGTGCCAGCAATTAGGCGGTAACCTCACTCACACGGCGCAACACAACGCTGTGGTTGTTTCACGCCGGTTTTCAGTGAGGCCTTGGTATTACTCCCGTCGAGCCGATTCATTCGCGCCGAGGCTTGGCTCTCCCACAATGAGAGAGCCAACAGACCAAAACAAACGTAAAAATGTACCGTGGGATCCGCCTGGAGCATGAGCAGGAGTAAGGGTGAGGTGTCAGTAAGACTCTGACACACACTCAGGTTGAAAGAAGTCGTGACTATCCCCTCTCAAAAAGAAGTACCGTACTTAGGTACGATAGGTACCAGCTTTTTTAAACTGGCTTATATCGTTATTTTACTACGATATTTACGACGATAGCAGATGCAAATAATAGGAATAGTGTATCTATACTTGTATTATAAAGAGGTAAAATTTGTAAGCTTGTAAGTTTGTATGTAGGGGGAATGTTTGGAACCGCTGGTCGTATTTTCAAACTTCTTTCATTAATAGATAGCTACAATGTTCCTGAGTGCTATAGGCTACAAAACATCACGCCACGAGTAAATGGAGCCAAACAGCGGGAGCACGCGAGAATGGCTAGTATTTTATAATTTAATGTTTTTTGCTACATTGAATTATCGTGTGATTCCTAAACCAAAAAACATTTTTTATACGATTGAATATACGATTTGATTAGTTTTTCATTCTCTGACTGCCGGACTAATCACATTTTTGTTTTTCATATCCTGACATCATATCTATTACGTACATACCTGAGGAGTGAGCTCCGATTTTGGGATTTCGATGACGACCCTCGGCCGGGGATCCAGTTTTAAGATGCCACGTTCTTTACTCTGCGCAAGAAAGAAATATATTTATACGCCAGTTACATACAATTATTTATCTAAAATAAAGTAAGTCGATAAAACAGGTTCCAAAACCGCTACAACCAAATCAACAAAATCAAAGATCTTATCTTCTATGGTTGCCAGTCTAGCGCAATAGTATATTGCGGCCTTGGCCTGGAGCAGAAGAAGGAGTGGATTTTAGTCAGTAAGAGTCACACACTCTTTCCCGCCCTACCTTTTTTTTGTCAGGGGAAAATCATCAAATGACTTCTCCCACCGGGTTAGGCGAGAGAGAGTGTCAGACTCTTACTGACTAAAACCCCGTTCCTTCTCCTGCTCTAGGCCGAGGCCGTGGTGACTTATTGCGCTTATCCCGCAACCCCGGCTGAACATCAGCCCTATAGGGCCCCGCCTGTTGGTCCATTGGCTCTTTGAGCCCCCCCCCCCTCCCCTCTACCTAAGGGAGAAAAGTGATTTTCACCAATCAAATAAATCTAAACTTTAAACTTCAATTTCAAAGTCTTATTATGAAATATTAATGTATTTTATTTAAAGCACAACACATTTCACAACATGCACAAATAATGTCAATGCCACCCTTGTACATAAGATAATTAGCAATGTACTATGTACTTGGTTAATCCAAATACGTTAATAACGTTTTGAATGAAAGAAAGAAAGAAAGAAAAATAATTTACTTAAATACTTTCTAGCCAACCTTAACATCTCGACAGCGGCTTACATTCAAGTAGTTAACACATAGAACTACTATAGAGATCAGTTCTTTTTTAAAAAGGCAGATGACCTTCCTAAATAATAATTGCAATTAAAAATTATAGAATTATCGATAGAGTTATTAAAGTATGTTATGAAACAGGTATCGTATCTTTCCCAGTTTTTTAATTAGCGAATCATATTTATTACTGGCGAAATTGTACACATTTTTTTATTTCTACAAACCTGTGAAATGAACCTTTTTCAAACAAGTAAATACCTAGAAAATACGCTAAGCAACAACACACCAACGAATTAGCATCTGGATAGTGTATAACAAATGACTACGTAAAAAAATAATATGAACCATTTAAAATTTTACTGCTGCTCCAAAAAAAAAATAGGCCTAAATCATACACAAGTCAATTAGGAAAAAAATGGCAAAATTCCATGAAGCCATAATGGCAAACTACAAATGAAAGCAGAATAATATATTACAAAAAAAAAGAAAGAAAATTTCATCTATGACTTATAAAGGAATCCCTTTTTACAAAGTAAAGTGTTAAAAGTACCTTCGCGTCCATTCTGGTCTGCTTTGCAGGAGGCAGCGACAGTTACTGCTGTAAAGGCTCCTGTTGTGGGTTGAACAGTCTGCCTGACGAAAGGGGTATACGTCGTTTTTACGAAATTATTTATTTTCATGTGTGTAGCAATGATAGTATATATTTTAATTAGTTGATCACCATAAAAAGGGCAGAATTAAATGTTTCGTATAAATAAATAGTACCTTTTATGTGTCATATTGTGTACAAAGGGTGGAATTCTATTTACTATACTTATTTAGGCATATATTATGGTGTTGTTCTTTTTAAAGACGTCGCCTAAGGGTCGAATTGGATTTGCTATCATCGAATGAATTTTTAATCATCGATCATTCGAATCTACAAATTGGAATGAGCACCTAGCTTCACTGACGAACAGACTGACAGACTAATTTTCTATTTTGACGTTTCCAAAGTACCTTTATTAAGGATTAGTTGGAATAAATGATTTTGACTTTGACTTTTCAAATAGAACAATAACACTATTTACCTTACAGATTACAAAGATATGTCTAATTTGTCATCTTTTGTCAGAACACATTCGTTGATTCATGTTTATCATTCAAATGAACTCACACAACTCAAAAATTACTGTTGTTACATAAATTTATGTCGGTTTTATGAGTGTCAATTCATTTTTAAATTTGTGAATGATTGTCGGGTTTGAGTATAATGTGTGTAAACAAAGTTGTATCAACATTTGCAGAAAAAAACAATGAAAGAAATAAGATATGATGGTGATCCTTCTTTGCGTCTGTACTTCTGTGTGGCTAAGAAAAACACTATGTGTTTCAAAGTGCCCACTGTTGAGCAAAGGTCTCTTCTCATACGGAGAAGTTCAGAGTATTAATCACCTCACCGCTTGCTCAATGGGGGTTGGTGATTTCAAACTTATAATTTATTAGAAATTATAAGTCCAGGTTTCCTCACGATGTTTACCTTCACCGTATGTCAGTGGTGTCTAAATTATAATAGTTAGTCTTATTCGTTCAATAATATTGAATCGTTGTTTTATTTTTCGCATATCTACTTAACAGTCTATGTGGTTAAGTAAGTATTTTGTTTTCAACGCAGTAATTTTACGTATAGGTAGCCTTTAAATTGTCCAGCTATCTGACGCCAACGGTCGTTGATTATGTTGATGTAATACAATAAAAATAAATGAGTACCTACTTTTTCGAAATCACAAAAACTAGTGTTACGCCACTTTCATAGCAGTCTTTCAGTAATTAATGGAAAACTCGCAAAGGTGGGCTGTTAAAAGGGGTGAGACAAACGGGTTGTTTTACATCACTCATCCACTGCTATAAAATAAAACGTCACTTGAATACAGACGTTAACTCCCCACGGTCACTTATTACTGATAACTATTTTAATTAACTAAGCAGTTCTTGTTTAGATTTATATCACGTGTCACTGAACTTTTTTGCTTGGTTTCATTGTGGATTAAAGTCAAAGCGAGGGCGGATACGAAACCTGGTAGGTACCGATATGTCATTTTCCAAGTTATAATTATTTCCATTCTTAGATTATTTAGACACCACTGAGATAAAGTGAAAGGAAACATCGTGAGGGAACCTGGACTTATATTTTCTAATTGTAAGTTTAAAACCGCCAATCCGCCTTGAGCATTGTGATTAACGTTCTAACCTTCTTTGAGTGAGAATTAGAGATTAGAAATTATTTAAGTAAATTATATGAACTTACTTTCATATTTTATAGTTATGTATGTGTTAAACACAGATTTTTATGTCATAACATAGTTTTAATATTTATGTAATAAAATTTTCTTTTTTGTCATGCTTAGTATATGTATAGCTAGGTTAGCTAGCTTCACTGACGAACAGACTGACAGACTACTGTTCTATTTTGACGTTTCAAAAGTATTTATTTGTGGTTTATTTGGAATAAATTATTTTGATTTGATTTAATTTCATGTATATTTTTGTTTTATGACCTGTCGTGGTAACTATGCTTATGATCCTCTATATGTAAATAATAGTCGAAGTAAACTATGCTATGGATGGGCGACTATAGGCTGTCATAACACTTGTCGACGCTTGTCACTGTGCTCGTAAAACATGACATGTCTTTTGACACGTGTTTTTCAACTTTGGATTGTTGTGACGGCTTTGTTTTTGGAGAAAAAGGTCATTGAAATCGAGACTATAGATATACTTTTTTTAAGGAGAGAAAATCATCCTGTGGCTTCTCTTGCGTTGGGTATGGCAAGAGGGAGTGTCAGACTCTTGCTGATTAAAAACCCTCGTTCCTTCTCCTGCTCCAGGCCGCGGCGGACATTACCTTATTGCGCTCGGCAACCATGGCTGAGACTAAAGATTTAGGGTGCTACAGTTGCTTTTGCTTGTATTTGTAAAGTTGTGTTGCTTTTTGGTTCTATAATAGTTATAGCTCTGTGATAGTTACCAGTTTTATATGAAATACAAGCTTAGGTTAAGCGCAATGAGTCACCGCGGCCTCGGCCCAGAGCAGGAGAAGAAACGGGTGGGTTTTTATTCAGTAAGAGTCTGACACTCTCTCTCGCCTAACCTTGAGCGGGAGAAGCCATTGGATGATTTCCCCTGACAAAAAAGGGCAAAACTTCAGTCGCGCTTTGTACCTACTCTTATATGCTGGTAAAAGTCATAATATTGGTAGGAAAGCAAATGATAACATTTGCTAGATAGTTATGACTTTATATTATATTATTTGGGACTTATGTCCCAATTAATTGACTACATAACTATCTGAGCAATATTATGCAAATATAATAATATGTATTTAAAATATATAACACCGTAAGTGCCATATTATTATAGTTAGCGATAACCCGAATGCCAACTGAGAATTTTCAGTAAAACAAATTAATAAAAATGATTACCAAATTTTCAAATCTATTGTACATATTTGAATTAAAATACAATAAATTACCCATATAAGAGAGTTGTTTAAGTATTAATTAGTAATAGCTGGTACCTACTACTGAACAGTAGTTTACCTGTCGTGTTTAAAAATAGCGCCACCTATTCGCAAACTACGGTAAAAAATTAACGCTGTTTTTCACGAGGGTTGAATTTGATTCGAATGTAATAGGGGTGGCAAAGTTCTTAGGTTCGTTGAAAAATCAATGAGATGGCGCTGTAATCCATTTACTTAGCTTTTTTTTGAGGGGTAAATAATCAAATGTCTTCTCTCGCCCAGGCTGAGGTGAGAGGGAGCATCACAATCTTACTGACTAAAGAACCCCCATTCCTTTTCCCGCTTCAGGCCGAGGCTCTAGTACCTCACTGCCATTGCTTGCCCCGCAACCCCGGCTGAACATCGGCCCTGTTGGGCCCTGTCTGTGTGTTCTATTGGCTGTTTAAAGCGCGTGCTTAACGCTACGCGCCGCACGCTCGTGTCAGGTTCAGGTCGAGCGGGGAGCTACCCTTGCTCGCCGTCCGCAGACCAGCGTTTATGGTGGCAGGAGATTGTCGCTCGAACCTTCACGCCTGGGACGTGAAGAGGATAGCACCGTCGTGCGGTCTGCCTCCCTCTTCACGAGCGTCACAGTTTCGCAGATAGAGGCACTATCTATGGCCTGCAATCACAGGCCTGGAGACACCTATACCTATTCAAAAAGTAAGGAAAGGTTTCAATGAAACGTTAACACACAAAGTCTTGTTACTTAAAAAAATCTCAATATGTGTAAAGTCCGCCGCCTTATCTCTATACACTGACTTTTGTACTCTGTACGTGAAGTGTGCCTTAAAGAAACTTCTCTACTTTTTTACTATGGGGGAACCATACTTCGGCATAAATGGGCAGTCTTTATTTGAGTGATACGACAGCTGCCACAGAAAACACAGTGACACAACGATGGTGTTGTGTTTCGTCATATAAGCAAAGACTAGGAGGCCCAGTCCTTTCCCATCCCTTGTCAGGCCCTGAATTATCCAATCCTCAAATCATTAAAGACTCATAAAAGTGCTCTAACAGCAGTTGTAACTTTTCCCGTGCTGCAAGTGCCCATAGGCGGCGCTGATCACTTACCATTATGTGAAGAGCCGGCTCATTTGGCGCCTTGTCGTATGTTTATACCAAAACTAGCTACTCTCGCGCGGTTTCACCCGCTGCTCGGCTCCACCTACGCTTACATCGTAGCGTGGTGCTTTATAGCCTATAGCACTAAGGAACATCGTAGCTAGTATCAGTGATAGAATTTTGGTTATCCGACCAGCGGTTCCAAAGATTACCCCCTACATACAAACTTAAAAATTTTACCTCTTTATAGTATTAGTATAGATAATATATAAATAGGAATCAAGTTCTGAGTTCCAACTAGCTGTGCAGTGCTAGTAAACGCATACAAAAAATCTATCATGGCGTCACTCTCTCAAACAAAGGCTGAACTTAAATAATGTCAGAGAGAGTTCTTTGACCTTTTATCAGTGTTACAGACACGATTTAAGAGCTTCCGTTAAATCTAAAATTAGGCAGATTTATCTTCGTTGGTGTGACGTCACACGCTCGACATGGCTGGGTTTTTAAAACATTTTTTTTTAAATATGTAATATCTTTGTTTTACTTTTAGATTTTATTTACATTGCTGCGTAATTACTTAAGCTTCATGCTTGCTTGAGGCATAAGCCATTTTAAGTTCTTGATTAGAAATTATAATTCCTGGATTTGTCTTAATGTTTTGCAGTACCGTATGTAAGTGTGTTATTATATTAGTCACGTTTTGAACCTTCATGCATGGTATCTAACAAACATACATAAACCTTTCTACAATGGTGTCAGTTACACTTTGTAAGGCATAGCCATTCATTAAATAAAAGTCAGACTGGTAGATTATGCCTACGGCATTAAGTTCGCCTATGTACAAAAGTGAGCATAAAGCTTAATAAATAAATAATTAAAATCACTCAATCACCAGCATCAGAACAGAAGAGACTTATTCATACTGATGACTGAAAACAGAAATGATGTCATGTGAATAAAAAAAACTAAAGATTTTAAAGTAAAGTACACCGAAATATATTTAATAATAACAACACGTGAACAATTGGTCTAATGTAAGAACAAAATCGCATATGGTCGACATCTGTCAGTGACGTTACTGTTGTACATAGATTACAATAGAGACATTAAAATGCACACTTTAACGACCTTCAGACAATATTCTGGTCTTTCTGAATATTCGATTCGTTAATAAAAACAAAAACATTTTTTTTAATTAATAGGGCTAAAGGAGTTACTACAAGTACTTGTAGTACATTTGTGAGTACACAACAAACTTTGTGAGTTTGTGACCTATGTCTATGATTAAGTGTGGGAGAGCCATGCTTCGGTAGGAATGGGCCGGCTCGACATCCTTCCCCTCCCCCGATCCCTCCCCAATCCCTGAATCTCGAAAACTCTAATCCCTAAAAGGAAACGCCTTCATAACTCCTCCGCTGCGGGTGTCCATGGGCGTGATTGCTTACCTATTACATAAAAAAAAAAAATTAGGCCTTGTAAACTGATAACGTAAGCATAATTTTGTAATCCGTACCTACTTTATTACTATTTTCTCTAAAATAATTAATTACATAGTAATAGATACATTTTTTTTATCACATTCATATTAACAGATATACAACCGTGTTACTTTTACGTCACCGAAATTATCAAATAGTTCTGTAGTACATGAACCTAAAGGTCACTGGAGGTCACTTATCAGTTTAGAAAAAGATAATATGCACAAAAAAATTATGCCGTACCGAATAACATTGTTATTTTAAACGGCTTGAATAGAAGTAGATGTAGGCACAGCGATTAGCTACCGACCAATCCAAACTTTTCTTTAGAAACTATATTCGAATTTCAAAATTAGTTCTAAAGAGTTTTTGTTTAAATACAATAAAAATGTAACAGCAATCTATATTTACTTAGCTAACAACAACGTTCAAATAGATCATCCTTCAGCCGGGGTAGCGGGGGTTGTCACATCGTTTATGAAACAATGAAACAGAATGCTTTTGAAAATGGCTTATTTAACAAGTCGGTGGCGACATCCAAAGTTAATATTATAAATGCGAAAGTAACTCTGTCTGTCTGTCTTTTCTTCTGAACCTATTTGTGTGAAATTTGGTACAGACATAGTTTGCAACTCGAGAAAGGACATAGGACAGTTTTTAAATAAAAAATCTGCAGGAAGTCACTATTCCACGCGAACAAAGTCGCGGGCAAAAGCTAGTATCTATATGATGCTAGATATTGAAGTATAATTGAATTGTTCTTGTATTCCGTATCTAAGTCAGTCACAATATGAACTGTTTATAAGAGAACTTTACGCCTCCTTTAGTAGCCAGAATCTTAGCGAGTTAGATATGATATGTATTTTGAAAGTTTCATAATTATTAATATGAAGTCCCTTATTATGTAATTGGCTGTATAATATGGTTGCTTGAGCTTCTTGTTCATTAGTTTAAACTAGTTGATACTTGGTGTTGTTTTTTTTGCCTTCATCTAGTTTTTTACATATAATTTTGACGTGTAAAAGTGCTGTTTTATTACCTATTTACAAAAATAAATTAATAGTTTCATTGTTTCATTGTCTTTCATTTAATTTTCAGTAAAAATTTAATGTTCAGTACATATGCTGTAAGTGATTTTATAAATATTTTCTTATCAAAATTACATCTAAAAGTCTGAAATGTTATGCCCAGTCAGTGTTTCTTACAAACGGGGAGAATATTTTTTTCAGCGATAAAATGCTAAAAAAGTTCGTAGATGCGTTAAAACCTAAAATTCGCTGTTAGTCAATGAGACAATCTAACTGATTGATAATATGAAATTACAGACTAAAACAATCAGCCTCTATCATAATTAATTTGAATTCAACATTTTTTTTGCTTACGCTAAACATTTGGTTCCGATCAAGCCGTAAGCCTTTGTGTGAAAGAGATAGAGCTCTATGTTAGAAGAGTGCGGTGATATGAATGACCTAATGCACTGGTACTCTTAAAGCGGCGAAGACTATTCATGTGTTTAAAACGAAATAGACAGACTAGGGAAACGGCATAGATTATGTAATTATTATCGGACATGACAGTCTGAGCATAGCTTAATATTCGACGTTTACAATCAATCACAATACAAACTATTCGATTTAAATAGATTTTTGGTAGAATTTCTTGTTACCTAGTTTTGGCTTCCGAGCAAAGAGTTGCGGATTTCCGAAATTCTTATAGTGTGTCCCGGGTCAGTGTGTCAATTGTACCTATATGAAATTATGTTTGTCTCACCTACGACATAGGAGAAAATTGTAGTCCAGCGAAACGTTTTTTTTTTAAACTGGTGTGAGTCAAGGACACATGAATGGAATGTTTTAGTGCACATAGGTATAAATGGTGGATATCTCACCCACACGTATGAACTTACGAAGCGGTTCGCCTCCAGTTTTATAATCAGAACCGCTAAGAGTGGAATTCTTTGCTGGTTTGCCGAAGGGTACCTGAATGTCTTCAAGGCTCGAATAAGCGAAAATGTTGCTTGTAGGTAGGCAGGATCCATCTTAGGTCACAAAAACCGCTTACCACCAGGTGTGATAGCGGCCAAACGCCTGCATATTACGAAATAAAAAATGTCATACTTAAGATTTCTCATTATATATGTTTAATGACATCATATATGTATAATGACAAATCTTATATATGACATTACTATGTATGTTATATCTGTAGTAGATATAAATAGAAACACTTGAAGTATACATAAGCTGTGAGCCTACCTTATAATAAATAAAAAAATAGTATTTACTAGTCTGGATAGTATGAATCATAAACAACTACAATTAGAAGGTAGCTTAGGTATTAAGTGTGGGAGAGCCATGCTTCGGCACGAATGGGTCGGCTCGACCGGAGTGATACCACGGCCTCACAGAAAACCGGCACAGAAAAACAGCGTTGTGTTTCGCCATGTGAGTGAGGTTACCGGAGGCCCAATCCTTCCCCTCTCCCAATCCCTCCTCAATCCCTAAATCTCCAAATCCCTAATCCCTAAAAGGTCGGCAACGCACTCGTAACTCCTCCGTTGCGAGTGTCCATGGGCGGCGCTGATTGCTTACCATCAGGTAATCCGTCTGCCGACCTATTATATATATATAAAAAAAAGCTAAGGAACATCCTTCCAAACAGAAGACAATGTTTATGGAATTACTTTTTACGATCAATGATAATCAGGAGGTAACTGAAGGGAAATGATTGACATAACATTCGGTAATAAATGCAATGCGTCATCGGTAGTTATTTATAGTTTTAATAACATAATATAATACACGAACACGGTAGTTAAACCTTTATTTACGTAACAGTTTCACGTTAGCCCTTTTCTATTTCGATATCTACCTATACTAATATTATAAATAGCTAAAATTTGTAAGTTTGTATGTAGGGGGTACTCTTTGGAACCGCTGGTCGGATTGCCAAAATTCTTTCACTGATAGATAGCTTCAATGTTCCTGAGTGCTATAGGCTATAAAACATCACGCTACGATTAAATGGAGCCGAGCAGCGGGTGAAACCGCGCGAGAATAGCTAGTTAGGATATATTAGTGGTATAGTATCTGTCTACTAGACATAATATAAAATCTCATAGACTAATTTCTTTTGTCGTTGCTTTCACAAATAAGCAGAGTGTTTGAAACTCACATAACTCGTACATTTTACATGGAAAAAATTAAAACAGAAACAATACGTTTATTCACAAAACATTGTTTTTAAGGGTCATTGGAGATGGAGATGACAAAGGCTTGCAAGGATAACTATGCAGTAAAGTTAAAATCGGGAACATCGGGACCTTTGCACGGTTTGCTGATTCCTTCCCCAACTGACCGCACATGTTGGCATTCTAACAAAAAACAAAAGGCGAACCTTTTCAGGTTTGCTCACAAAAAAAAATATCGACGGTATGAGGCCACGCTCTCTACGACTGCCCGGGACTCAAAGAATAGGGATTTTGTAGACAAGGTACAGTCTTACGATGGATGGAAAAATAATTGGTTATATTATTAGCTTTACTTTAAATTAGGGTTTACTAATAATAATTGACGAACTAAAAAAATTAGTACAAGAAGAGAGAATTCAACAAAACCATAGTTTCTTTTCCATTTTAAATAATTATAGAAATGTCTTTATTTCTCGCTCGACATCGAGAATGAATATTGTTTATAGTGACTTCTTACCACTGGAACACAAAATGCTGTGTTTCTTTAACGCCTTCAACGAGATAGTAAAGGACCACCTTTAATGGTGCTGTCGACCTCATAATAAAAGTTGATGATTACGCCTTTGTACTAATTGTTTCTAAATGCTCGTCATACTAAAGTTTCGAATTATGTACAACACCTACATCACAAAACAAATGAAACCTGCCTAGCAGATGGATTTACGGTGTTATTTTTTTCAACTAAAATACTACATGTCATTTGACTGGACGTATAATAATAAGTGCGCATACGGATAAACAGTATTATTATAACTTATAAATTTTAAACAAAGTTAATTCTGTAGCTAATACGCATAAACATTAATAAAAATATTATTTATAGGTAATCATTTAACTAACCTCATTAATTGGCACGCTTGTAGAAACATTGGGAGAAATAGAAAAAAAATTTAGAAAATAAATATATTATATAAATAATAAATTTTGAAAATTACAACGACAATAATTAACAAGAACGTCTTAAAAGAATTGCAAATGAACCCACACAAACAGCTTCCTCACAGAGGCAAACCGATCTGAAGCGTCGCGCCTACTTAATCTTTGGCCGAGTGTTGTGAAACCACCGCGCGTCACTCAGTGCTTGCTCGAAGCGCGCGAGCTCACGTCGCGTCGCGCTAAGATGGCGCCGGCCGCTTCACTATTTACCACATTTATATCCCTAATACTGTCCGCAACCGCACAGGATTACTACCACACGCCCCGAATTGGTTCGAAACAACTAGCTTCATGTTACAATAGTGAAGGAGTACCTCAAGTAAGTCGAACTTTTAGATAACACTTATTTTTTGTCTTATTTGTTCGGCTCCCGACCGTAACTGTATGTTTCGTTGTAGTGTTTGTGTTATTCTAAAGTTAAACTTTCAAAGGATTTCATTTTAGGTCTTACACTTCCCTATAATTGAGAGAAGATTGGTGGAGAAATATCTTGATCGAGACGATCGTGAGAACTTTTTGTTTACACGAGCTTTTGGTCTTCAGTATGAACTTAGTTGTAGTTGCTTGAGAGAAACTTTTGTTAGCGTGCTTACACGTTAAGTACTTTGAGCGAGTTATATTAGTAAAGAAGTTTACGCAATAGAAAACAGTACTTAAGATTGTTGTGTGAATGTTAAAAGTTTCTAACACGTTTCGTTGTGTGTACGGTGCAACCGCACATCGCAGCATTGCAAAAGCTCTATTCTAACGAAACATAAACATCGCTTTAGCATAAATTCTTCTTACACAAGAACTTATTTATTTTGAACCTAAGTTTGTACCTTTCGTCCCGACCACTCTCCATTCATGTCCCTATAAAAAGACCCCTTTTATTACGTACAACATTCTTACGGCTCAAGGGTGATAACACTCTTACTACACAGCGGCCTGTTATCAACATACTCTTGGATGCTGCGAGCCGTCCACTGATATGCCCTTAGTACCATAACGATACTCCAAAGCAAGATAACACAGTTATTGACATACATTTAAGAGCATCGTAAAAAGGGTAAAGGGAACATTGGTCTGCGAAAGCCATTGATTAAATTCTCAGAAGAGAGCAACCGGTTTCGTGGAGATCCAGACAATCTCTACGACAAAGCCGAAGTGTCCAACCCTTCAACAAAAACGGCGATAAAGCGCTTCAATATCATGAATGAATAAATTATAAATATAGATAAGCCATAAAATAACCCCTACAGTTGCTAGCTAGTATATTTTTGGAGATCGAAGGTTATCAAACAGAGTCGGCGGTACAGTATAGTAATGAGTTCGTTAGCTCTGTGCCTAATGTACCGTTATCTGTGCAAACGGAACAAGCTTATCGCATCCGTCATGCTTATATGAGTGTCTACATGTAAATTGTGTCATTATAAATAAAATTAATGCTACCCCTAGTGGGGTGTAAGTTGTTGGTGCTGCTTGGACATGAATGGCACGTATCCAGACTCTTGGAAATATGTTTATATTGAAAAAAAAACAATGATAATTATTGTAGGATGCCGTTTGTCTGAACTCTTGCCGTTCTGTCATTTTAACAATAGATTCCAAATAAACCGCAGAACCGCCGAAAATCAAGATTATTTTCAGTATACGTTTTGGTATATTCATTGTTTCTTTGTTGACAAAACTGTAAAGTAAAAATCCTTTAGATAAGTACCATCCAAAACTGGCAAACTGCTGAAAATCGTAAGCAAATTTATCACTTATACCTATATCCATAAGGGGTACTTTTGATACATACACATTACATCAATACACGTCCGTTAAGAGTTACTGAGTAACTGCCGATGAATTAGAAATTACATTAAATACAAAATTAAAATTCTACTATCTTGATTCATTGCGGAGTATTGGGAGACACAGAATATTTAAAATTCCCACCGAAATCACAATAATATTGCACAATGTATATAACTTATTGACTATATTTATGCAAGGTGAACCATTTTGTCTAGCGTGCATACTAGTCCCATGGAAACGTCTTGAGATATTGTTCTTAGTATTAAATTACACAAGCTTGTTATTCTGCGAAAGTGACAAGACTTGAATCTGTTTTATTACTGATGTGAATTATGATAGTAATAGTCTATAGTTCCATAACGAAAATTATGACGAACGGCCCGCCACAACTCCAAGAAGTTTGATAGACAGCTAGTCAAAAATCAAGCTTCAAGAATGTCGTGGTAGCCCGGAGGTTAGGTTAGGGTGATGTGTTAGATGAGGGTGTGGGTTCGAAACCTAGCAAGTACCAATGTGACGTTTTCCGAGTTATATGTACTTTCTATGATTATTTAGACACAAGTGACATACGGTGAAGGAAAACACCGTGAGGAAACCTGGACTTATAATTTCTAATTATAAGTTTGAAATCGCCAACCCACATTGAGCAAGCGTGGTGATTAATGTTCTAACCTTCTCCGTATGAGGCCTTTGCTCAGCAGTGGGCACTTATAGGCTGATGATGATGATGATGATGAAAAGATCAAGCTCTAGCCAAACACGAACTGATTTACACATTCAAGGACCTGTATGTAAAATTAAAAGCTTAATAAATTTAGAGAGCTAGAAATACAATAACTGCACCTAATGCATTCTGAAACACGGAACGAACTACGGAATGCAAAATAAATGTCCTTTGTTTTTGTCTGAAGACAATACGCCTTAGAAATTTATAGAAAGCTGTAGTTGTTTGTTCGAAAAAGGCTATTACTTATACTTGGAGCTTTGATATTTGCGATAAACGCCTGCATTATACGAATGACAAGCCATTTTGAAGGTAAATCGTTAGAAATTGTCATAATAAAAGATACCCTAAATAATACCCTTCTTGCACATAGTGCTGCAACTAGGATATCTTAAAATTAAGCAAGCTGAGATATTTTTTATTATAAAATTAGCTTCGATCCGCAAAAATTATCTATAATAAGAACCATCTCCTGATAATAACAAACTTTGATTTGACAAATTGCAATTTTTAAGGCAAAAACATACCATCATCGTCAGCCTGTTTACAACAGAAGAAGAACACATTACTAAAGAAAGACTCCTTAACTCGAGCTGGAGATTTTGAAAAGGATAGCACAAAATTTTGAAAGTTTTGGTGCTGAATATGTTCTTATTTAATTAAACATGTTCATTAAACATTAAACATGTTTTGATTTGGAATTGGAATACGTTGAAATAATAGAATTGGTAATGTGATCTAAAATATGGACAAAAGCTTTCTATAAACAAAGTTTTTAATGGAAACATATGAAACGATCGCACGGCTCGTTAGGTCGCGATATTGTATTGACAACAATAGAAAGTCATCGAAACAAAACGCGTATTATGCACCAGTCTTTGTCTAACATTACATCCAGAAAAGGAAAATACAAAATGAACTAGTCTCCTTTGAAATAGGTGTATTTTAAAATATGGTACAAAAGCTCAGAGTATCGTGCCATTCGATTTATGACAATTTAGAACATTAAGCGTCCGATTGCATTTTGATTGTATTTTATAAATCAAAACGGAATATTATTATCACGAGTATCTTAAAAAAAATCGCTTTTTTCAGCTTTACTACATGTGACAACGATATTTTATGGGAAAAATAAATACACCATTTGAAAATACCACGTGTTAACAAACTCCTTGTTGTAATTAAGTTAGTAAGTAACTTAGCCAAGGACTAAGTACTTATTTGTTTTCAATTATCAATTATATCAATCAAGCTCATGCTAATGTAATCTAATGCAACGCATTACGCACGCATATAAACAATATTAAAAATAACAACTGTCCTTGAAATTAAAGATCTTTAAAAATGTTGTTTTGGTCCATTTTTGTTTGTTTGTTTGATATTAAATCCAGTATTATGCATTAGTAAGAACGTAATAGATAAATGAAAAGAGACAGATGTGTAGTGAGTGTACCACAACACATGGTAGCAGCCGAAATAGTGCGTCTATATATAGCAACGGCTTAGGACATTCACCCGTACACCTTTCTTGCAATATGTCAGAATTTTGCGCTTACTATTACATCTATACGCGTAATTCTATCTAGAATACAAAGTTATATACACAGTTAACAGAATGTTACAATTCACCGCATGTTTTTGCTAGATAACGTTAGAAATCGTACTGTACACACAAGCCTTGACGCTTTTTGAAGAATAGAATTTTTTTATGGACCATTCCCGATGCTGGGGTTTTTTCTGGACTCACAAATTAGGTATAAAATAAAAACGCGTACATGTCCACACCTAGAACTCGATTATCTTAAGTAATAATTTCGAAAATAACAGTCATTATGTGTGAAAATCAAACAGTATCTGGAGCACTAGCTAAGCCCTAATTGTAGCGCTAACCAAAACCAAATCAAGCCACTCAAGGATTCTATTTGAAATTCTCTATTAAGAAGTTATTGTTCTTCTGTCGCTTAGACAAGAACACTCATTTCATCATCTGCCGAGCTGTGCCAAATGCTGAGCAAGCCTCTTTTCAAATGGAGACTGATTCGCCGTAAATCACCACGCTTGTTTAAGGCGGATTGGAGATTTAAATCATATACATATAAGTCCAGGACTACATCGTGTTACAATATTATGTCAGTCGTGTCTAAATAAACTTTGAAATTTCATAAATAGCTCTAAAAAGTCACATTGGAACTTGGTCGCAACCTCTGGGCTACCATAACATATCGCCTAACGATTCGACGATTGCAGTTTTTAGATATCTATTGCACAACATTCTGGAGTATGTCCCTATTGTATTTATTTAAACAACAACCACTAGATAATGTCTACTCAAGTTACATATCACTTAACACTTACTAATGTTGTTGTTTAATAAATAAGAAGTTCTTAGAAATCTTCCCAACTCTTATTCGCTGAAAGGAGAAGCTTAGATTTGCAGACGTCTGAATAAAAAGCTCCTTCAAACTGTCAAACATATTTATAATCAAGTTTGTTGCTTCAATATTTTCATTCGGTTACTTTCGAAGTATGTATTTTGATGGGAAAAGTATATAATTCTTAATGAATTTTGATTTCCAATTTTGTAGTACTGATAACAGGTGGATGATGTCAGTAGTTAATTTAAATCGCATGTGTTTGCTTTCAATTTTCATGATAGACGTAGGTAGGTTTGCTTACATTGTAGTTTGGAATATAAGAAGTATATATTCACAATGACCACTCTTGATAAGTGCTAAGTTTGAGGTAACGAATTAAAAATATATATCAAAACAGTTCTCCCACAAGTGTCGAATGATCTGATAGCCAAAAGAGCTTAAACATTAGCCAGAAACTTTTATGTTACGCTCTCTAGAATTTTCTGTATATAAAACTTGTAGAAAAGAATATCTCTTATGAGCAGTTGTTGCCCAAAAGATGTCCATGAAGAGTGCTTTAATAAAAAGGGCCTTCTAATTATCAGACGTTTATTCATTACTTTCTTTTCTAACCAACAGAGATGTATACCGGAGTTCGAGAATGCAGCCTTCATGGTTCAGATGGAAGCAACGAACACCTGTGGTGACAATGGCATGAAAGTCTACTGTATTCAGACTTCTTACGGAACCTCCACTAGGTATGTCATTATAGAAATGTAGATTAGAATTAATACACTACGTAATATAATGTGGGAACGCACGATACAAAACACTGCATCGAACGGTGACATATTATTTTTTGTCATTTCTTCGGGATAAATTACACTTGTGAATCTAGATGGACGGTATGGCATGTTTTAATATTTTGTTTATTATAATAGACGCAAAGATACAGACATAATGCAATGTGGCAAATATGGTCTCTTGGTTGTCTTAATGCAAATTGCTCGTCATTCTTCTCCAGAAGAATCTACACTTTCTTACGAACATATAGCTTCACGAACATTCACCAATGCATTACAACATTAAACATTTTTTGTTTAATGTTTGGTGGACATTCAAAAGTGCCTATAATGGTCTAATTGAAATAAATGATTTGACTATCTTTTTACTATGAAAATCGATTATTATATTATTTTGTCTTTATTGGGCTTATGTTACCTTTTCTTTCTTTAGGTCATGTGACAGCTGCCAGCCGGGACAGTTCTCAAGCTACTATCTGACTGATCTCCATTATGAACAGGACAACCAGACGTGGTGGCAATCGGAGACCATGAAGGAAGGGATCCAATATCCTAACCAGGTCAACTTGACACTGCACTTGGGTACGTGATTCAGTCATAAGCCTGTATTTTGTCCGTTCTTCATTATTTATCCATGTTTAGCCAACATTTAATAATGGTAGACCGTAGTCCAGTCTAAAGAACGCCTTGCCTTTGTTCATCAATTGACGTTTCTAGTTTCACGAGTAATGAGTTCATGTACTAACAATTGCAATCTGTTATCATCACATCAAAATCTAGGATAAAAGTCAATAGCACTCCTGCCTTCGCAGTAATTCTGCTTTGTACTTCTTTGAGGAAATAGAAACTAAGATACGTATTGTCATTTGTCAAGTTTGGAAGTCACTAGTAGGGGGATGTTAAAACGTTATTTTTACATTCTAGGTAAGGCCTATGACATTACTTACGTGAGGATTGTATTCTACTCGCCGAGACCTCAAAGTTTCGCCATCTACAAGAAAACATCAGAAGAAAGAGATTGGGAGCCCTTCCAATACTTCAGGTATATGTTGTGCATTCTTGTTACAATGAGCCAGCCTCTACATGCCGTTGGAGTAGCTTGTAAAATCTTTGGTTACTTTTATGAATTACAAAGAACAGTACCATAATATTATAAATTTTTTTGCAATTTTAGATTTGAATGTTTTAATTTTTAGGATATTTATTAACTTCTTATACCACATTAATTTCATTCGTACATTAATTTCCAAAGTGTCGTAATGGAGTAAGTATAGATTAAAGGCAGCATATTAAACTTTCATACATTCAGTGCCTCCTGCCGTGACACCTACGGAGTTCAAGAACAAAGGGCTGCAGAGTTAGGAGCAGAAACCCGTGCTCTTTGCACCAGTGAATACTCCGATATCTCGCCCCTATCTGGAGGAAACGTCCTCTTCTCCACTCTTGAAGGTCGGCCTTCAGCGTTCATTTTTGACAACAGTCCTGAGTTACAGGTAAGATGGCAGTCATAAGAACTTCCTATTCAACATAATTAAGACTCTATTCAGACGATAGACTCCTTTTTAACATTCCTTATCAGTCAAATGTTATACTTATTCCTTTTTTCTCTATTTACAAACTGTTAAGTACCTATATATTTATTTGGCTTATCACAAACAATTTTACCAGAAAAACAAACAAAAAAAATCCTAGCATTATTTTATTCTTTGACTGCTAAATAGACGGACAAAAATAAAAATGCTTATTTGTCTTCAGGAATGGGTAACTGCCACCGACCTTCGAATTTCCCTGGACCGTCTGAACACTTTTGGTGACGAGATCTTCGGAGATGTCCAAGTGTTGCAGTCTTATTGGTACGCTATCGCTGACGTGGCTGTGGGTGCAAGATGCAAGTGTAACGGTCACGCTTCTGTCTGCGAAACCCAAGAACTGCCTGATGGCACCAGAACTAGAGCTTGCAGGTAACTAAATCCAACCATTTTTAGATTTATAGCTGACGCGTTGGCTTGGCAACCAGCCGACATGCAATGTCACGGCTTAGATTCCCCCAAGGAACAATTCTTTGTGGCATTCCCTCGTATTGTGTCCAGAATTCTATATTTGTAAAAGATTGTAAGAAATCTAAGTGTGAGCAACGTAATTAGTATCTTAATGTGACAAACAGTTATGTGCATTTTGCTTTGCGATGTTCCTTTCGATGAAAATTTCTAGCGATTTCCCCCCATGCTTTTGTACCTATCTCTATAAAAATAAGGTTTAAATTATAACAAGCACAAACATTAGGATAGAGTTTCGGTTTCAATAGGCTTAGCCCCAGTAACATGGGGATTATAACATAGTAGCTGTTACAAGTAGGTGTTGCTCACATTACATTTAATCCCGAATTACCACACCTTTGTTCAATAACGTTATTTAGAAAGGATAAAATTTTGTATAATGTAAGCCCATTATTTAATAAATGGAAGGCAAAAGTCTTCCTCTCTCGATCCCCCACGATCGCCTCGATCCTTTCTCCTTAAAAGACCGGCAATGCTCTTATAACTCCATTAATGTTGCGGGTAATCAGTAAACACATAAACAGTTTGCTTATTTACCGCTTTAAAAATATGTAAACAAAGTTCTTTTAAATTTCAGATGTGAGCACAACACCGCTGGTCGGGAGTGTGAAAGATGTTTAGACTTCTACAATGACGCGCCTTGGGGCAGAGCCTCGCCGACCAACGTGCACGAATGCAAGGGTTAGTTCGACATACATTGCTTGCTTAGTTCACTGCGAATTGTTTTATCAATGCGAAAGTTCTTGTGAACCAGGATATGGATACGTGTTTTTGGAGATTTCGTTATTTATTTAACTGTTCTTGTCTTGATTTTTATCCATTATTCCTATTAGCAGTAAACTAATTCTAGCCACATCAACATAACTGAATTTATTGCGTCACTATGCTTTGCAATTTCATCGATGTCTTTTTTTGTATAAAATGACTTGGTATGGTGAGAAAAGTCATTTTTGAGTGTCAGACTCTCAAAGACTAAAAACCGTTCCTTTTGCGCTTAACCCGCGATCCCGGCGTTAACCTAAAAGGATTCATAAAAGCCCACACAAATAAACAATAACAAAAAAACAAACCATCTCGTTCATTATAATTTTTCGTCATTTGCTGTAAAAGTAAGGCCTAGCGATTGAAAAAAGAATACAAATTGATTGTGCTTATTTTCACATTCACATTTCCCAATTTCACATTGCCCAAGTTACATCACTTGTAATATGCGCAGATCTTAGAGATCGTAGCTGTATTTAAACATAAATTAAATACCTACATAACTTTGTATCCATCGGTTGTTAAAGATGTTTTGTCAAAGAAGGAATTTCCAAATCGAAAATGTGATGATTACCATGTGTAATCTTCACGCAAAAGCTAGCGCTTGCGACTAATATTGCAAAGAAACAATATTCGCTTATTAATTATTATCATTTTATCATATTCATCAAAATACTCAATTTTAATACGTTTTTTTTTTAAATTGACCTATATATAACGAAAGAAATGTGTAAGTAATTAAATCTGTGAACAACTGTGCGATTTTCGCGAAACATTGCCTCGCACCGCAAAACTTTTGGAATGATCTTTATAGGCGGCAGTATTTCCAAACCTATTCGACCTCCAATCTTTCGAGAAAAGAGCGAACTTCATAAGAATGCATTTAACATCAGGTGATCCGTCGGCTCGTTTGCCCCCAATTCCATAAAACGAAATAATCGAATTAGACGCGCTTAGATTTATTGTACCATCATGAAACTAGGCAATTGTATGCAGATTAGATTATTCTTTTTTATACGGTACTACTCCGTTTCTGAACGTTAGCTGAGCTATGCAGTGTATACAATGGTACACAAACCTTGGTTGAAGGTTGAAGTCAGCTTATTTAGAAGAGTCTTGTCCTAATTCAAGTGCATCACAGGGTACATCTTAGATTGCTATTATTAATTATGTCTTCTGAATGTTATTAGCTAGTTATTCAAAACCTATATTGACAAATAGTCCCTTTTTGCGGAGGGAAAATATCATTTAATGACTTCTGTCGAGAGGGAATGTCATACGCTTACTGACCAAAACTCCCCAGTTCCTTCTCCTGCTCCAGTTCGGGGCCGCGGTACCTAATTGCGCTTGGCCCACAGTCCCTTCTAACAAAAAATCCCTTGAGATACATTTTAAATTTGATTCCATGTTTATTTTCCATGAACACACAAGTGCCTTGTTGACTCTTGCCTTTTAATTGAACTGCTGAAACTTTTATCGGCCTAAAATAACTCCTACGACTGTCTATTAGGGTCTTATTCCAAAAGCATTACTAAATAAAAGTGTATGCCTATTGACTATGTGCAAAGCGAGTAGTGGCGGACAGATAACGACCGCAGCGCACAACACGGCAGAAATTGGAAACAAATGCGGATGATCAGCTGACAGTTTTTATTATTTTACTCATTTCACAGTAAACCTATTGAATAAATTGCACTTAAACAATGTCAACAATACTATTTTAATATTTGGTTTTATTTATATTTGTAAATTAAATTATAATGTTTAGATCAGAGGTTCCCAAACTTTTTTTTCTCATAGACCACTTTAAACATTTTGCTGCATCTGGTGGACCCCCTGCAGCTATTACATTTACTAACTTACTTCCAAAACCCGAAAAAAGTGTTTTGGAATGTAAATCTATGTAAATCTGTGTTGTGACTATTTTTCAATCAACTCTGAGTTTTCGAAATAAAAGGTCAGAATTTATATTGCTTTGATTATGCTGTGAGTTCAAGGCCAGTCTAAAAAGCGTCTTCATCCAACAGATTCCTACTTTACTTTTTTGTATTCTAAGATTGACTCACAGTATAAGAAACCAATAAGCTCCCACTTCGAAGTGATAAAAAGTAAAAATAAATATTTTCTTGTTTTGTAACTATTCAAACAAACAAAAAATACTACACTTTTAATATGTTGTTATAACAGTCTTAGTAGAATCAAATTTAACATCAAAAATAATAATCATTAGTATTTTAAAAACAGTCGCAATATGATCAAAATTTATAATTTAGATTACATTGCATTTCTTGCAATATAATCAAAATTTTGATATTAAAATTGATTGTCGACACTACAGTCGACACTTCTTAGATTCACTTTCTTTTTTGAAATTCCGGAAACAACTGAGTGATGTTTATCATTCGCATTCCTATTTATATTAGGGCAAAATCCAACAAGTTCATGCAAGTTCAGATACGACGAATCGGCGAGTCTTGACACGCTCTTTCTGAATATGGAATATGCAAGTTCTTACAAAAACAATTGCTGAGCTTCTTATAATTTTGTCTTCCTATATTCATAGGAGAAGTCAAGTCGGGTCACCTAATACATTTTTATAGACCCCCGTTAACGAGTTTTGGACCCCCATTCTTTTTCCACGCAAGCGTAGACCCCTGTCGGGCTCCCGTGGACCCCTGGGGGTCCACCTGGACCACTTTGGGAATCTATGGTTCAGATACATTGTTATTATTTGACAGCTTCCGCAAATGTTGTAAACGCTACGCGTCGCTGCCGTCGCGCACATAGCCAATAAATAGTTTTGCAGTCTAGTTAAAGAGTTTTTATTACCATGATCATTAAGGCTAAGCAAAATACTTGTAGTAGTTTCTCTACAAATATTTTTTGTTCAAACATATATATATTTTTTTATGTAATATCTCGGCAAACGAGCAGACGGATTACCTGATGGTAAGCAATCAGCGCCGCCCATGGACACTCGCAACGGAGGAGTTACGAGTGCGTTGCCGACCTTTTAGGGATTAGGGATTTAGAGATTTAGGGATTGAGGAGGGATTGGGGAAGGGGAAGGATTGGGCCTCCGGTAACCTCATCATATAGAGCAGCTGTTTCCATATTATACCTATAAAAATGATTGTGTTATCGTTATTTCTATATGACTTGGCCAATGCCTGATAAATGTTTCGTTACAGCTTGTAACTGCAATGGATTCTCCAACAAGTGTGAGTTCGACAAGGACTTGTATGAGCGCACGGGACACGGTGGTCGGTGCATCGACTGCGCAGAGAACAGAGATGGCGCCAACTGTGAGAGGTGCAAGGAAAACTTCTTCCAAGGATCTGGAGACATTTGCTTACCCTGCAACTGTAATCCTACTGGTAAGTCCACACGAGTTTATTAGGAAGAAGCAAGAAGTGTTAAAAACATTTTAATGCTACTTATCACTTTTTCGAAAAATGTTTTTCAATGATTTCCCATTTCAAATTTTTTTCTGTTGTTTTTTAGTAATAAGGGTTGCACACCCCTAATCATTTAGAACTAGGTATGAAAGAAAGCTAGTAGCCAATTCTCAGACTAATTAAATATGCATATAACATTTGACGAAAATCAGTAAAGCCATTTCGGAAGAAGTGACCTAAGGTAAACTAACACTGTGACTTGAGAATTTTATATATACGATGAATGAAGCCAATAAAATAAAGTTCCAAAGGACCATAAATGAACTTTAACCTTTGTAATGGTAGCTACGGCGTAATGAAATGGACGATACAAAATATTTTTTTGTTTAGGATCACGCAGCCTTCAGTGTAACGCGGAAGGCAAGTGTCAGTGCAAGCCTGGAGTGACGGGAGATAAGTGTGATGTCTGCGCACCGAACCACTACGAGTTCACAAACCAGGGCTGTAAGCCTTGTGGATGTAACGAGTCTGGTTCTTACGCCAACACACCACAATGTGACCCACAAACCGGCGTGTGTTTGTGCAAACAGAACGTGGAAGGAAGACGTTGTAGAGAGTGAGTATTGTGTATCTCTGTTATTAGACGTAGACCGTCAGGTATTTGTTTCTTTTATTTCAAATTTTAACCTTAATCCCTGTTAAGTTGAATTGAAAATCAATCGAAAAAGCAATATGGTAAAAAGTACTTACATACGTTTTTTTAGATGCTTTTTTCCTAGTTTGGTTTATTGTTTTAAAGTAATTTCTTTCATTTAATTAACCAAATTATCCTGAGCTGTGGCGTCATTGCCTGTGTCTTCTCCCACTCACTCCATTATTTACCATAATTCCGTTGTTTTGATTTGATTACGATTTTTTGAAAACTTTATATACAATAAGACTTATTATCAATTTCACGACAATTCAATATTCAAAACGATAATGCTAATTTATTAAACCTCATCTTCTAGGTGTAAACCAGGCTTCTTCAACCTGGATATCAGCAATGACTTTGGATGCACGCCATGCTTCTGTTTCGGACACTCCTCGCAGTGCAGCTCAGCTCCCAAGTACCAAGCGCACGAGACCAGCGCTCATTTCATAAGAGACGCTGAAAAGTGGATGGCAGAAGATGAACAGGAAAGACCAGCTAAGCTTCAGTTTAATGCCAACACTCAAAATATTGGTGAGTTAATTTATTAAAACGTTAATAAAAGACGAAGTAAAACTAATATCTTATCTTAGTAATAATTCTTTCTGTTGTAAATCGTGTTATCCCACAATTTGGTACCCTTGTATATTTTCTATCCGTGGTCCCAGCATATTAGTACGCTTGTAAATTTTCTATCTGTGGTCTTATAAAGTAGACCAGCACGTCGATTCTATAAAATTTGTTTGATTTTGAATCGTGTTCAAGTGCGAAGTGAGCGTCGAAGTGACGGAGAAATTAAATTTTAGAATGCCACTTTTAACGTCATTTCATGCTTTATCTTTCAAAATGATGCTGTCAACTTAGTTCAACTCGCAAGTGTAGCGCTAGTGTACTACTACTCACGGCGGATTCAGATTCGAAGTTTAGAATGAAGTCTTACAGAATCACACTGCAGTTCTTTAAGTCGACCGGAACCGGCTGTGTTCATAAATAATTAATAACAAACAGAGCCGTCATTTCTTTTCAGACTTTTGGAAATTTAATATTGCTAAATAGCGACCCACCGCAACTTCGCATGGGTACAATGCTGATACTAATTTTCTCCACTATTTAATGGATGTTTAAGAATTTGTCTTCAATCACTATTTCTAAAAACCGTTTGAATATCTACTGCGTAGTTTTAAAGATTTTAGCGTACGTACGTATGTAGGAATAGAGCAAGCGATCTTGCCTTAAACTATGTAGTGACAGTTCCTATATAATAAATATTTTTCCTTAGCCGTTGCATCACAATCATCGGAAACATTATACTTCATCGCTTCAAGTCAGTTCCTGGGTGATCAAAGACCTTCTTACAACCATGACTTGAAATTCTCACTGCGACTTGGTGAAGTTAGAGGTTACCCGTCGGCTACTGACATTATATTGGAAGGTCCACGATCCTCCGTATCAGTGAATATTTACGCACAAAACAACCCGGAACCTACCAATCAGGTACGTTGAACATTTCTTTGCTGAGCAGTTATCTTGTGTTAGCATTTGCGTACTTACTTCTTCATATATTTTATTAGTTGGAATTGTAATAAAAGCACTTGCGAATGTATTTTTATCCAAATTTAATTCAATTGCGTTGTGTTTTGTTTATATTGTTAGTCAACGATATGCTATTTGATAAAATATTTTATCATTTAACCAATGATTTTTAAGCAGTTGGTCATATTTCGTATTATCTAATAAATCAGTAAAATTTGTCTATGAACTAAACGTCTGACTGCCGACAAAACTATTGAAGGAATATTCTCAGCTAACAACGCGCAAAAGTCAGAGGTGACGCGACTGTTAACGTATTAATAAAAAGATCAATGTAAAAATTCACACATAACAGGCACGCATTTTATTACTATAAAAACGTTCAAAGCTTTGCGAACTCCATTCCATTACCCCCTCTCATAAATCAACGGTTGCAGGCTCAAGAATACACCTTCAGGCTCCACGAGGATCCTCGATACGGCTGGTCTCCAACCCTCTCAAACTTCGAGTTCATGTCCCTCCTCCAAAACCTGACGGCTATCAAGATCAGAGGAACCTATAACAAGCCTGGAGAGGGCTACCTGATGAACTTCAAGCTGGAAACTGCGAAGATTGGACGAGAGAAAGGATCAGCTCCAGCCAATTGGGTTGAAAAGTGTTCCTGTCCCAAGGCCTATGTTGGGGATTACTGTGAGGAGTGCGCACCTGGATTCAAACATGAACCAGCTAATGGAGGACCCTACTCGACTTGTATACCTTGTGACTGTAATGGACATGCCCATATTTGTGACACTGCTACTGGTGAGTTTTATTGTCATATTTCGAACCTTAAAGCAGATAAAAATAACCCACAAGTACATAACAGTGATTTTCCTTTCCTTTTCCTATCAAGCAAAAGCTGAAAGGTAAAGGCAATTCTGTGAAGAGGCAAAATAAAAAAACGGAACAAGGAGTGTCTAGGGCAATTTTGTTTCAAGTTATGGCGATCGCCACATTAATGATGTTCGGCGGATGATTGGCTTACACAACGTTAAACAACCAATCAGAGGTCTAAACAGAGTAACGTTTGAATCGCGTTGATGAAAAACGAACTCGCAATCAGAGTGCAGAAAACAATTCGATTCAAACAGTTTCCTTTATGAACGAATTGTTGAGGTCAATATCTTAACTAACCTGAAATAAGTACAAGAAGAAGTACGATAAACCCTTCATGCGGTTTTACCATCAAATGATTCCCGTTTACAAAATTTTAGTACAATATAACTTGAACATTTTGTGCATTACTTTTCAGGTTTTTGTATCTGTAAACACAACACCACGGGCAGCAACTGCGAGCTCTGTGCCAAGGGTTTCTATGGTAACGCAATCGCTGGAACCCCAGACGACTGCAAACCCTGCCCGTGTCCTAAAGACAGTGGATGTATCCAGCTCATGGATGGAAGCATCGTGTGTACTGACTGTCCTGAGGGCTATGCTGGTAAGAAATAAAGTTGCAATAGTCACTGAGCTGTAAAATCATAATACATAGAACAGTCTGAATGACTCTTTACCTAAACCTTATAACACAAAGGTTAAGTTTTAAAAAAATATTCCGACACGTAAAATATGAAACAATGAAACAATGAATTTATTTTTCCAAATAGGCCATAAAATGGCACTTTTACACGTCAATTTATATGTGAAAAACTAGATAACAATATCAATCCCAGCATTCACAAGACTAAAGTTGTAAGACCTCAAAATCGCCTTCACTCAATGAATAAAGAAATTATTTTACCATTTCAAAATGTAGGAAGAACTTTTAACTCTTCGTAGATGGAAAAAGAAGAAAACTACAAACAGAAAATTTTGTAATAGAGTTCTAAGCTTTTTTCTAAGATTCTTCTCTATTAGCTTGTAAAAAGTATTGACTATGTTTAAGATAAATACACATACGCTTGAATGTTTCAAGGTCATTGTTCTTAGTCACCAAAGAGTAATTAGTATAATGGATGCAACTTTAACTAAAACCGTACTTCCAGGACCAAAATGCGAAGTCTGTGCTGATGGTTACTTCGGAGACCCCACTGGACAGTTTGGACCCCCGAAACAATGTGAACTGTGCCAGTGTAATGGCAATGTAGATCCTAATGCTGTTGGCAACTGTAATAGAACAACTGGAGCTTGTCTCAAATGTATCTACAATACGGATGGTGAACATTGTGACAAGTGCTTAAGTGGTAAGTGGAATGGATAAACGAATCTTCCTTTTCTTGGTCTGGTTTAACATAGAAGTGCGTCCTATAAGGATGACAATGAGACCGGCTTTTCTAAATAGTAACGTATTATTTATTAAATCTGAAATGGGCAATGATTATTTTGTTTTACGTAAACGTTTGCTTACGTCCTTAAGATTTTATTTGTTGATTACAAACTAAGCTATAGCTGTAGCGATAGCTTAGTGACACACAAGTACAATAAATATTGAATTTAATATTAAGATATAAATAGATAAGCTGCAATAAATATCCGCAACACACGACAAAAATGGTAATTTCACCTCATTTTCGGCAAAGAAGTACTTTGCTTAATACAGAGATAAATTAGCCATTTCACATTCAAGGTTTCTTCGGCGACGCTTTGGATCCTAAGAAGAAGGGTGACTGCAAACCCTGCCAGTGTCATGAAGCTGGTACAGTGGAGAGTGCTGAGGGTCCTCCTCAGTGTGACGGCCTCACTGGCTTGTGTTCTTGTCATCCACACGTTATTGGAAGGAACTGTGATAAGTGTGAGGTAAGTTCTAAAAATTGCTTATTTTCGAGCATTTAAAACGTATTTATTAATTGATCCTTTAATACTGATAATTTATGTTGTTAAGCTGGGGTTGCGGGGTAAGCGCAATGAGGCATCGCGGCCTCGGTCTAAAGCAAGGTGAAAGTCACGTGTGGGTTAGCTATGCTTCGGCTAGAATAAAGTGATATCATGGCCTCACAGAAAACCGGCGTAAAACAACCACACCGTTGCGTTTCACCGTCTGAGTGAAGTTATCGGAGGCCCAATCCCAAAATCTCCAAATCCCTAATCCCTAAAAGTTCGACAATGTACTCGTAATGCCGTCCGCTCATGTGTCGTACTATATCTGACGAAAATATTTATCTTCAATTATACTTAAGGTATATAATCTTTGAACAGGACGGCTACTACAATATCAACTCAGGAACCGGTTGTGAGCCCTGCGAGTGTAACCTTGAGGGGTCGTTCAACAGCACCTGTGACCCCTACGACGGACAATGTTACTGCAAACCTGGCATTGATGGGTAAGAACATAAAAACAGAATCCATATATTTGGTCCTTTATTTAGATGATTCCTTCTTAACTACTACTACTACTTACTATCGGTACAGAGCGCCTAGTCCCAGTTTGCTTTACGTTAACACGTTCGAAACTCAACCGCTCGGCGATAAGTCCTCTCATTGGTTGGTTAGATATAACAACAAGCCAATCAGAGCGCCGATCGCTATAACGTTAAGCGAACTAGCACTAGGTCTTCAGTTAAAAAAATGAATCTGTGAAACGCAAAGACATGGCATTAAAGTCAATAAAGAACAATCCCAAGTAATATATTATTTAAAGTATAATAACTAGCAGACGCCTTGTCTTCTAAGCAAAAGTCACTGATTTCTCCCAATATCAGTGACGCAATAAAAGAAAAAGAGAAGTTTAAATCAAAGCTGCTTTTTCTGTCCTTATATCCCTATGTAGGTATGCTTAAATCTTTAAAAAATCGCAACGTATTTAAATACGGTACTGTTTATGAGCTAGAGTGATGGAAAAGGAAGGTTTGTAGATATGGTAATATCCATTAAGTTAGTACTCGTATCAGCCTTTGAATCCTGCGAAACTGGGGCGGGTGGGTAGTTATAAATAAAAGATTAACACCCGGTTTCTGAAAGGCTTGTCAACGCTAAAATTAACTAATCTCCTGTTAAATCTCTTGTCAAGTCATCTGATTGGTTGTTGATAATTCAGTCAACCAATCAGATAACTTGACAAGAGATTAAATTGATTTTAACATTGATCGGCCTTTCAGAAACCGGGGGTAAATTTAGTTGTTTTGTTCCAGTAAACACTGTGATCGCTGTCGTGCGTACCACTACGGGTTCTCAGCTGACGGTTGCAGAGACTGTGACTGTGACGAATGGGGATCCACAAACTACCAGTGTGACATGTCCGGACAGTGTTCCTGCCAAGAGAATGTCGAAGGACGACGCTGTGACAGGTGAGACTAGTAAACAAAGCAATGTGTAGAAGAAACCAATTTACCGCTTGACATTATAAACATCGATGACAATTATTGTCATCATAGCTCTAATTATTAGAGTTAAGAAGAACGAAATAACAAGAAGTGTATCTCCTCACTTATCTTTAAAATGTTTAAAAACTTTAGAAAACATGGAAAAGAACGCTAATATTTTTTTGGATCTGAATGAAATTGGTCACAGAAATAGATTATAGTCTTAAGGGATTTTTCAATGGTTAGATAAAAGTTACCTGGGGAATAATTATGATGCTGTCGCGTCACAATGCTTGTATAAGACAGTGACAGCAACAATTTTATTTCTCAGATTACAAAATCAGCCCTTCATGACACATGACTACTTTTTAACTTTGTTACAAAGGCAAAAGAAAGTATGTATATGTCACCGGAAAATAACAAGATCCGTAAGTTTATCAATTTACTAGGAAGTTTATAAACTTTCGTGAGATTCTAAACGGGAGATAAATTGTAATATTTTACGTCCACATTTTCGTAAATTTATCAATTTCCAACGTCATACGGTAAATTTATAAACTAACGAATATCTATTCGTAAGATTTTATATGGTTCGACCAATCACAGAAACTTTTATATAAACGATGTTTGAAATACGTAAAAAAACACACTGCTCTCTGATTGGTTAATGTTCATAGTGGCAATGCTTGTGTCCATAGACTTTGGAATAATCCGACTTGACAAACTATAAATTGGAAGCAATAATGCCTGGTTCCTCTCTGGCACGGATGTAGTGAGTTGAGTTTTTTATTATCAGTTTTAACAAGCTATTTAACGGTTACTTGCTAAAATACAGCTCCTTGGCCAGCTATGGCGGCCGTGAGGAAGGAGAAGTGACACGTGACAGCCAACTAATCAGATCGCGCGTAGCGTTTGCTTAATGCTTACTTATTATTTTACGAGTGAGTTCAGTAAGTATATCAATTTACGAAAATGTGAACATAAAATATTACAATTTATCTCCCGTTTAGAATCTTACGAAAGTTTATAAACTTCCTAGTAAATTGATAAACTTACGGATCTTGTTATTTTCCGGTGACATATATACGTAATTGTCAATAACCCGTGAAGAGTTATACTTAACTGAATAGAGAGGTTCAGCTATCAGTTCTGAACTTTTTGCGTTCTCTATCCCCTCAAATCACGGAGATTATGGCAAAACTATTATATGTAGATCTTTATAGCTCTGTAGTAAAATGTTTGTTCAGCTGTACAGTTGTAAAAAACGACTGGGTGGCCCGAAGGTCCGCCCATTTGATATGAATGACGAGATGGTTTCGAAACCTGGCAAGTGCCAATGTGACTTTTTCTGAGTTATATATGTACTTACTAAGTTGATAAGACACCACAGACATATAGTGTAGGAAAACATCGTGAGGAAACCCGGAATATTTTATTACTAATCATAATTTTAAAATCGCCAATCCACCCTGAGCAAACTTAGTAATGAATGCTCAAACCTTCTTCGTATAAGAAGAGGACTTTGCTCAGCAGTGGGGACTTATAGGCTGATTATGATGAGTTAATAGTCACGGGGTTTTGATGCTAATTCCTAAAACATTACAGGTGTATGGAGAACAAGAAACGTCGTGCCGATGGACAAGGCTGTGAGGACTGTCCTCCTTGCTACAACCTCGTTCTGGATGCCGTGAACCAACATAGAAGGGAGTTGAAAGAACTTGATGATGTGAGTAGATACACACTTATAAAATTTTATCGTTGAAAACGTTTGTTAAATTTCTTATTGTGTCCATCATCACATATACTTGCTAGCACGTCTTTCTTTCCTTTCAGGCATTTATAGCGTCATAGATATATGAACTATTCGATATTATCTCATATACTAATTAGTATATTTATATTCAATCGAATCTACATTAACTTTATAGATTTAGAATACTTAAGTAATAAAATTTTCTTTACAGATTCTAGCAAAGATATCGAAGTCTCCGACGGTAGTTGAGAATGCAGACTTCGACAATGAGCTGCAACAAGTGAGGGGTGACATCGAGCGGTTGGTGCAGGACGCTCAGGCCGAGTTAGGCAATGGACCTGGAGCAAGCCTTACCAACAACCTTGCTGAACTGGCAGAAAGACTCGCTGACGTCAGGTAAATTAGAAATCGCAAACGCTTATTTATTATTTAGGATCTTCAACAAACAAAGGGTATACCTACACAAATCATTGAAAAAACTAATAATAATGGATGACAACATTCCTTCGCTTTCGCCTTCGCTTACAGGAGACTACAGTATGCATATTGCATATTGTATGCATGTTGTAGTCTATACAAATTACAACTAAGCAAACACAATTAAAAGTTTAAGATATCTAATAAGAATAAGACAGATTCGGTAATATATATGAAACAAACTAAATACGTTTTCGAAACATAGATAAAAATCGAAACTTACTATGTATAAAGCCAGTAACTTCGTTCAATTTCACAGTATGATAGAACTCAGATCACCTAATAGGTATTTAAATAGGGTTGTCTAGATAAGTTGCGATTTCCTGGAACTGAATTAAGGAGGGGGCATTTTTGCGTGAAGACTGATCTAGAAGTTTAATGGTGCTACCGCTGTTTATGTGGTGTGGCATTTAATGGCTGGTACAACGGTGGAGATCCTTAAAGGTACAAAGCGATCACGAGTAAGGAAATGATTTTCTTCTCTCCCCAGGAACATGCTGTTCAAGATTGAAGACGAGAGCTATGATGGTAATGAAGCCGTTGAGAAGAGCAAGGGTAACGTCTCCAAAGCAGAAGATACCATCGAAGCTGCACAGAAGGAAATCAACGTAAGACATTAAAATTTATTTCTGTATATTAGTGACTAGCTTGCGCCTGCGGATTTGCAGGCTTATAGAAGTAATATATACCGGGATTAGCGCTAGCTCGACTCAAATACGCTAATCAGGTATAATGTATAGCCTATACCACTCACGAACTTGAAGTTATTTATCAGTAAAAGAATTTGGAAATACGACCAGCGGTTTCAACAATTACCCTTTACATACAAATTTAATAACTGATAAATAGAATACTTTTATCAACCAGCCAGTTGGCTGAATGATAAAAGATCCCGAGTCTAGTAGATATTGTTATCAGATTGAAACTCAACAATTATAATATAATAAATTCACGAGAGTGAACTTACTCGCTATATAAGTAGGTCCGAATTTCTGGATGGATCCTACTTTATAACATTTGTATCTGGAATTTCTAGAGTGCCCTGGAGTATATGGATGGCGAAGGAGCTGCAGCGTTATCTAAGGCTCGCAACAGGTCGGACCAATTCGGCAAACAATCAGTCGATATGTCAGCTCTTGCGAAGGAGTCTAGACTGCTAGCAGAAAAGTTGGAAAATGAAGCGAAGAACATTCGAGAAATAGCTGACAAAGCGTTCAACACATCTATAACAGCTAACAGAATTGCTAAAGATGGGATCACGAAGCAAGCTAACATTAGGTAAGAGGAATAAGTTTTTGTGTTATTGCTGCCTAGATATTTCTTCGTGTGAAAGCAGTTACAACAGCCTTAGAAGTCAATGTTGTTCAATCCTATATCCGTTATTCTTCAACACATAAAATGGCAAGATAGTTTCATTCTCCGTTATAATAGAATCGCTGGAAGTATTTTTATAGGATAGGTCGGCAAACGAGCAGGCGGTACCTGATGGTGAGCAATCAGCGCCGTCCATGGACACCCACAACACCAAAGGAGTTACTAGTGCGTTGCGTGCTTTTTGCGGACCAGTATTACGGATATTTTATTTACGGATTGGGCTTCCAGTAACCTCACCCACACGGCAAAACACAACGCTGTAATTATTTCACGCCGGTGTTCTGTGAGACTGATAATAATATCACTCTGGTCGAGCCGAAACATAAAATTACATGTAAAGAACACAGTGATATTTATTTGTAGTAAATAAAAAACAACTGACAAACTATATAATATTCTCTATTTCAGTAACGAAGTACAAATCTTGACAAACGAACTGAATGCAGCGTCAGGAAAGTTGAATAGTATGACTGAATTGGCTGACCAGGCACTCAAGAGAGCCAAGGATGTATACGATGAAGCTCTTGGATTATACGCCGAGGTGAACACGACACTGTTGCCAGATATCAAAATAAGTAAATTAAAGGAAACAGCTAGGGAAATGAACAAAACGGTAAGTTTCTTTAAGTCCTGTGTCTCTGTGTGGAATTTGTTAGTTTATATTTCTAGATAATATCCTCTCTTACTGTCACCGTCGGCGAGTAAGGGCAGCTCGCCGCCCGACCAGAACCAGGCCCGAGCGTACGGCGCGTAGCGTTCCGCGCGCGCCTCAAAGAGCCATTCGACCACCACAGACGGGGCCCTAAAGGGCTGATGTTCAGCCGGGGTTGCGGGGTAAGCGCAATGAGGTACCGCGACCTCAGCACAGAGCAGGAAAAGGAACAGGGGGGTTTTTAGTCAGTAAGAGTCTGACACTCCCTCCTGCCCGGCCCTGGGCGGGAGAAGTCATTTGATGATTTTCCCCTCACAAAAAAAAACCGTATAAAAATGTCTTTTCATTGGTTCAAAATAAAGCTATCAAAGAAAAATCTTTATCTATAAATGTCTATTCTTTATCTGTGTTTACAGTTTCATAAAACAAAAATGTTTTGTTAGAAAATGTAGACATTATTTTTCCAAAATTACAGATCGACGAGAAATCCGCTGAGTTGGAACGTTTGGTAGCAGACAATGAGAATACGTTGGAACAGCTAGAGAATGCCATAAAACAGGGTCGTGGTCTTCTAGACCAAGGACACGAAAGACAGGATGAGTTGAATGATCTTCTCGCGAAACTCGATGAGCTGCAGGAACAGGCCAGAAATGACGTAGAACTGACCAATCAAACGCTGAAAGACGCTAATGAAATCTACAAAACTTTGAAAGGTACATTTGAATATGTGCATTTTTAGACTAAGGACCAATTTGATATATCTAGATACTCAAATCCTTTCGCATGAGTAGGTCGAGTCCAGTTTTAAGATAATAAAAATATTGCTTAATTTTACTGGTTACTCATAAAATTGCTGGAGTATTTATTGTACAGCGTGGACTTCTCAAATTAATTCTGGAAGCCGACCATTAATGCAAACTCAGTTTATTTCTACTGACGTTTCTTATACTTATTAAAAAAACTACCTAAATGTATTTCATTGTAAGGCGGATCTTATAGCCTTATATATGTATAGTGTTAAGAGCAAATATTGCATTTACAATTATCCTACGCAATCTTATGAAGCAAAAAAACAACAATAGTAAGTTCAAATATAAAAAAATGTTCTTAATTTTCTCTTCAGAGTTCAGTGACCAGGTGACTGAATCGCGTCAGTTAGCGGAGCAAGCAGCTCTGGACGTGCCTGCGGTGCAAGCGAAGATTGCCGCGGCAGATGACAGCATTAACAGCATCACGGAACAACTGTACACTGCTAGTGACAAGGCCAAGGACGCTCGGGACTTGGCACAGAAGGCGCAGAAGGAATTTGCTGATAAAGCATCAGAAGTATGTTCTACTAAACTTTAATTTTAAATGTATTGAAAGGGCAAAAATCCGTTTTCTTTTATGTATTTTGTTGATGCAACCAAACAATAAAACGTCTGAGCATCATTATTCTTTACTAGCTTTTGCCCGCGACTTTGTGCCCATGGAATAGTGACTTACTGCAGATTTTTGGTTAAAAACTATCCCATGTCTGCTCTCGAGTTCCAAACGATGTCTGTTTACCAAATTTCATACAAATAGGTTCAGTAGTTTAGACGTGAAGAAAAGACAGATAGACAGAGTTACTAACGCATTTATAATATTAGTTTGGATCAGTTTTTAAACGAACAAAAACCTGTGTTTTTCTCAATTATTCACTATTGTTTAAAACATTGGTCTCACCTATCGCATCGTGCCTTAACAAAAATGTATGAAGTAATAATACCTTCATATTAATACTTTTCAGGCGGCGTTTGAAGTCAGGAAGAAATCTTCGGCATCTAGGTCTGAAGCGTCTAAACTTAGATTCGAAGCTGAGAAACTGTCCAGTGAGTAAAAATCTTATATCAAAATCTATTTCATTTAATGCTTGGTATGCGTAGTGACTCGGCAACCAATTGTGCACTTTGTTCTTTAGATATGAGGGTTTCTTCTAGAACAAATACTTATGTTAAGACCAAGGATAGAATTGGAAGAAAAGCTACGAATATACTTCTTTTATTTTTTGTAAAAAATGTTGCCATGTTGATTTTCTCGCGTACCTATCATATATGCGTATACAATCATACAAATTTACCTATACCAGCCACCCAGACTCGAAACAACAATTTGTGGATAATTCAAAATATTTTCCGTGCGGGAATCGAAACCGTGGCACGTTACACAGACACTGCGCCAACCGTGCAGTCGAATTATTTATAATTATAATAAGAAACTCTTAAATAGGAAGGTATCTTTTCAAATGTGCATCTGAGCATTACCCATAGATGTGATATTAATGTTAATAAATATAAAATATCTTCAAACAGCTCGAGTACAAGAAACTGCAACGCAAATTGGAAACTTAGAGAAAGAGGCTGCGGAGAACATGCAGCTTACCAGGGACGCTAAAATGAAGGTAAGGGCGCATTTAATTTGAAAGAAATATAGATATATTTCGTTCAGATTGGAAGCCATTTTATATCAAAAGAAACGTAATACCTTTTTTATGTAATAGGTCGGCAAACGAGCAGACGGATTACCTGATGGTAAGCAATCAGCGCCGCTAATGAAACGTAATACTTTTTTTATGTAATAGGTCGGCAAACGAGCAGACGGATTACCTGATGATAAGCAATCAGCGCCGCTCATGGACACCCGCAACGGAGGAGTTACGAGTGCTTTGCCGACCTTTTAGGGATTAGGGATTTGGAGATTAAGGGATTGGGGTGGGTTCGCGGGAGGGGTAAGTTTGGGCCTCCGGTAACCTCACTCACACGGCGAAACATAACGCTGTGATTGTTTCCCGCCGGTTTTCTGTGAGGCCGTGGTATCACTCCAATCGAGCCTACATATTTTCTGATCACCTTACCTACATACTCTATGGATAGTGTATTCTCAGAAACCATCGTCTTTTACTAAACTAAACTAGCTTCAAAGCCAAATTCTTATTGTAATATAAGTCAACACATTCTACAACTGCTTTTCTGATTAATCTTATATATTTTTACGGTTTCACAGATTTTTTTCTTTATGATAACTCATAATAATTTTAACATCAGGTTGGCCAAGCAAACACTGATGCCAGAGAGGCGGAGAAACAAGTGTCTAAAGGCCTGGAGGACTTGAAGGTCATCATGGATGAACTGCAGAACTTGCCCACGCTGGATGATCAGGCACTAGACCGGCTTCGTAAGTACAGTTGGACAAGAATGTTTTCGACCCTTGGGAAGTAGCAACCACGAACTTTCAATTCGATCAGATTTATGATGAAGTATAAGTTTTTTCAATCTTCCTTATTTGAAAACACGGGATTGCTTCGTAAATGTTCGTAAAGTCATTTCCCAGCTAAGTTCAGTATCGATAAGTCAACAACGTATTCTCGTATATTTGTTTTTTTTTTTAAACCGATAACGACTATCGATATAAAACATGGCCCAGTCTGCCTGGCTGGATACTTTAAAAAGCGTGCTGACCAAAAAGTATACCTACCTAATTATTGGTTTACAAAAATGTGCATTAATACTCGTTCAAGCTTATTATTTATTGTGTATCATAAAAGAGTACCTATATAGCGAGTTTGTCTCTTAAAACAACATTTTTTATTACAGAGGAGAGCTTGGACAAGGCGGAGAGTGACCTCATAGCGGTTGATTTGGATGGCAAGATCAAGAGTCTGACTGAAGCCAAGAATAACCATCAAAGGTACATGTCCTAACATTAAAATGAAACCTTTTCTGCGTTCACGATATCTAAACGTTTATTACCTAACTAGTCGACAAACCAATGTTTGTTAAGTTCTTATTTAATTGTGTTCTTTATTATTCGGACTCTCTTTATCCGACTTCCAAAAGGAGCATGTTGGTGTACTCGACCGTTCATAATATATGAAAACGTTACATATTTGTAGCTAAAATATCTGTGGCAAGTCTTATTAGTCTCAAATAATGTTTCAACGTTTAATTGCCAATTTTAATAAATAATTTTTGTAACAATCTAAAAAAACAGGTGGATGAAACAATACGAGGATGAGCACAGCCATCTTCGTTTGGAAGTAGACAATATCAAGGAGATTTTGGACCAGCTCCCAGAGGGCTGTTTCAAGAGGATCGTGTTGGAACCCACCGAAGGCCCCAGTCGAGCGGCCAGCTTCAGATAAACTGATAACTAGACAGAAGACTCCAACAACATGAAGTAAAAACGAGGAAACAAAGACAAAGGTTTGGTATCCTATATCTAGCTAAAAGTCGAAAATGTACTGAAATTTAACAATCTGTTTTCCGCCCTTAAGTTCTACCAATAAGCATGTCGTTGTATCGTAAGAGAATATGTGTTATGCTAGCTATAGAGGACTAATATGGGTTGTATTGTAGCATCGAAGCAATCTCGTTTGAATGAATAATATGGTCCTTACGATAATTCAACGCTTACAATACGACGTATCTTGCCATTCATTAGCACTGCCTGTATTTTAATTACACAAAACGTGTATTTTTTTATTATCAGTCATCTTTTATTTCTAATTTAAAATTACTCAGAGATAGAAAGAAATATGTCTACAAATATACTTAGGCACATTAATCCTTAAAGAAGACGCTGTCAAAGATAAAAAAAATATTTTAATAAAGACAAATGATAAGACATTTGTTTTAATTGTAACGGTTGAAATTTAGAAACCGATTTTAACGCAAAACCGTTGGATTAAGGTCCATTTTTGCTACTATTTAAACTTGAATTTGAATTGAAGAATTCTCTAAAGTTTTGTTCGATCTGGCTATTAAGGGTTAGAATCGGAAAGTCTGCATTATCAACAATTAGAATGATTCAATAACCATAAAAACAGATACTTTTAACTTTGATACATATTTATTGTCAACATACAGTGCCTTATTAGTTACTTTAGTAATATATAAAATAGTATAATAACATTAAAGATTTTTTATATTGACATTTCTAAATAAGATTAACATTTCCAATTTTCTCACTGCCTTAAACGTTGTATTTGTAAGAGAAAAATACATTAGGTAATTTATTAGTTGACGTAGCTAAAATCGTTACGTGAAACCTTTTTTTTTAAATACTTCCAGATTGCATTTACTAAAGTTGCATTTTCGTACTTAGATCTATATAGTGTGACAAGTGAAATACACAACTTCGGGAAAAATAGAGGACAATTTTGACAAAAGGAAGGGTTATACTTCTAGAAAAATAGTAGGTACGTTGAACTTATCCGTAACAGACAAATCTGTATTTTCTATTCCGTGAGACAGATAGATCTGTAATTTTTTCGTGTTCCTTTATTTTTTTCGATGGCTGTAGTTTATGAGGCTTCTCTATAATTAAAAGTTGTGCCATAATTAATATTTTTGGTACCTTTGTAAATAATAAACTAAACATAAGTAATACTTTTTGCCTAAGTCTTTTCAGATTTGGTTTTTTTTTATATAAAATTCCTTTTGAAGTTCGCCAAAGAATTGACGATATTATGTGTGTTAATTAGATATTTTTACTATAATTTTTATATGTTTCTGTACTGGAGGATAATTTTGTGAGTAATATAATTTGTATTGTAGCATTTATAGTATTTATTTGTAATAAAACTTGGACAAATATACACGTAGTTGTTTTATTCGAAATCATTTCTTTTTAAAATACATTTGACGACTGATCAGGTGAAGCAAGGTCTTTTTTTTTTGCGAGGGTCAACCATCAAATGGCTTGTCGCGCCCAGAGGAGGTAAGAGAGCCTTGGTTGCGGGGTAAGCGCAATGAGGCACTGCGACCTCGACCCAGAGCAGGAGAAGGAACGAGAGGTTTTTAGTCAGTAAGAGTCTGACACTCCCTCCTGCTCGACCCTGGGCGGGAGAAAACATTTGATGATTTTCCCCTCACAAAAAAAGGGGAGGTGAGAGGGAGTGACAGACGTTTACTGACTAAAAACCTTAAAATACTTCATCAACGACAACATTTGACTTATTGGATACATCCGTACTTGTGGGCTGTACTATAAAGGTTCTTAAAGGCGCGCGGAACACAACGCGCCTCGCCGTCCGCTTGGGTAGATTAACATAGTCTCCATTTCATATTCATATTCCTACAAAATTAGGATTTTTTATAAACTTCATGATCGCAAAGTAAGAGGCGGAATGCTAAAGAATAAATATACTTACCCCCGGTTTCCGAAAGGACGATCAATGTTAAAATCAATTTAATCTCTTGTCAAGTCATCTGATTGGTTGACTAAATTATCAACAACCAATCAAATGACTTGACAAGAGATTTAACAGGAGATTGGCTAATTTTATCGTTGACAAGCCTTTCAGAAACCGGGTGTTAATCTTGCCGGTTGATGCAAATATATAGGTATACTTATAACTTCACAATATATAATTGAGCATTATATTCATAATACTGTCATACAATTTTTTAACTTTTCGAAAACTTTTCTAAACGTATTAAATTAAAGCCCGATTATTATTATAAGCCTAATATATGTTTTATGTTGAATACAAAATCAGAATGGGAGCATCAAAAAGACATATACATGATAAAAGCTTAAGTACCGTGCTCATCCAGGGTTGGCACCACGCGGGAAATCAGGTTCCTATCGGGCCGGGAGTAGATAGTGCGCGCGGCCCTAAACGGATCGCGTATGTGTGACGTATGAGGGGCGTGAGTCTGTGTGCGTTAAGTTAGGGTGGTTATCCGTTGCGATTACGAAGGACAAATATAATATTTGATTTATAAAAAAGTATAAGTAAGATTTTCTTAGTATAATGTTACATAATGCTTTAACCTCGGTTTGGTCCTTGCTACAAATGTTTTGAGAAATAAATATACTAAAACATCGCAGAATAAAGTGTCGTGAGTTACTGATTCTAACGACATCAGCTTTCCTAGTAGTTTAATTGCAAGCAAGGTGTTCATAGTAGTGTCAAAGTAGAAAATATTGAATACCAATCACCATTCTTATTTTTTATCGTAAATTTCACAAAACACGAGCCGATTAGGTGACTACATCTTTTTTAAAGATACCGCGCAGTGGTCTTTTGTACACCCTTTAAATTAGGACCTCAAATATGCTTTCCGGCCGGTGGCGCGGAGAGTCGGGCAAAATACTTCTCACCATACGTATAGTGAAACGAACCTCTTTTCTTTCCACACTAGATTTTCTTGCGACACATAAACATACAAATTCACATACTTAAAACCCAGACCCGAAACAACAATTTGTGAATCACAAAAAGTGTTATTACGTGCGGGAATCGAGCCCGCGACACCTTGCACACTAGCCAGTTGCCTAGCTGCTGCTACATCGTGCTATCAAGCTTTTGGCAAACTTTAGCCTTGAGGTACTAAAACAACTTTACTCGAAGCTGCTCAAAGTTTCTACAAAACCTATTCTTGTCCTAAATCTAACCCTTATGGGACTGTTGGTGTCTATGGGTGACGCAGACTGCTTAACATCAGGCGATCCATCTGTTACGAGTAACTGCCTTATGCTATAAAAATCATAAGAGTATTTTGGAATCCCAATAAAGATTCCTAAAATGCCATTGAAGATTGCAAACACATGTCCTAGACTGTCGCAAATTTTGGAGGCCCTACTCGGCGAGTATGCAAACGCTAGCTCCCACGAGCAGCACAATTTATGTGGGGCATTCCCTTGAATTTTCTTTTGTTTTTTTTTCAAAAGTAACGCCACTCCTTGGCTTTGTAACCTCTAGGGTGTCAGTTACGTAGAAATGATTGAAAGAATACACGGTTTGGTACCGTAGAAAAGATAAGACTGTACTTTCTGGTGACGATTAAAGATTATTAAGGTAATAAAGGTTAGGTTGATACTATATTCAATAAAAAACACAATTAAAAAGCGCATACAATTTAATCGTAAGTCCTAGCAATAAATCGCAGACACAATTCAGTATTTTGTAAAACAGAAATAGACAAGTTTTTTACCAGCTCTGCTTCTTAAAGAAAAACGTTTGTGCTTGTTATAATTCGATCAACGGGGCAGTTAACCCATACTAGTTAGAATGTACTCATTTCATGCATTTGTGAACAGAAGATAGCTCGAAATAGTCCCTCACATGCCTCAAACGGTAATGTGACTCATTATGCACCATTTTCTTATTAATATCTTACAAACTGACCCGGCGCACTTTGAACCCATTAGTTAAGTCAATTGATCTATACAAAATGTATGGGAAAATGAATTTCCTTTTAGAACACTTTTACCTCAATTGGAAGAAATGAAATATCAAGAAAACTATATATATGTGTATGTATATGTATGTTCGCACATATTAATTCTTTTACATGTTGTAAAAAAAAAGTTCGTCGGTGTAGTTGTGCAGATAGTGCTCCGAGTAACTAAAGCGGGGCTGAATTAGTATTAAAAAATGGAGCCGCTAACAGCTGTTGTCACCACAAGTCATGAGGAAACAAGTCGGGAACAAAACAAATTTCCAACAATGAAATTAGCGAATATCTCACTGTCTGGGGGCGGCGAGTTACCGAAACACCGTAACTATACTAAAACTAAATAAGTGGCCGAAAAATGTTGTGACAACCAACCGGTTTTAACTGACCCCCAAATACAAGAACAATGATTCTCCGCACCCTTACATGTCGTTGGAAACAAAGAGGGCTCGGAAGTCCAGTTTACGTTGGTCGTTACAAGTGGAAAAACAAGGTGGTTAATCCGAAAACTTTCCTTAATTACGTTCGTAGGAAACTAATTCCCAGAACGAATTAAGTGCGAGCTGAATTTGGGTGAAATCCTGGATCAGATTATGAATGTAGGTCCCGGGCGAGGCGGGAGAGCGAGCCACTAACTTTTTGTTTTAAAAACTGCACTAAGGGGAGCGTTTGGTTAAACTATGAACAAGGAATAAGCAGTGGAATGGAAAAGGAAACAGACAGCGGACATTTTTGTTGGAACTCTAATAGAAATCTAAGAGGTAAATTATTTTAAACGAATAAAATACAATATTGCAATGAATCGAGCTTGTATCTCTTCATTGGTTACTCTTACCTCTTTTTTTTTTGAGGGGAAAATCATCAAATGACTTCTCCCGCCCAGGGCCGGGCGGGAGGGAGTGTCAGACTCTTACTGACTAAAAAGCCTCCTGTTCCTTCTCCTGCTTCGGGCCGAGGTCGCGGTGCCTCATTGCGCTTACCCTGCAACCCCGGTTACTCTTACCTTTTACTTCCTTATAATTAACTAGCTTTTGCAGCTAGTTAATTATAAGGACTTCGTTCACGTCGAATAGTGAGTTCGTTCTTCGACCGCGACTTCGTTCACGTCGAATAGTGAGTCCCTGCAGATT